CGTGCACTGCGCCCCCGCGGCCGGGGCCCCGGCGGGAGAGCCAGGCCCAGGGCGTCCCGTCTCCTCTGATCCGCCGCTGGGTTCCGAACGGAGAGGGGCTCCGATAGGCCAGGGGCTGGTGGCTGGAATGGGATGGCGAGAAATAAGGAATAAAAGGAACATTGAACAATCATCCCCTTCAATAGGCAGAAAGCAAACCAAAAGCCCGGGGGATGGTAGACGGTCAGACGGCCATTGTGAAAGGAACAAGGGAAGTCGACTAAAACTTCCACCAACACAGCTTTTTTCCTGTGACCTTCCAAGCCACCAAATGATATTTAAACGGATGAGAATTAACTCAGTTGGGACATCATCAGTTCAGGGTTTAGTGGTCCATGCAAAAGAAAACAGCCCAGGACCAGGTGTGGTGTGGACGCACACGGTAATGGAGGTGCTGCAATAAAGAAGCCAGTTCAACATCTGAAGCCCTGACAATGGAAGACAGACCAGGCTGCCAAAATAGAAGCTTTCTCTATTTTAAAATTGTTTTACTGACTGATTTTGTAAGAGAGAGAGAGAAACAAACATTGGTTGTGTTGCTCCACTTATTTATGCATTTATTGGTTGATTCTTGTATGTGTCCTCTCTAGACATCCAATCTGCAATTAACCGCCTGAGTGAGCACCGATACGATTGCCTCTCACAGGTACCCTGACAGGGGGCTGAACCGAGGCCTGTGCCCGGACCGGGAATCAAACCAGCAACCTTTTGCTTTGCTGGATGACGCCCAACCGACTGAGCCACACTAGTCAGGACAAGAGAGGGTTTTTTTTTTTTTTTTAATGAGAACCAGTGAAATCAAGACCAATGCTGCCTAGTGTGTGTGTATGGGTGTTGGGCGGGGGGTGCTGGGAACCAGAAGAGCAGCCTTGGGTAGGAGACTAAGAGGAAAGTTTCTTGGGTGTGGCATCCAGGAAGGGGAGAAATTTCAAGATCAGCCATGACGACCACTACCGAGCTGTGAGGACAAGCAGCCGCCGGAGATTCTGCTGTGGTTTTAGCTGAGTGACAAGTATACACAATGGCTTACACTGAGTTAATAAGAGGGCACGTTGTGAAGAAATAAGATATAAGTAGGGTCATTTCCAAAGTGGGAAATCTGGTGGTGGAATAGAAACAGGACAGTAACCTGAGAAGATGGCCAAAAGGAAGACGCCCCTGGAGCTCGCCCGAGGGGAACACGCTGTGAACACGAGGGAAGGAGCCGGCACAGAGCACGCACGTGACCTGGGGGGGGCAGTTGGCAGAAGTGCCTGTGCAGGGGCAGGAGGCAGGAGCCAAACCTGACACAGGGCTGTTACCTCCAAAGAGAAAGCAGCGGGACAAAGCGCGGGTTCAGTTTCTCTTGTAACAAAAAATGACAAACCGTGACCAGCCCTCTCCCCCCAGCACAGGCCCCCTGGTCAGGGTGCTGTTAATAGATTCCAGAGGAAGACCATCAAAGTTGGGTGTTTTAAAAGAGAAAAAATACTGTGTTCTGCTTTCTCTTTAATATGACAGGGTTCTGCTGTGTTGTCCAGGTATCATGGCAGGGGTTCTTGCAACAGGGACGCAAGTCACTTCCTCAGAAACACATCTGCACCCCCATCTTCATCGCAAGATAATCCATAGCAGCCAAGACGCAGGAACAATCTACGTGTCTGCAGACGGATGAGTGGACGCGAGCATGTGAGTCGTCGGCATATACAGGGTCCAGCAGAAGGAACGCTTGAGCGTGGTTGGTAGCGTAGTAACATGGGTGTAATAATTTATAGCTTTAATTAGACCACTTCACCTAAAACGTCACGTGGTGCGCTTGAGTGTGATTGTCGTGTTACAGAACGACATGCTTATGATTCTGTAATCGACAGGGGCGTTATGTGGCCAGGGCTCTGTAGGCGATGTGACTCGGTTCCGCCAGGAGAAAGGAGGACATTCTGCCAGGTAGACCGGCTCCTGTAGGGAGGGTGTGCCGAGCCCCCGAGGGTTGGCCCGGGCCAGCCTGAAGGGACTGCACCTCCCAGTTTTTGAGGGTCTCCAGTGGGCGTGGGGATGGTTGCCAGGAGCCGCGGTTAACCAGCTGGCCCGGGCAGGGCCAGAGCTCCGGGTGTGACCGGTTATCTGCAAGGCCCCGCCCCTGGACTCTCACAGAAAACGGTCCCCTGCGAGGAGGTGTGAACCCCACCCTCCACCCCCGTGTTGGCCCGGGGCAAGCCTGGGAGGACAGCAGCCCCGGGTAGAAATTTTCAAGATGTGCCCTAGATGTTGATAGGACACAGATTTTGGTTGACATGGAATCAGCTGTTATTTACTGGCGCCCACGAGACAGCGGAAGACACTGCGGCTGCAGCTCAGGCCCCAAAGGGCCTCCCCGCGGGTCGGACTTGAAGAGTCTACGCCGCAGATCTGCCCAACAGAACCACGGCCAGAACTGCCAGCGCCACCAGAACTGACAGCACCGCCTGGGCGGGGCCGTCGCCCAAGGCCAGGCTCTCCCGCCGGGCCGCGCAGGGACGCGGGGAGAAGCCGGCCTGAGGGTCTGCCGCCCAGGAAGCGGGTCGGGCCCCCGGGGACGCGGCGACCTCCCCCGGGTCCCGGGCTCCCTGCTCCTCCGACGCGGGGACCGGCCCGGCGCCCAGCGGCAGGTGCCCGGCGGGGCCTCCAGGGATGGGTGTCGGTGAAGCCGCCTCGGACGCAGAGCGCGGCCGCGGGGGCCCAGAGGCCTCGGCTGCTCGCGGAGAACCTCACTCCGCCCTTCGCTCGGATGGACTTAATTCCGGGCACGGACACTCGGCGTACGCGGCTCAAGGTCCGAAATCAAGTGAACAGCCACAGAAAGAGCCGCAAGTCTGAAAGGGTCGCCGCTGGAGAACGAGGCTTAAGAAACGGTGCTGGGTTGCTAGAGTGGTGGCTTTTTCAAAACATCAGCACAACCGTTTAGTCTAGTGAACTACGAAGTGTTATCAGTTTTGATAAAAATAAAAATAAGCAAAAATGAAAAGACAATTCACAAAGGAAGAAACTCAAATAGTGAACATATGCCTAACCTCAATCAGCAGTTAAACAGTAAAATTGAAAAAGTGTTTACACCACAACTGTGCTGATCCACTCCAGGTTGAATCCCAGAAGATTTTCTCCAAGATTAGATTAAAACGTAAAAAAAAAAAAAAAAAAAAAATAGTGAAGACCTGGAAAGAACTAAATGTTTACCAATATTTATTTATTTCAGAAATAAATATATTTTACATTTTCAAAGAATAAAGTACTATGGTAATTAAAAGTACACTAACTACATACATCAAAAGATAAATCTCATATGTTGAGTCAAAAAATTTGAAGAACAGTATGTCCAATCTGATAGCAGTTATATATAAAGTAGATGTTGTTCATAAATATATAAATATAAAAGCATAAAAACAAGGGTTAAATGGAACACACTAATTCTATTAGAGAAATTAACTTGGAGTGCGGGTTACAAAATAGAACTGAAGGTGAGTACAGAAAAAACATTCTCTTCATTTGTCATATTTAATTCTTATGTTTAAAAACTGTTTTAAGGAAACATGAGAAAAATACTAATTGTCAATTCTGGATGATGGGTACTCAAGGTTTTTAAAAATGTAATTCAAATACTTTTCTGTATTTTTATTTTTCAAATATAAAAAAAGTAGGTGTAAAATGTGTTTTGGGGGAATTTCAGAAAATTGACTCAAAAAGAATGCAAATACAGAATAGTCTAATATCCAGTAGATGATGCCCCAAAACATAAGACAACCACCCCTCTAAAAAGCTGTAAAACCCACCGTGCCAAGTGTGGCTCAGTTGACTGAGCGCTGGCCTGGAAACCAAAGAGTCACAGTTTCGGTTCCCAGTAAGGGCACAGGTCTGGGTTGCAGGCCAGGTCCCCAGCAGGGAGCGTATGAGAGGTAACCACACATTGATGTTTTCCTCTTTTTTGCCCTCCCTTTCCCTCTCTAAAAATAAGTAATTTTTTTTTAAAGCACAAAACAGAGCCAGCTTTATGACTGAATTCCACCCAGAAACAATGTCCTAACTTGTGTTGTAATGGTAGCACCATCCAGATACCAGACAGCAAGGTTATTCCTTGGTGTGTTCACAGGAAAATGCATCTTCTTGGGGGAGGTTTATATTGAAAAAAGAACACATTCATGATTCAGCATCAGGAAGACATTTTTTAAAAAATACTGGAGAATAACAGTTAAATGATAAAAAATATTTTTTCCTATACAATTTATTTCCAATGAAAGTGCTACACCAATTCAAAAAGGAAAGAAATATCAATTCAATTATTCTAAAGCAACTGGATTTTCTTATGAAAACCAATAAATATGTACCTCTATTTCACACTGTAATTTAAAATTAATTTGATATAGATCATCAACTAAATGTAAAAACTAAATATATCAGGCTTCTAGAAGAAAACCACTGGAGGTTATTCCTATGATCCTGGTTAGATCTTTCTTTGATCTAACCTATAATGATCTTTCTTTGGTTAGATAAAAAGTTTACAAACAAAAACAAAATAAATTGGTAATTGATCAATTTAACACCATCAGAATTATAACTTGGGCTCATCAAAAGAAAAAATCTTAATCTCAAAGCAGAAAGTTTAAAGATTAATCATGTGAAAATAAAGAAAAGTAAAAGTCTTAACCACCACGTGTTTCTCAATTCTTTGCTAATTAGGAATAGAAAACTTGCAAATGCACTGTAGACATTCTGCTGAATCAAAAACAATTGAAAATGACTGTCAGGTGTTGATCTATAAACTGACATGTATTTAAATGTCCTAAAGAATAAAGCACATGTCAGGAGCTGCAAATCACGTAACTGTTCACGTACAGTTGCAAGACCACCTGCTGAAAACTGTCCCAGGGCGACTTCCCACCCGGCCTCCCGCCCCCCAGCGGCGACGGCGTCCCGCTACTGCGCATGCTCGGTGTTGGCGCCTGCGCGTGGACGAGCCGGGGAAAAATGGCGGCGCCCGGCGTCTGCACGCCGCTGCACGGGCACGTGGGCCGCGGTGCCTTCAGCGACGTGTACGAGCCCGCGGAGGACACGTTCTTGCTCTTGGACGCTCTCGAGGCGGCGGTGGCCGAGTTCACGCGGTGCGAGGAGGCGCGGGTACCCGCGGGACAGGGATCGGGCGTCCTCGAGGCGGCGGCACAGAGCCAAGGAAAGGACTGTCGCCGTCGCCCCGACTGGATGCGAGGTCACCCCCTGGGCAGCGGTTGACCTCCGGCCCGCAGACACAGTGGCGAGTGCACCGGCGTCCTATCGGTGCCGGAGCTTCGACCGCGCCCGGCAGCGCCTTTTCTGTCAGGCGGCGACGGCGAGCGCATGAGCCCCTGACAGCAGCGATCTGACGGCCCATTGCGCACCAGACGCCCCCAGACGCTGCTGTTTAGGCCCAACGGGGGCCTCGGGAGGCGCGCGGCGTCCGGGGATTGGCAGGACGGGGCTGAGATGCCGGGCGTGCTCTTAAAGCCGCCGAGTGACACGCTCACGCCTGAAAGGTGCTGGTGCGACTGCGGAACTGAAGTTTTCATTTAATTGTAAATTTAGTTACATGCAGCAGTCAGCCTACACCATTTTACGTACCACCTTATAGACAACAAAACTGGCGGGTTGAAATGCTAACTGTAAACTTCAAATTAATAACGAATCAATACCTACATTGTAAATTTGTTTTATTAGAAGGAATTCAGGCATTTAGATTATTTAAAGATCGAGTTGCGGTGGGTTGTCTCAGGATGAAACCATCTGTCAGACTTCAAGATCTGTGTTTTATCCCTTTTAAACCTGGCTTGATTTTTTCCATCTGTGAAATGGCCCAACTTTTTAAAAAGATTTTATTTTTACAGAGAGGGAAGGGAGGGAGAACGAGAGGGAGAGAAACGCCAATGTGTGGTGGCCTCTCGCGCCCCCTACTGGGCACCTGGCCCACGACCCAGGCACGCGCCAGGACTGGGAATGGAACGGGCGGCGCTTCCGTGCTCTGGCCGGCGCTCAGGCCACCGAGCCTCGCCAGCCGAGGGGGAACAGCCCCGCTCTTACTAGTTCATTGTAAACGCTGGAACTTTGGATTAATTGGAATATAGAATGGTACTGTTTTGTAACTCGGGATACCAGAGCACTTTACAAGCACAAATTGCTTTGCACAGTATGCCATACAGGGAGCTGATTTTATTAAGCCCTAGTTTTGGGATTTTAATTATTTATGACACCATAACAGCTATTTTCAAATAGAAGCCCCTGGTAAGATTCAACAGACTTTCCTACAGCATAACGAGTTTGCCAGGCAGTGGACTGGTTCCAAAGGTAAAGAAGCCCCTAGAGTCTGGGCAGTTGTCTGGGGAGTTAGGTCTTGCTGAGTCCCCTAAATCCCATCAAACCCATTTCTATAATGCAGATAATCGCTGCTTTTGACGTATATGTACGATTATAGGTAAGGAAATAAATGTAAGGACAAGATACAGTAGAATGGTGAATATATTCAGTAGCACTCTTCAGATTATTAATATTCTCAGATCTGATACTTCAATGTTTTCCCAATTCAGTGTTTAGTGGTACAAATATGGAATTTCTTTGCTGCTCTAAATCTATTAGCCATACATTTCAGGAAGTTTTTTCCCCCTAATATATGCTGATAGATTTATGAAACTTATATACATTAAAATGATAGAGAAATATATTTCATAAATATTGTGTAGCACCTAAAGTAAAATATCTCGGGTACAATTTGATAAAATATTTATCTGAATCTCAAAAATATTGTAATAATACTAATCCTATCTTTTTCAGGAAATACTAAACTAGGAGCTCCCTCCGGAAAGGGATGATGTCTTTCATATTAAAATGTCCAACCCTAAATCAACATTATTCCATAGTTTTTATGTAATGTTTTATAGAAATTGAAAGCCATCAATTATATTACTATTTTATGGACTGAAAATTACACACCCAAAATTGTAATAATTTTGAGCTATGCAGTATTAAACGAACACAAAGAAGTTGTCAGAAATTAGCTTGTTTATAAATTTCTTTTATATTTCCATACATCAGCAGGTGACTGATAATGCTGGAGGAATATAGATTAAAAGCATGGGTGTGATTTTCTGTAATTTGTATTTTAATGCTACTGTAACTAATACTGGTTTTTTTTTAGAGTGGAAATATGCCTTGAAGTAGGGTCAGGATCTGGAGTGGTATCCACATTCCTAGCCTCCATGATAGGTCCTCAAGCTTTGTACATGTAAGTGTAAGAATATCAATTTCATCTATATCTTCCACTAAGAGATTCACTATAATGACTATAAATAGTTTGAACAAAATAATTTTTTGTACGTAGATAAGTATCTGATAGTGACTATTTTAGTATAGTAAGGACTCAGATTGAAAATTAACTTTCCTAAAAATTGCAACTGCGTGTTCAAATCTATTCCATCAGACTATGTAATTATAGAAGCAGCATAAGAATTTTAGATCATCTCTAAATTTGAAACTTTTAGGTAAATAATTTGATTATCAGAAAAAAATTAGAAGTTACCAGAATTTTTTAGAAAATTTGAGAATATAGAAAGTATAAGTATAAAATTTACCTACAAATTTTACCACACGTGGTCCAACTGTTCCGTTTTTTCCCATTTCATATGTTTTTCAATTAACATCATTCATGAGCATTTTCCTTTCAAAAATTCATTTTAAATTTCATTTCTGATGACTGCATAGTATTCCTTCACTGGATTCATAATTTAATAAATTCCTTCAGATGTGGGGGGATATGTGCATTTTTATACCCTCGCATATCATATCAATATAACACTTTTTCATCAATATAACAAATCTTTAATCTTTTCTGCTTCACGCAAAATGGAATGGAGTAATCCTTGAATTTTTCCGAAATACGTCTGTCTCATGGACAGGGAATATAGTTTTCTTTCTTTTCTGTTTGTAGGTGCACTGACATCAACCCTAGGGCAGCGGCCTGCACCCTGGAGACAGCTCGCTGCAACCAAGTTCACGTACAGCCCATAATCACAGATTTGGTGAGGTGTGATCCTTGCCCAATAATAATAATTAATTTCCTTTTGAAACAAGTTAAGATCAAGATGATTTAAGTCAAAGAAAATGGAGTGATTTTCAACCCACTAAGCAGTATAGTCTCTAAAGTAAATTCTACACTGATACAATCCTTCTTGTCCACAGTTCACAGGGAGCTTCTGTGGGCTTGTCTCCATCAGGCATGTGTCGGCCACAGTGAGAGAACCCATTCAAACTGCCTTCAGGAGTGGGTGGCCTCAGGCACACCCGACTCTAGGAAAGAGACCCTCTTTGTCACGTGCCTGTCTCTCAGACGCTTTTGTCCTCATAGACCATCTCTCTTGGTTAAAGTTGGGTCCAGACCTATATAGAACATATGTGCAAGATTAGACCTTCCTCGTTTTGTCTTCCGAAAGAGAACCCGGAGTATAAACATGTGAGTTGCTGAAGAGCCAAAACTCCTGAGTATCTTCATTCTGAGAGTTCAGTTTCCTTATTTTTAGGTAAATCCACATCATCTTTATCTGAATGTAAAAATATTCATCCCCATTTCTGTTTATAACTGTGGCCCTCTAACACATTTAAAAAAAATATTTTAGAGACCTGCCCACCACTCCTAAAAAAAACTAGTAATTTTAAAGATTACTGATTTAATTTATACTCTGGTTTGAAAGTCTAACAACTGTTGAACATTTAGGTCACAGGCTTGCTACCAAGAATGAAGGAAAAAGTTGACCTTCTGGTGTTTAACCCCCCCTATGTAGTGACCCCACCTGAAGAGGTAAGACATATAACAAAATTTAATTGTTAATGCTATCTGCTGTTTTCTTTCTAAAATCAAATGAATTTCATCACATGGTGTCAGCTGCCGATTAGCACAAACTGCTCTCATTTGCTCCTGGGAATGACTGGGAACTACTGATAGACAAAGGGACCTAAACCCATTGGAAATACAAACCGATCCATGTCTGTCCTTAAAAATCCCATTCAAATCAGGCTGTGCTAATTAATTCGTGTGTGTGTGCCTGTGCTTGCCCTTTATCACAAATGACAAATTTGCAAAACATTTTTAATCACCCTTACATTCACATAGGAATTCTTTGTGAAAGTCTCAGGTTTCCTCCTTCCACAGGCATTATCAGGAAGTGGGGTGGAGGTGTATCTTGAAATACATGATTTTAAAAATGCAGCAATGAAAAAGTGATTCACAGTAACCACTTCCCAAGTTAAAGAGAGAGCGCACAAGGCCGATGAAGTTTAGCAATGGGTCATGGTGCCTGTTTCATTCTTTGATGATCATTCTCTGGCAAGGCAGTAAAATACTCCCAGACAGCAGTAAAATACAAAATACAGGCTTCTTTGGTGAACACTGCTTGTCAAAAAGACTAAGTTTGTGGTTTTAATATGTAACTTGACTTGAAGTCAAAACAAAAGCCTTTCTAATTGGTCACAGGTAGGAAGTCACGGAATAGAAGCAGCCTGGGCTGGCGGAAGAAGTGGCCGTGAGGTCATGGACAGGCTCTTCCCGCTGGTCCCAGACCTCCTGTCACCAAGCGGGTTATTCTATTTGGTTACTATTAAGGAAAACAATCCAGGTAACACAAGCCAGTTTATCTTTCAACCACTGACTTTGCTGAAGTCACAAGTTAATAATGTCAAAGACTGTGATTTATAACGTAATCGGGAATATTATGACTCTAGTTATTGACAACAGGTAATACAGACCAACTCCATTCTCTTAATTCAACCTTCTTGGTGTTACTTGTTTATAAAGGGAAGGTTTTGCTTTTCTCAATATGCCTAAAAGCCACTTTATTTACTACTTATTTATTATAGTAACAAGTATAATTAATGTTTATGTTGAGTCCAATGGCCGGTCTGATAGTCTCAGCAACACCTTAAAAACACTAAGTGTTCCCGTCTGCCTGAAGTCCAAGTTCTTTAATAGCAATTCGCTTAGTCTACATTGTGTTCTCAAATGAATATAATTTGTAAATAGTCTGTTGTTTATTTAACTTATTAGTGATTATACACTTCACCAAATTATTCCACTGGATTTTACCTTTGGTTTTAATTTTCATTTTAGAAGAAATTTTGAAAACAATGAAGATGAAAGGTCTACAGGGAACTACTGCCCTTTCCAGACGCGCAGGCCAAGAACTGCTTTCAGTCCTGAGGTTCACCAAGTCCTAGTACACAGTGTCTGCTGTTACGTTGAATATATTTAATATACATGAGTACATATTATATTGAATATATATCATATATGTGATTATATATATTTATAAGCTGAAGATATTCACCATATTTTGAAACTGAAGTCATTTCTTGGTTACCAAGTAAAATTGCCAGAAATGTGTCACACAGAGAAAGGGGGGAGGGTAAGGCACTTTCTTCCACCCTGGAGTCTAGCCTACAGAAATATTTGCAAGGACATACATATATTATATAGACTGTGCATTTGTATTTCCATTATGTATGAAAGGATATTCACTTCAGCATTACCTGTAATAGCAAAACAAGGGAATCAACCTATCTAACCGCTATTTAAGGGGCTGGTGAAACCCCCCTGCAATACATCGATGACACTGAGTGTGGGTCGCCTCCAGCCTTGAGAGCGCTGGTCTGCGTGCACTGAGCCAGCAGGGGTTCAGGATGTACTACTGAGTTAAAAAAGCAGAAAGTTACAGAACAGTATTATGTGTGTATTTTGAAGAAACCAGTGGAGAGGGCAGGTGTGTGTGTACGAGAGGAAGCCTCAGAGACAGCAGGTGGGAGCAGAGGAACTGCCGCTCTTTGTGGTGGCATTTCCATGAAGATATGTTACTCGTGCGATTTTAAAAAGTTTTTGTTTTTTAAATTGTTTTACTGCTGTTCAGTTACAGTTGTCCCCCTTTTCCCCTACAACTCTCCCCTGCCCGGCCCTCCCCCCCTTTGTCTTTGTCCCTGGGTTCTTTCTACATGTTCCTTAACTTGACCCTTCCCCTTCTTTCCCCCATTACCCCCTCCCCCGCTGAAAAAAGTTTTTTATTAAAAAATATTTTAAAATTTACTTGCTTATCTTCTTCATTCTATTATTTAGAATGCCTTCTGCTGTCATTCTTCTCCCTGAAGAGATTTTTCCTACCTTTTATCCTTTATCATATACTTGTTTTCAATCAAGGAGAACTGAAAGTAAATACTCTCACCACTCTTAAGTTAATCACATTTTTAAAAGCTTCTCTATGTGTCTGTCAAGACATATCAAATTACTTTTCCTGAATTTTGGAACTGCCTCCGTGACGTCCACGTCATCCCCCCGCGGCCTGGAACAGGGTGGGGCAGCACAAGGCCGAGTCCCGCACTTGCTCTCACTCGGACTGTCTGAGAATCAGAGCAACCTGCAGCAGGTGTCTACAGGTGTAAACCCTAAACCCCGGCAGGGACCAATGGAATCCTCTGCTGAACAGGCCTAAAAACATCTTCGTAAAAGTGCTCCCCAGAGTTACTTAGGACAAGCCCACCGAACTTCAGGACTGTTGCTGTAAAGAGCATCCCCACGTCAAAGCGGGGCTTCACTCGACTTTGGTATCTGGAAATAGATTACCCTTCCTAGAAACACTGCCATCAGAAATCTTGTAGTAAATAACCTCTTGTATCCCAGGAAGAAAAAAAGATAACCTCAGAATTTTATTGTGGACTTTCAGTCATAATTTTTACTAAAAATTATGAATCCTGTGTTCAGATAATGTCTGGAACACTTAAATTAGCGTAGAGGACTTCCATGAACATAAAAAACTTAAAACCATGGAAATGGTTCGTAAAATAGACCGAAAACATCACATAAAGTAACAGTTATGGACTGAATGTGCCCCCCCGCCCCGCAACCGCCCATTCATATGTCGAAGCCCTGGTCCTCAGAATGTGACTAGTGTGAGGGCCTTTGATGGGAGGAGTTAAAATGAGGTCAGGTGGATGGGCCCCACAGCAGGGTGGCACTCGGAGGAAAGAACCTGTGAGACAGGAAGCTGCCTGCAAGCAAGGAGAGGCCTCAGGACGTACTGAACTTGCCAAAAACCTTGATCTTGGACATCCAGCCTCCAGAACTATGAGAAAGGTAACTTTTGTTGCCCACGCTGTCCAGCCTGCAGGTTTGTCACAGCAGCCCTAGGAGACCAATATAGTTGTCAAAGACAGAGATACCAAAACTGTGCACACAAGAGACAGCAACACAGGTGTGAAGAGGTGCTAATGTCCAGGTGATCAATGAGAGCTGGCCCTGAGCCATCTGGAGGAGGCAGCACATACAGCGCACCTGCCATTAAAAAACACAGCTAAACATGAAAAACAAGAGGACTTGTACAATCACATCCTTTAGCCCAAGAGCAGCAGCAAAAAAATTAACTTTGACCTTGAATGGAAAGAAAAAGAGTAATAATCTTAATACCTAAGGCTCCGCCCTATACAATGTAACAGGAGCACTGAGACAAAGAAACATGGCCCAACTGAAAGAACAGATTAAAACTTCAGAAAAAATACAACTAAGCGATGAAGAGACAGCCAGCCTATCAGATGCAGAGTTCAGAACACTGGTAATCAGGATGCTTGCAGAAATGGTTGAGTATGGTCACAAAATAGAGGAAAAAGTGAAGGCTATGCAAAGTGAAATAAAAATATACAGGGAACCAACAGTGAAGGGTAGGAAACCAAGTTTCAAATCAACAATTTGGAGTGGAAGGAAGAAATAAATATTCAACTGGAACAGAATGAAGAAACAAGAATTCAAAAAAACAAAACAAAACAAAAAAAACATGAGAGGCTTAGGAACCTCTGGGAAAACTTTAAACATTCCAACGTTCAAATCATAGGGGTGCCAGAAGGAGAAGAGGAAGAGCAAGACATTGAAAACTTATTTGAAAAAATAATGGAGCACTTCCCCAGTCTGGCAAAGGAAACAGACTTCCAGAAGTCCAGGAAGCTCAGAGAATCCCAAAGAGGTTGAACCTAAGGAAACACACATCAAGGCATATCAAATTACATTACACAAGGTTTTTTTTTAAAAAAGTTATAATCTATGAGAAATCAAACCCCAGGCCTGTGCTACCCTGTTGTAGGATTTATACTACCTATGTGGGGTAGCAACATCAACATGAAAAAATTAACATTAAAAGTATCTTGTTGTGGACGAAGTGGACGAGGTGGCTGAGTAGTCAAGGTGATGGACTGCTAAAAGTATCTAGACCATTGATCCCCAAGAAGTTAAACTACAAGCAATAAGAGCAGGAAGAAACAACAGAATCAGACACGTAATGAATATAAATAGTGGAATCGTTACATTCAGATTTCAGGATGTTTGAGGAATTTAACATAATCACAAAGAAAAGTGCACAAGATACTATTTAGAAAGAACAAATTTTAAGACAACTTTTAAAAATGAGAAATAGGCCCTGGCTGGTGTGGCTCAGCTGGCCTGTGAACACTGGTTTGATTCCCAGTCAGGGCACAGGCCTGGGTTGTGAGCCAGGTCCCCAGTTGTGCGCACTCAAGAGGCAACCACACATTGATGTTTCACTCCCTCTCTGCCTCCCTTCCCCTCTCTTTAGAAATAAATAAATAAATAAAATATTTAAGAGAAAATTAGAAATAGAATCACTGAAATAAAAAACCACAATGGACAAGGTAAACAGAACTCTACAAAGAGAGTGGTTACGTAGGACAGAATGAAAAGGTCTAGCAAAGCAAGAGACTCAAAAAGATGGTAAGAGGCAATATTTGGGAAGATAATGGCTAGTATTTTTCCAGAATTTACTTATTAAAAAGTAGATCGAACCTGGTAGCATAAGCAGGATACACAGAGGTCCCCACCCCGACAGACAGTGGCGACACTGCAGACGCCAGGAGCAGACACCATAAAGTCAAGGATAACCAGGGTCCGCAAACTTTTTGCAACTAAAATCTTAGCACGCAGGAGCCCATTCAGTCACGTATTGCCTACGGCAGCTCTGGTTTCCAGTGGCCTAGCAGAGTCGCTGTGACAGACCAGAACCCACGAGGCCCACAGACCACGAACTACTACTTGTCCCTGTATTAGGTATGCCACCCCTTGCTAAAAAGGAATGGTAATTAAAATAACCACATGCTTCTCTAACAGCAAGAATGGAGCTAGAAGCCAGTAGAAAAATATCTTTCGAAATGCTAAGAAAAACAGAGTAAATCAACATACTGCAGCCAGTATATTTTTGAAACAGCAAATTCATTGGGAATGCCACAGAAACAGAGATTTCTAAATTGCCTCAGGCACTGCTTTGAAATCTTAACACCAAAGATACTAATTCTCAGATGGTTCAGTGCTACCCAAAGAAATTGGTGTCCTTAAGAAGAGTCCATAGTAACAAAAAAAGACATTATTAAAGTTACTGAAATAGCACACTCCACACTACACACCCTGCGAAGCCCTAAGTCCTTCTGCTGGAAGCCTTCTAAAACAAGAAGACAAACGCATGGAGAGGTTCAAGGAGCCCATCACAAATACGTATGAAAATTTTTTGCCTTTAATTTTGTAAACAAAGTGAGAATAACTGGGTTGAAGGACCCCAAGGACAAGATCTGATAAAGCTAGAAGAGTCCCCCAGTCACACCAGAGAAACCCTAAGATGGAAACCTGCCAAATAGTTCCTTAAGACAACTCGTTCCAGTTGGACAAACTGGCCATGATACAGACAAGCAGGGAAAGGGAGCCTGTCCCAGGGACGTCTGGGAGAGCAAGAGTAGAGGACTCTGCCTGCTCTTCAAGATTAATAGTAAAGCACTTTACTGTTGGCTTGGTAACGTGAGACCAGACACCCCAACCACGGGACAGGTATGCTACTTAGTAAACGAGGCTAAGGGAGCTGGCTATCAACATGGGTTAAGATTTCCACTTTGCAACAGCCACAAAATTTAATTTCAGATGAATTAGCACAGTTTTTTTAAACCTCAGGCAACAAATGAAATTTTAAAAGAATGATAGCTCTGACTAAATTTAACTAGAAGTTCTGTACAACTGAAGACAGCCACAGACTATGTTAAAGTCCAGCCCTGGACTAGAAGAAGCTCTGTAAAAGATAAAGCATTATGATCAATAAGAACATAAGTAATCCAAGAGAAAAATAAGCACATAGATAAGAAATTCACAAACTAATGACCAATAAATAGATGAAATGTAGCTAATATTCTCAGTAGCCAGGTAAATATAAATAAAAACAAAGACCTACTGTCTCACAGCTCCAACTGGGAAACTTTAAACCTCTGGTGAGACTGCGTGTTGTGACAATGAGGAAAACCCAAGTTCTCTCCTGTGCGGACTTGCACAGTAACCACTCGAGAGCAGTGTGACAACGTCTATAGCCACAGAATGCATATGTCTACTCCCTGCAATTCTATTTTGGGGCATTTGCCCAGAATATTCAGCACATTTGCATGAGAACATATTAAGAACGTACACATGCAGCCCTGCTCAAGAATGGCAAAAAAAAAAAAGTCAAAAAATAAAAATGAGAATGACCACCAGTGGGAGAACTGGTGAGTAAACTGACATAGTGTGATTCTACACAGCATTATGGCCAGTGAAAAAGCAAGTGACAGAAGATAACATACATCAGCGGATCACAAATATAACTGTTTAAAAAACCACTATACATTATTGAAGGATACAAACATGTGATGAAGTATAAACTCTTAAATAGGAAAGAATCCAACCAACTTCAGGTTAGTAGATTAGCTTCAGGAGGGAAAGAGATGTCCTCAGGGAGGAGCACAAAAGTAACATTTCATTTCTTTAAAAATCAGAAGGAAACCCTGAGCTGTGTGGTTCAGTGGGTTGGACATCATTCCACAGAGTGAAAGGTCACTGGCCCCTTTCCTGGTCAGGGCACAGGCCTGGGTTGCAGGTTCAGTCCCAGTCGGGGCACGTGCAAGGGGCAACTGATTGGTGTTTCTCTCTCGAATAGGTGTTTCTTTCCCTCTCTTTCTCCCTCCCTTCCCCGTTCTTTAAAAATAAGTAAAAATCTTAAAAAAAAAACTAAAAATGGCAAAATAGTTTGTGAAGAGTACAAGAGCATTTATATTGTATTATTCTGTACATCTGACGTTTTGTAATTAAAAAAAATTTTAATGGACACATGATATAACAATAACAGTAATTATTCACAGCAAAAAACGTATTAAAACTTAAAAAAAGTAGTAATAACATTAACTATTTAAGCCTCAGAAACTTAGGTATATACATTAGAGCATGTGATAAGAGTGAAAGATAAATTCTGAAATTTGCAATTTACATTGTTTTAATAATTTTGATAATGGGCTTTAAGTCTCATGCAATTTTAAAATGTCTATATGCTGAATTTTTAGAGATGCTCTCTAGACTCGTCAAAGGTGTATAAATAAAACTTTTTTGTAGTGTTCTGAATCTCAGTCTTGTTTTGGAAAGCTTTCTCTTTAGCACATAAATAGCAACACACTTTACATGTGTATTTACAACCCTCCAATATATGTGTTCACAAGCCTCAGTGTGAAGGACGGGTGTCCCACCTTCTCACAGGTTTCACAAGACACCGGCGCCCAAACCCTGCCCTCCAATGGAAAACAATGTTCCACCTCTCCCTTTACTTTTCTACTTGGGATTTGGGTCAGAAGCCAGGGCATAGCAATACTAGAAAAGCTGAAGACAAACTCTTATTACAGAACAATTATTAAAGAAAAAGCGTGTAACTTTCACAGAGAAGTACCACAATCCTTTGGGATTATTACTGTGTCAGACAGAGACATAGGAAGAGAGAAGATTTTAATGAAGAGGTTAAGAAGAGGTAGTAGAAATTTGCTATCTGTACATCACTTACTGCTCTCTGAGCCTCAAGGCTCTTAAGGTAATAACTACAGAAAACACCCAGGAGCTGGTGCTGGGCAGGACACTGCCTGCAAACACAACTCCAGAGATCTGTAACTCCTGCAATACTTCACTCTCCACGACAATACTCTGACCACACTCATACTATTTGAATAATAACCATTGTACCCATTTGATGGTAACCAGTTCTTTTATTTAACATGAGTTGCTTTTTGCCAATTAAACATTTGTAACAGAGGTGATGAGCTGATCTTTCAGGAAACCCTGCTATTAGATAGGCTGGTATTTCCCACGGATGGAAGACCACAATAATACTGTTCCAAGTTCCAAACTTCCACAGTGTGTATTCTGGGTACAATTTCTAAAGGTAACAGTGCTTTGGCCAAACGCAGGTTTCGCCTGCTCCACTTCAGCCAGTTATACATTTCACTTGGTACAAAAATTCTTAACATGGCTGGAAAAATTAGCTCCCTTAAATCTAATTTAAAGTAACTTTGGCCAACTAAGAATAGCGAAATTCACTTACCAAATTGAAAGCTGTCTATAGCATTTTAACATTTTTGTGTTTTTCCCCCCATCTTAAGCTTCCTAAATACTCATTTTTTTACCTCTCTGTCCACAGAGGAGTAACTACCACTCTGCTTTGTGAATTAAATAATCTAATTACTTCCTATTCTCTCGAAGCCTCAACTCAGCTGAATACGAAATTCACAGACAAGTCTGCAGTTCAGATTTCACTAATACATGGTACGTCTTCCTCCCCAGCACAGTTCAGTGTCATGAATGTAATTCTCTGAATTTTACAACCCTTAATAAATGGAGGCACTGTAAAGTTAAGTTTCTACTCTTATATGCAGGATTTCAGAGCATGCTTCAAATAGCTTAAGATAAGCTATATTAATAGCTCAGTGTCATTTTTATCATTAAAATAATCTACAAATATCAGAATACTAATTAATTCTGTTGTCATTAAGTAATAAATAAGTCCTAAAACAGTGATAGGTATAAATCACTCCTCTCAATTCATCTGCCTCATTGGACTGTTCCTAGAATATAGATCAATACAATGTTTACACAAATTCCAAATCTGTAATTTAGGATTTTTCCATATTTATTTTTAAATATACAAAGAGATTAAACTATTAATATAAATATTTTCTCTCAAATATGTAATATTCATATGGAAAAGAAAAGGATTCCAAACATTTACAAAGCCATCTAAAGGCAAGTGGCCGGCTGTTCGGACCATCACACTAACCAGAGTGGTTTCCCAGGGCTGATCCTGTAGACCGGGTACTCGCTGGCCTCTCCCCGCAGCCCTGAAGGATGGAGCCAAGGCCCTGCCCTTGCTGTCCCGCAGGTGTCCTTCCAATGGGAAAGACACCTCAGAGGAAGGTCTCACGACAGAGCGGACACGTGGATTTGTTGCTAGAAGTAAACCATTTGTACTGGAAGAAAAAAAGTTCTAAATGTTAAAACAACTTTTTAAAGGTGCATTTTACATACACATTTAAAAGTATCCTTAAAATGCTACAGTAAAAAAGAGAGAATATTGAAATTCTTGCTCCTCCCATTCATCTCTACATCAACACAACTCAGCCTCACTTTCAGAGGCTGAGTACAGTCCTGCCCACCGAGGCTCAGGTGCCCAGGCCAAAGGCAGAGATGGGGATGCAGGGCTTCTGGCAGAACAATGGAACGTCAGCGTGAGGGTCTCACAGCCCTGAGCTCTGATGCCAGTTTACCCTCAGCTCCAATTTTTCAGTCTACTTCTAGATCTTACAAGACCACCTATATTTTGAATGCTGAGAGCTGTATTAGAAATACCCAATGACTAAAATGCTTTGATGTTACCATTCCTTTTTTTTTTTTTTTAAGATTTATTTATTTTTACAGAGAGGGGAAGGGAGGGAGAAAGACAGGAAGAGAAACATCAATCTGTGGTTGCCTCTCATGTGCTCCCAACTGGGGACCTGGCCTGCAATGCAGGTATGTGTCCTGGCCAGAAATAGAACCTGTGACCTTCCAGTTCATAGACGGGTGCTCAATCCACTGAGCCACATCAGCCAGCCCTGATGCTGTCATTCTTAGTAATTTACTAATTACCTCTTACAGACTTTCAAAAATCATCTTAACATGTCTCCCATTACATACAATCGAAGTTATTTTTGTTTTCTTTTCCAAATTTAGATGTCATAGATTTATAATGTACATAAAACAATAAACATTAATTTCTTTTTAGACTCACCAAGCAGGCTGAGTGGAATTTTTTCTTGCATGTTCTACAGGCTTTTTTGGGAAGAGAATAGTTGAAACCATGAATGACTGAAAAACAGATCATGCAATCTTCAACACCTTCAAAGCGTTTGTCCACATTATTTTTCCATAATGCTAAGCCTTCCATAATACTTCCATTCTGTTAACAAGAAGAAAAAAAAGAGTAAATATACACTGAAAAAAAAAATCAAATTATTTTTATTTAACTTCAAAAATTTTAAAGTTGAGATATAATTTGGAGAGAATAAATTCTGTTTCACTATATTTATATCTTTTAGTTTTATGAATGTTAGTTTTTAAAATGACCACCCAATGGAAAAAATATATAATAAAGAATATATTTTAAAAAATGACCACCCAAGTTTTAGGAATGAAATATAATCTTTCTCCAGTAAAGACAGATGAGAAAAAGGCTTCTGGACAAATACTACAAGGATTAGATAGTCTCAACTTGTGCTTGGTGAAACTCTTTTACCAATTCAATCATTTTGATTTTCTCCTAATTTTTAACTAAAATAATTAATCATCTCACTTTCGCAGCTGCTGATTTGTTCCAGCTACAAATTAGTGATTACATTTATTTTATTTTTAAGATTTTATTTACTTATTTTTAGAGAGAGGGAGAAAAAGGGAGAAACATTGCTTATATGCCCCCAACTGGGGACCAGGCCTGCAACCCAAGCATGTGTCCCAACTGGGAATCGAACTAGTGACCTTTAACTTTGCAGGCCGATACTCACTCCACTGAGCCACACTAGCCTGGGCTAAATATATTTACTTTAAAATAATTCTTCTTTAGTGTGCATTGTTCACAATGTGCAAACAAAACTAGAAAAGACTTACAGGTTGTTTAAAAGTCAAAGGTCTTTGAAAGTACTAGAATGTCTATAATCATAGAAAAAGAGTTGAAATGTTAAGAGTAAAAGTAGCTCAGAAGACATTCATTTGTCCAGCATCTTACACACAAAAAAAATTCCCTCTCAATTTCCTTAATACCATGTATTTTTCTTCTACATCATCTATAATATCAATGAAGTCAAACCAATTTTTCTCAAACATCAGAAAAAGAAAATTGTAGAGCCTTCAAGCCTGAACCAGCCTGACAGACCGAGTCACGTAGGCGGAGCACCTGTGCTCATCGCCGGCACTGCCCTGCCGGCTCCACCGCAGCAGCGAGCGGGCACCGCCGCCGGCAGCCGCGCCGCAGCCCCCGGGCGGGAAAACCCACCTGGTGGGTGAGGTAGGTGCTCAGCTGCAGCATCCAGTTCCGCCACTGCTGCACCGCCACGCCCACGCGCCGCCCGCTGCCCACGGTGATGGAGCCCAGCGGGTAGTTGGGCGGCAGCTGTATGACCAGTTCGATGACGATGTCCTCGATGGTGTAAGTAGCCATCACCTCTCGAGTAGTAGCTCGGGCTTTAACCTGCAACACACGAACGGTAATACTCGTTTTCCCAAATTTCTTTCTTTTATTCAAAAATCATTTTGATAGCTTGACTGGTAGCAGTGCAGGTTTTCATTCAAAGGAAACACAGGCAAGCACGCCCATGCGCTTGGCCGCCGCATTTCAGGAATACCGGACACAGAGCCGCCCCCCGTGTCTGCGGGGCTCCGTCCCCAGGAAGCCGCCCCCCGCCCCCCAGCCCGCGGGGCTGACCCCCGGGGCCAGCGCGCGGCCGAACCCCTGGGCGGAGGCCCGCCAAGGGCAGCGATTTGAGGACAAAGTTTGTTTTACAAGAAATACATTGCTCATAAAACAGTATATTATATTAGGTTTACCACATACTAGTAGGTTTTGAATAGAAATGAGAGAATAATTGCTCCTCATCTCCCGGGGAATCAAGCGCTGCGTACTTGGATGTCTCCCAAGTCCTTCTGGACCGCAGAGCTCTCCCGAGTTCACAGCCGGAAGTCACAGTCCGGCAGGCTCCCCCGAACCCCAGGGACGCCCTCACGAAGCTTCCGACCTTCCGTTCCCCTTCCGTTCCCCTTCCGTTCCCGCGCTAAAAGCCTCAGCGCTCCCGCCGCTCCCCCCCCCCCCCCCCGCCGGCTCGCGGGAACCTCCTCAGGAGTAAACAGGCACAGCATTTCAGGCCGTCCCCTGAGGCCCATCCCAAGCGCCTCACAGCGGGGCCTGCTCCCCCCGCGCCCGCAGGGAGACTCCGCCCAGGCCGCCTGCAGGAGCCCCGCTGTGTTCTCTGCGCCAGGCGCCCTTCCGCCAGCGAACTCCGGCTCCCCTCACGGCGGCCGCCCCGCGTGGGCGCGCCTGTGCAGTTTCTAGCGCGAAACCCGGGACCTGTCTCTCCGTCCCCGCGGCCGCCGACCCCGCGGCCGGCCCAGGGGGCGGCGTCAGGGGCTCCCCGCGCTGAAGGCGCGCTGGGCCGGACACGCGACAACCAGATGACCCCGCGGCCGCGCACACCACAGGCGGCGGGCTCCTCACCTGAAACCGCTTTCCCAGAACCACCCCCGGGAGTGCTCACCGTCATGCCGTTGAACAGCTGCGTGCTGGTCTGCACCGCGGATATTTCCTGCAGGGAGAGCACGCTGCTGACATACTTGCTCGTGAACCTGTCCACGATGTTGAAGACCCGCTTCTCGCTGCTGGTCCACCACAGCCGGACCATGGCGGGCAAGTCCTTCAGCGTCATGTGGTAGACGGCGCACGCCAGGTGCGGGATGTGCTGCGGGAGGCTCGTCGTTTCTGCGGAAAAGGCAGATTCTGAGTAACGTGTACTTCGTACATGGAATAACAGACTAATAGGGGTCTTTTCCTTAGAAAATCCCAATTCCTCAGCATGAGTGCTGAGCTCACAAAACACACACACCAAAGACACTGCGGTTCTCCAGTATTGCCTCTTCCCCACACATTTAAAATGAACCATTAGAATGGCAACAAAAAAGTAAACGATGGTCCAAACAGACACTGAAAAATCTGCCTAGAAACAGCATTTTATATTTCACATGAAAAGTCACAAATAATAGGAAACATATATTTTAAAAAGGGAAAATAAAAACAAAATCAGCCTGGCCTCCCTCACCCCCTAGCATCACTGCTTTGTCTGTGGTGGTCCTGGGACCCCCAGCTCGGCCTCAGTGCCCCACCCTTAGAGCTAAAAGGTATTTAAAAACTTATCCTTGGGGATCAATGGTGACACACTAATACTGCTAGATGCCTGTCCCCTCGGCTAAAGTCTGAGCTCCCACAGTGAAGGAAATACATTTTACTCATCTTTGTTTCCCCTACAGAACATTATCACATAACAAATACTTGTTTACAGAATAAAAGATAAGTCTCAACAAAAGAGGCTTTAAAAACATGAAATTCTTAACAAACTTACCCACAGATCTCACTGTATTTCCTGAGAGAAACATGGAAATCCTTGCACTTGGACCCACGGCTGGGGCTGTGTCCCACCATCAGGTGTGAACCTTGTGTCCAGGTTCACACACACACACACCCACCCACACCCCCAACCCCCATCACTGACCTCTAATACTCAACTGGAGCTCTTCCGTGAAGAAGGTCTTAGGTTCCTTACTGGATAGCTCAGAAGCCGTCTCTGCACAGGTCGGATTTTCTGGCATGAGCCTGAACAGGTGATAGAGCAGTTTATTTAAACTCTTTGTCTTCCGGAGGTACATCGAATACAGAGCCCGAAGCTGGTGGAAAGCAAATGTGTGTTAGTAATCCACTAAACCAAGAGAATCGATAGATAAGAACAAAACAAAGTATAACAGATAGCACAACACAACCATAAAAATTATTAACATGAGCACTGAGAATTACGTAGAAGAGTCCCACAACAGAGAGGCCATGTTCTCTCTGCAGAAGGCTGGCATCACCTTCTCTCCTCAGGAACAAGCAGACACTGTCACTATCCCCTCATGGTGTGACGTGTTGCTGCCAACATCCTCCTGAAACTGCCTCCCTATTCACACAGTCACCTCCCCTGGGGTCTCGTTCACCATCCCATCTTCCACACATTCCTTAGACACCACAGTACTTCATCCTTCAAAATCGTGCCTAAAACTACCTTGTTTTCTTGGCCAATCCACCCTATAAAAAACACTCCATCCTCCCTTCAGGACAGAGTGCGCCACCCAGTACTTCAAAATGTCGTTTTATAAATCAGGAAATTTCAACAAACATATGGATTTCTGGTTTCTTTCTTAAACTACGAAAACCTGGCCCTACTGCGTGCACTGTGGGCCCCTGGGAGGCCCGGACTTTAGAGCGCTTGTCCCTCGGTGACACTGTGGTTTTCATGGGCTCACACAGATACTTCAACTCTTTGTACCTGTTTTTCTGTGATTTCTCCCAGCTCCTCACAGTACAAAGGCACCATTTTCCAAATACCATGTGTGCTCAAATACAAGGATCAAGCCGTGGGATTTGGAATTCTTAAAATATCTTGATTGATGTACTTTTACAATGGAGAATTCTGACAGATAGTACCTTTACCAAGAAACCAAACTCGGGGTTCCCAAAAAAAAGGATATAATGACACTCTGCGCCCCACCGAGGTAAGACAATGAGGACACTTCACAAGGCAACAGCACACCTGTGGAAAACTAGCCAGCATTTAATCATGAGGTGACAGTCAGAAAGATCCAGACTGTAAGACAGTCTTACAGAACCAATGACCTGCTGAGTGACAACAAGGAGAAGAAAGATGGGGAGTTACAGGCTAAGGAAACACACGATGGTCCTTGACTAAATCCTCCACAGAGAGGAAAAGAAAACTGCAAAGGACGTGGACTTAGAAATGTGAATGCAAATTAGTGTCATTGCATCCAATAATCTGGAGTGTAATAAATTATATTACAATTATGTATAAACGCACCCTTGTTCTCAGGAGATACATGTTTAAAGACTTTTGAGAAAGCATCATGGTATCTTCAACTTACTTTCAAACAGATCAGCAGGAAAAAAGTTAATATGGAGAAAGCATGCAAATGTTACAAATGTGTGACTGCAGGAAAAGGGTATGTGACTTCACTGAATTATTCTTTCAACTTCTCTATAACTTTGACATTTTTCTAAATAGAAAGTAGAAAGAAAAGGAGAATTTTAAAAAATCATATATCTCAAATGAGCTTTTAAAAACATTTATATTTACCTAACAATCCCACTCCTTGGTGTACAACACAAGAGAAAACATGTCCACACAGAAATTTATACATGAATGTTCACAGTGGCTTCATTCACAATCACCAATAAATGAAAGCAACCTCAGTATTCATTAATGGATGAACATGTTACATTCACTTTGTGGCATATAAATAACATGTGATGATGCTGTTCAGCCATAAAAAGGAATTCAGTACTGACACATGCTGCAACATGAATGGACCTTGAAAACACTATGCTAAGTGAAATACACCAGATGCAAAAGGCCACATGTGGGAAATGTCCACAATTGGCAATTCCAGAGACAGAACACAGATTAGTAGTTACCAGGGGCTGGAGGGTTTGAGAGGAAATGGGAAGTGATTACAAATGAGTGAGGGTTTCCTTTCTGAGTGTTAAAAACAGTTCTAAAATTACACAGTGCTGACAGTTGCACAAATTCTGTGAATATATTAGAAACACCTAACTATACATTTCAAGCAAGTAAATTTGATGGTACATGGAATACACCTCAGTAAAGCAATCACACACACGGCTTTGGATTTAGTTCAATCTGACTTGCTAGGAGTTTTTTGAAAAGGAAGTTAAAAATAACCCAGATTTAGGACCAATTAAAGTTTACTTTTTTAAAAATCCTGTTACAGGATTCACCTAGATTTCATTTACAGGACCTGCCAAATTAGTGTTTTCGGCGCATTGCTCTGGCTCTGGGCTCAGCTCGGGCTCCGTGTGACCCTTTGTCCCCCACCCTTCCACACTCTGGTTTAATGAATAAGATGGAACAGGACCACTTTTCAAATTTCTGAATACATAATGACAAGACCAAAATTCCTATACTTACTGGCCTCAATTTCCTGCAAGTTTTTTTGACATCAACAATATTTTAAGAAACAAATGCAGCAGACTTGTGCAGCCACTGTGGAAAAGTGTGGAATTTTAATTTTTTTTCTCAAAAAATTAAAAATGGAACTCTCTTTTGACCCAGTGATTTTGTTGCTGGGAGTATACCCTAAGAATCCCAAAATACCAATTCAAAAGAACCTACGTACTCCAATGTTCATAGCAGAATTATTTATAATAGCCAAGGACTGGAAACAGCCTAAGTGCCCATCACTAGATCAAAAACCTATGGCATTTATGCCATGGAATATTATGCAGCAGAAAGAATGAAGGAACTCCTACCCTTAGCAACAGCTTTGATGGAACCGGAGACTATTATGCTAAGTGAAATAAGCCAGTCAGTGAAAGACAAGTACCATATGATCTCACTTATAAGAGGAATCTAATGAGCAAAATAAACTAACAACCAAAATAGAACCAGTAACATGGAAACAAGGAACGGAGACAGTGGCTGGGAGTTGGATCTGGACGACAGGGGCGGGGCGGGGCGGGGCGGGGCGGGGCGGGGGATGGCGTGGTATGGGGGAAGGAAGGGGAAGGGACTAGTTAAAGAACATGTATGAATGACCCATGGACATGGACAGCAGCGGGGGATTGACTGTGGGAGCAGGGGGTGGGCTGAGAGGAGGAAGGCAAAGGGGAAAACCTGGGACACCTGTAATAGAACAATAAAAATAAATGCTAAAAAGAAAAAAAGGAAACAAACAAATGTAAAAGCCCAACAGCGAGCTCTTGAAGTTTATCATCAGCAAATAAAACTAGCTCAAGTCACCCTGCAAGCCTGGAGAGAAACAAAGGGTTTCCACACCTAGATCTTGCTGTCTCCTTAACCTGACTTTCCCCTCACAGCTGTGAATGCAAACATGCACATGCTGACATATTTGTACCAAGACATGGGTTATTCCCAACAATATAACTGTAACTTAAGCATTCTGAAAAATCACTTCAGAAATGAACACCATACACTTTCAATATGAAATGATAAAAGAAGTCTTTTGATATTGACCTGTCAAAGAAGCCACATACTTTATTAAATGGATTTGATCAAAGCTTGATGGAAATTTTTAAAGTCAGTGTCTGCCTAAAAGAATTAAAAAAAATTTTTTTCCAAGCTTCTTTCTTAAACATGAGGCAACAGAGATGTCTGGTGACTGCAGAAGAGTTGGGGCAAATTATTACAGGATATTTTCACCATTTAGGGATAATAGCTTAAATTACATATGTAAAGTAATACTTTGTAGATCTTTCTCTAAATCCTGATTTTTAAATAAGTTAAATTTCCTTAAGACAAAACTGTCAAAAGCTGTCCCATACTTACTGACCTGAGATGAAGAAGCTTTGAAGAAGGTAAGTATTAATTTCCAGGTGAGGAGGTATCCCAGAACGTAGCAGAAGTCTTCACTCAGCGGCTTAATCGTAACTATCTGTCCCACTGGAACACACCCCAGAACACTGTCGAGCAGGTCCTCCTGAGTGCTGAGCAGGGACATCAGCGCCACTGGAGGGGACCTAAGAATGAGGAATCTCCACAGTCATCCTCACAACTCACACCCTTAACAAACAACAGCAGGTACAAACCCCAAACAGGCTGGAGAAAATCTTTCTCTATTTTCCAAACACCACTTAAAAGCCTCCCTTTATAAATTCAACTTTAATTCCTAATTTCAAATAATGGTAATTACAGAACCCGAAAGACAAAATATGTAAATATGTATGATTTATACATGAAAATATATGTATTATATATTATACTTATATATAAAGTATATAATATGTAATACATTGGAATATAATACACGTTACATATAAAATGCTTTTAAATATGTAAATTTTAAAAGTATATATTAAAAAGTATGTAACATGCTATAACAATTTAGACTCTAGAAGTTACCACTTAAAATCCCTTTTAGAAAACATCTATTTCAACTTCCTGTTTTATAGATGAAAAAAAAAATCACACACCCAGACAAGCTAAAAGGACTACAGTCCCTCAGCTAACGGGGACGAGGGCTGCCGCGTCCCACCAGGTCCTTCATCCTGCAACGGTGCAGAGACTGTACGACTCTGTCTTCTCAGGAAATGTAACGTTCACATTAATTCACGACAGGGCAAACTAACGTGGTCTTCACTGAACTACGCACTCATCAACACTTTCAGGTGAACCTCAGAGGCTCTCAGCAAGTGAACCCCTGGTGGCTGGGAATCCTGAGTTCTGCTCTCCTTTCACCTGTGTTCCTCTCCCTGAGGCTTCCTCCTCCCCCAGCCCCGATGCCAGGGTCTGCCAGCTCCTGCATGCAGGTGTTCTCCCCCAACACCACCCTGCCACGCACCAGCCTCTCTCTCTTCCATGCAGCAGTCACTAGGTTGCACAAGCACTGCTCCCTTGCCACACCGCCTGCACGCACGTTACGAATTCTGGAACAGTCTCTCTTCCCGTTTGCTTCTGTGTACAATTTTTTCTGCATACTAGTACCATAATCAGCCAGTGATATCCCATCTTCTACCAAATAATGCCCAAATCCTAAAAAATGTCATTTGTACCCTTCTAGCTTCGTCTTCCGCTCCGCCTCCCCTTCCCCGCTGACTCCACACATTCATTCATTTATTCTTCCACGAATGAGCACACTCATGAGTCTGTTCTAGGCTGGAGCCACCCTGGGAGCTATGCATAACTGAGAATAAGAGACAAAAATCTCTGCTGTCACACAGCTTAGCGTCCCCATGGAAGAAGACAAAGACGATGAAAATACAAGTTACGTGGTAACTACTCAACATTCGCAGCACATCCTGAACGTCTGTGCCACCGCGCCTTTGTGCGAGGCGTCCCCCTCACCTGGGTGGTCTTCTGGCCCTGCCGGCACACTGCCTCACCTGGAGGGCCCAGCACCAGTGTCTCTTCTGCAAGAGAAGCCTTCCCATCCTGGTGCACAGCAGGGTGGGCCGATAACATGCTACCCATCCTTTTTCTCAGCACCTGTCAAATACTGTCCGCTACTACAGGTAATACTCTCTACCTTAGATTGCAAGCTCCTTAAAAAAAAGAACATCTATTAAACACTGTATTCTCCTCTCAGCATCTAATCACTAGTTTGCACAAAAAAGGGTGCTCCATTGATACATTTAACCACAAAAGCTACCACATGAACCAAAAGAATTCTTTACTAAAGTGTAGCAAACTGAAAATAGGACTTAGGAGCAATTAAGATGCAAGAGAACCAATCCTGTTTGGGTGAACTCTAGGATGCACTGACATCCTACAGGAGACTGGGGAAAAGCGTACTCCGTGCTTAGAGCCTCTGCATCACCCCAGTCTCCTGAGGTCACTATAGTTGAGACAGCCTATGAAAACGTAGTAAAACAAACTATTAAAAATCTTACAGGGCTGGCTCTTCCTCTTCATCTCCATCTGACTTTAGATTATCCTGATCGTATTGTGGTAATTCTGGCATCAATCTGGAAATCAGAACAGTATTTTAAATGATTTTATTTTAAATTGTTAAAAATTTATGCTTAAGAGCAGAAATACCAATACTTATCTATTAATGAACATATTTTTTAATGTTTTCTGAAACAACTACCTATGGCTAGGACTATCTGACTGTAAATTCTGGATGGAGAACAGTGAACCAAAAGATCAAAAACTTCGCATTGCTTGTCATTAAAAAATGCATTGTCAAGTTTACTTTGTTTTTCTGTTTTTTTGTTTAACTTTGACACTTTCAATGATGAAGAATTAGAACTAAACAGACATTCTATTTCTCAGAGCACCATAATGCTGACTGGGAATCCATACTTGTAGAGCATGTGATAGGCAGCGATTTGCACGGGCCGCGCTCTGAAGAGGAGTAATGGGGCCAATGTACTCAGTAAAGTCTGGAGGTGCTCCGGCAAGCTCGCTTTTGGCCCAGCAACTGATCTTGCAGGGAGCTTGTGACTCAGCAGCTGATCCTTTGTGATATGTGTTAATGTTTCACACATGGGCTTCAGCATTGCATTCTGAAAGGATGTTTCAGATGTATCTTTGCTTTGTCCTGATGGTAACAAAAAGGAAAAAAGGTTATATCCCACAACAAAATGAGCAATACAGCTTGAATGACTCACAGATAATCAGATGTTATTAAAGAAAATGAAATAACTGGACAGGCATTAACCCACTGCAACTACAAACATGAGCTGAATATCAAATCATCTGAACTGTTCAATGACTTCTGGCATCTCATTCTTAAAAATGACAGAGAGGTTCCAGTTACAAATGATCTATCTGCATTGTCTGAGTTGCTGTTACTTTAATTTGCAAAGGCCTTCGATGCCTTGCCATTTTTCAACTCTTATCATGAACCGAGCCCATAATACTCCTGAGCAGCCTGGCTTTCTCTCCAGTCCTTTCTTTGACTATTCTATACCATTTGACCTAAACGTCCAAAGATGTTTTGAATGTTTTGACAAGTCATTATTAATGAATATCCCTTTTTTACTTGCCTGTAACAGTAACCAAAAGAGGTAAAAGCAAACTGTGGATGCCTTGGGAAAAAAACTCTTTCCATTCACTGATTAGATTTCCTGGGAGGTGGCCCATGGTATCTGCAGTTGCAGAATCAAAAAAAACGCTGAGCTCACAGGCCAGATCACAGCTGACACAGGCAAACAACTGGACCAGGGGGACACAGCACAGCGCATGGTTCTCGCTCGTTGTCTGAAGAAAGCGAAAGTTACACAGGTCAGCGGACCTCCGCCAGAGAATCAAAAATCAACAATCAAAAATCCCCCTCGTTTCTCTAAATTTTAAAATAAAAAGCAGCTGAAATATAAATACATACATACATACATACATACAGTCTCAGGAGACATTTATATAATTTACATCAAAATAACTTTTTTCAAAATTAAATACTACAAGTTAGAATCTACCTATTCTGAAATGCTTTTTATTTCTAAAACTACAAAAGAAAATCATACCAATTACCAGTTACCAAGTGAAATACATTAAAAACACATTTATAATCTTCTCAGGAGCCCTAGTAATCAGGCATTATTAAATTACTTTAAAATACAGAAACTGAGGTTCAACTAGGTCAAGTTTAGAACCCCAATCGCACAGCACCTCGGCAAGAGCAGGCGGAACTGAGATTCAGGCCAATTCAGGCGGACTCGGCCAGCCCCGGGGGCTGCGCGGGAGCCGGTGGCCGGGACACGCCAGCTGCTCTGGGCTCTGAGAGCACTCGTTTCCCTCCGAACCTGCTCGATCTCTGGGGCGTTACTGTGGCAACAGTGACACCTGCGCCTGAAGTTAGAAACAAAAAGTCCAAAAAACTGGCCATGGGAAGACTGGGCCTAGTGGGCCGTGCGGCAGGTGTCACGTCAGACGAGCGGACGTGAGCTCAGTGGCATTTGGGAGGCTGGGCCAGAGTGACACTGGCGAGGAGCGCACACACACAGAGGCGCTGATGACAATCGTTAGGTTGCATGGCTGGCCCACAGCTATGGACCTAGATACGCACGGAGACCCGGGAGCAGCCACGAGATGCCAGGTGAACTCACCTCCAGCCAGGCCAGCATGGAGCACATGATGAAGTCCCACTCGCTCTCGGCCAGAGGAGGAGAGCAGCACTTGAGAAACAGGGAGAGGAATCGCATTATTTCTGTATTCACTCCAAGGATCTCTGGACTCACTTCTGAGAGGTTACTGGGACAGAGACAAAGGCAAAGTGAACAAAAAGCATGAAAGAATTACAAAGACATTGTATTAGAAATATTCCATTTTAAATCTTACATACTTTAAAAAAGAGTGACTTAAGGGTCTACCATCCTACTACCTACAAAGTGTGACTGTAAAATACTCTATGTCCAGGTTGTATACAGAGAGGCAAACACAGAAGTATCACCTACCAACTGAAGAGAAAGATATCTTCATGGTCTTTCTTCCAGCATATCAGGGTTTTCAGTATACCGTGTAAGAGCTCTCCATCATCTATGCTTCTGGTTTGCAGACAAGAATTTAAAATGGCAAGATGTCCAAAACCTCCTATAGTAAAATTCAAAATGAAAATTAAAACATTTTGCCCTGGCTGATGGGGCTCAGTGGATTGAGCGCTGGCCTGTGAACCAAAAGGTCGCCAGTTTGATTCCCAGTTAGGGCACAGGCCTGGGTTGCAGGCCAGGTCCCCAGTGCGGGTGGCACATGGGAGGCAACCACACGTTGATGTTTCTCTCCCTCTCTTTCCCCCTCCCTTCCCCTCTCTAAAAGTAAATAAATAAAATCTTTTAAAAACAAAAAAAATTATAAAATTTTTCATTGTACTGCTACTAAAAAAGAAAGTCTCCTTTGAGGTAGATCAAAACTTTCCTGAGAAGTGCCAGGGGTTGAGGAGGTGTTAGGAGCACCGACCCCCATGCACTTGGAAATCTGCATGTAATTTGGGGGAGATGACTCCCCCAAAGCTTCCATCATCTCTCTTTATCTGTGGGGAACCAGTTCCAAAATGCCCCACCCTTTGACACCAAAATCTGTAGATGCTCAAGCCCCTTATACAAAGTCACCTAGAACAACGGCCCTCCACACTGCAGGTTCCCAACTGCAGATGGAAAATACCAGGGTACACAAGGGGGAAGGTGAATTTATTGGAAAAAACCCGGGCATGAGTGGACCCATGCAGCTCAAATCCATGCTGTTCAAGGGCTGAATGTGTAATGCCTTTATTCTTCCTTTACAGGCAGAGAAAGGACTGTTTTGTTTTTTTTTTGTTAAATCTTGCTGGCTACGTAGAACAGACTCAGGTAGAGGGTAGGCAAAAGCAGTTTACAGTTGTTGTATAGAAAATATAATAATTACTAATACAATAAAGTGTTTCATGTACTCACAATTGTAAACCTACTCATGCCTACCCCTGAATAACCAGAAATAACTGATTTTCCAACAACTAACCATATTTGTTAGCTAATTGTTATATCAGTGTGGCTGAAAGAAGAAAACTGGTTGTCAAACATCAAAAACGTGTGCCCCCTGCAGTGTCCCTCTTGCAGGGCCCTACACAGGGGCCCGACACTGCCGCCCGCCCCTGCCCGACCTCGCCCCTGCCCGACCTCTCGGCCACCCTCTGTGCAGCCTGTGCCGAAGAAATCACCTGCTCCTGTCGGGTTCCGTTCCCCTCCCCCTCCCCTCCCCTCCCCCCTCCCCCCCCCCCCCCTCCCCGCAGCGGGGTCACCTGCTTCCTGCTCCAGACCCACCCCCCACCCGGAAGGCTATTTCTTCGCCCTGGCGAGCCCTGGGTGCCAGCGTGGCAATGCCTGCAATGCTGGCTGATGGCGCAGCTTCCTCCCTCACTTCAACTTCTACTGCCCCTTCATGAAGCCTACAATGCAGTTCCCGCTCCTCAAGTGGCCCGGCCTGAAGAGACCTGAAGCTCATCGGTCTGGATCGTACGCGGGTCCCAACCCCGTACTGGCATCTGCACTCTGCCACCTGGCCTGACCTTGTCTCAGAAGAAAGTCACCACCTATGAGAAGGACACCTCCCAACAGACATCTTCCAATGGCGTTCAAGGTCCCCCGCTCTTGCCTCCCTCCTCTGCTCCTGGGAACTTGCCCCGATTGCTCTGTCTCCACTTTCCATCCCTCCTCCCCACCACATGTACTTCCCCATGACCTCCAGTACTCATCTTCTTTCTACCACCCTCTCAGCAGACCCCGGACTAGGCGGTTCGCCCCCACCTTCTCAGCCCGAGTCTCTCCAGCAATGCCAACTCCAACGCCCATTCTCAGCCCCGAATCTTATGTAACCTTCTGCAGCATTTAACACAGGCGATGGGCATTACTTCAAATTCCTCCTTTGATTCTCTTTTATCTTTTGTCCTTATTCTCCAGGCTCCACCCCTCCCATATACCCTTTAAATTCTGTGCTCATGTCCCCTTGGTATTGTGTCTGGACAAGCCCACCCTCATTTACAGACGTCACACCACCGACAACTGGACCTTGACAGCAGCATCACTACCCAGCCAAGAGCGTGAGGCTAACTCAAAGGCTCCATTCGAGTACTTACTCCACAGGCACCTTCATCTCATGCGTTTAGAACGTAGCTCCCCGTATGCTCCTTCCCCATCCTCCCAATCCTCAGGTGTCCTATGGAATTTCCTGCAAGGGCTAATGGCGCTTCCATCTCCCCAGTATGGGACATAGTCCCAGAGCCCCTTCAATTCTAGGCCCTAAAGCTCTCATTTTCATATCCTCTCTGCCATCTAGGCCTTGATTTACACTCTCTTTACCGCTCATTAAGACTAATCTAGTAGCTTCCTACCTCGTCTTCTTCCCCCAGTCTCACGTCTCACGTCCACCTTGGGCAGTTGTCAAAGGAGGCTTTCTAAGGTAAACGTGCTACTCTCTTACCTAATATGGTCCAACAGCTCTACAACTTCAAGTCCAAACTCAGCCTACAATCTAGGCCTTAGGATCCATTCCCTCCCATCTCAGAACCCGTCTTCTTGGGCCATGAACCTTCGACCTTTGATGCCAGTTAAACTGAGCTATCTGCACTCTGTCCTTCCTGAACTATGGGACCTACAGAAGATGACCCTTCAACATTCAGCCAAAACATTTCTCTTTCTGAAACTGCCACTGACACTCAAAACAGATTTGCAAACTGCTTTCCTGCCACTTCCACACAGAGGCCACATCAGCTACCACAGGACATACTTTGTGTCTGTCTTCTCAATGAAAGGGGCTGACACACAGCCAGCGCTCCACAGTGATCATTCAATCAATAAACAGACGAACTAAAGATGGAAAAGTGTCCCAAAAAGTTTAAAATACAGCAAAAGCTTTTCCCTCATTTGACTGTGTTTCATCACTGGCTGACTAGGGAGAAAGGGATGGGGCAGAACTAAAAAGCTACAGTCAGCCCTGGCTGGTATGGCTCAACTGGTTGGAGCGTTGTTCCATAAACCAAAGGTCTCAGGTTTAATTCCCGGTCAGGGCACAGCCTGGGTTGCGGATCCAGCCCTCGTTCGGGGCACGTTCAAGAGTCAACTGACTGATGTTTCTCGCCTCCTCTTGCCCCCCCACCCATGTCCTCAGATGAGGATTTAAAAAAAAGCTACAGATGAAAAGGAAATGATTAAAGAGAGGCTATTTATGGTTGTAAATCCTCCTGAAGGCTGCAGCATTTGCCCGACAAAATGGGAATGGACACTCACCAAAGACACTAATCGTATTGACTGTCAGCTTGTTATGCAGTAAAGGTATAAACCAGGAATAGGTCAGCTATAATTTAATTTATCTCTGCTAGGTTTGGGTGTAGATATTGAGGCACTTCTTATGTCTCAAGGAGTAATTAATAGAATATTTATTATTAAGAAACTAACCATTTATACTGCAAAGATCTTCCTTGGTCCAGGCCAAAAGGGCAGGTATACATTGAGCAATGAATTCTTTCTTGTCTTCTTTAGACAAAAATGGACAGAGACTTTGAATGGTGTGCATATGACCCTCTGTTAGCGGGAAAAAGCTGTTCAAAGAAAAGAAAAACTGAATTATATTTATCCTAAATATGCAGTTATTTCAGAAAATTCCTTATTCAGATTATTTCAAAAGGACTAGTCATTCCACTATATAAAATAATTGTATATAAAAAATAGAATCTATGCAGAGATTGCTAACTGCAAATTTGGAATGATGAAAGTATAATTATTTTTTGCTGCTGCTTTCTCTTTTTAACACGTTTTTAATTTTTTAAACAAGTGTATTTAACTTACCCCATCTATGACTGCCTTACGTTATACACATAACACACATTTAAGCTTCCTGAAAGAGTCCACTGTGGATCTACACAGTACCATGTGTCCTTTCTCTGTGAACTAATACTCGTGTGTGCGCGCGTGTGTGTGTAGATAGATAGTTGGGTTCATTTACATAATCACATAATACTAAACAGTTTTCTTATCTGCCACTTTTAGGCTTAAATACAAAGTATACAAGTTGTTACCTGTCACTTCTATACTTTGTAGTGTTTCTGTGTCAGAACACATAGGTATGAATTATTCTTCGTATTAGTATTTTTTATGTACTACATAACTAAGTTACAAACAAAAATATTCCAGACGATGGCAGTCTCATAGCTTAACTATTTCTCTGTTGCTGCACATTTAGGTTTCATTCCCCACCTTTTTGCTCTTGTAAATAGGCTGCACTCAGTGTCCTTGAACCCACATGCATATACCCCTCAGTCTAGGGCCCTGAAAGTACAATTGCGGCGTCAAAGGATTTGAAGGCACTGTATTTTGAATTTCAAATTGCTTTCCAAAAAAAACCCTAACCCATTTAAACCATCACAAAATGTACACATGACTCTTTTGCTGTACACCTAATGAATCTTTTGAATTCCTGGCACCAGGTCAGATATGCTTTATTTGACCATTACGATTGGTAAGATAATTCCTTTCATATTTTGTATTTTGTAAGTGAATTACCTTTGATTGTTTCATCTGTGAATTTCCTGTTCGAATCCTTGATACATTCTTCAATTTGGATTGTTTGAATTAATAGAAGGTATTGATATATTATGGACATTCTTTGTTAATTTGCAAATGTGTTCTTCCATTTTGTCACTAGGCCTTTTAATCTTTGTTTACTGTATTTCTGTCATAGTTTTCTTTTCTAAGGAAATATTTTACTGTGGTATTTTATTGTGGTAAAATATGAGTAACAGAACTTATCATGTTAACTATTTTTCAGAGTAGATTTTGGTACTGTCACTTGTATTCACACTGCCGTGCAAACATACTCCAGAACTCCTTCCATTTCACAAAACTCAAACGCTATGCGATAGCCAAGAACTGCCCCTCCCCCAGCCCCTTCTACTGTCTGTCTCTACGACTCTGATTAAGCTGGGTCCCTCAAACCAGTGGGACCGTCTAGTCTTCGCCTCTTTGTGACTAGTTGGTTTCACTCAGCATAACGTCCTCAGGGTTCATGTGTGTGGTGGCCGGTGCCTCTTCTTTTTAAGGCTGAGGGATGTTCCACAGTACATATGTACCATATTTTTTGTCTGTTTGTGTTGATGGACAATTAGGTTGCTAGAAGCTATCATTTTTACATTATCAAATATCTATCACTTCTTCAATGAATTCTGGGTTTTGTGTTTTGCTTAAGATCTTCTCCATGCAAGACAATCCGGTCCCTTAATCCCCTAAAACTTCACAGGTCTATTCTTTACATTTAGCTTTCACCTGGACTTTATGTTTAGGTGTAATATCAGGAACAGGTCTTGCTATATTTTATAAACATATACCTAGTTTTCCTAACATCATTTATTACTGATTCTCTTTCCACTGATTTGAAGGTCACCAGTATTGAAAATTAAACCCTTACGTCTGTGTGGATTGGTCTCTGGGCTCGAGACTATGCTCCACTGGTTTGTTTATTCACCATTTCCATGGAGTTTAATGACTGGCTGAGCAAGTTCTTTTCACTTTTCTCTTTCAGAAATTTCCTAGCCATTCTTAAGCATTTTTCCTTCAAAGGCATTTGATGTTTAGAACAGCATGTCAACTTTTTCAAAAGATGTTGTTGAAATTTTTATTGGGATTGCAGTTAAATTACAGGTTGATAAGACCATTTGTATGATTTATCTTCCTATCTTCTTTCCTAATCTTTTTTAAGTTTTACAATTATAATTTTTATTAATTAATTTGTATGTATTTATAGTCTTGTCATTTGCAATGAAATCTTTTTTCCTGTGACAATTTTTAATTTATTCTTACTGATAAGAAAGTTACTGATTTTTGCATGTCAAGTATATATCCACCTCAGCAGTGATTAAATAGTTCTTGAGTTAAGTCTCCATTAATTTTATAATCAAAAAAATTTTAAATTATGATGAACAGAACAGCTAATATCAAAATATCATACAGTGGATGATGTCACTGACAGCACATTCCCGGGTGAGGCACCTACAGCGGGAGAGCAGATGACTGGGTGGCCAGAGATGAGGACACGGGGTGGAGGGAGGTGGCTGTGGGTGTGAAACGTAGCACAAGCGAAGCTTAGGATCAAGGCTGTTCTCAACCCTAAGACCGTGCTGGCTGGGGGTCCCGTGGAGTCTACAGGGAACACACGCACACGCACAAATGACCGCAGGTACACCAGGCCAATACATTGTATCAAGGTCATTTTCTGGATGTGATATTGTGCTGAAATTGTGCCAAATGGTGCCGGTGGGGAAACTGAACGCAGGACACATGGAGACTTTCTGTATTATTTCTTATATTTGCATGTGAATCCTTATCTCAAAAAAAAATTTTTTTAAGTTTTAAATAAGATTTTTAAAAAATCAAACTTTAGTTTACAATTCTACTGTGCCAGAACATAAACGTATCATTCTTGAATGTTTCTTGGTAAATCAATAAATTTAAAATGCCTCCTGGTGAATTTCAGCTGAGTGTTGACTTTGAATGCTCAGCTTCTCCAGCATGACAAACCCCAGCAGGTCTCTTCTCGGTCTAATTGTAGTGTATTTCTTTGTCTTAAGAACACATTTACTGCATTTCTAGAACACACTTCAATAGGATGACCCCTATGAAGAGAAGAGTAAGGAACTTTCCAAAGAACAACTAACATGATGAACGATGTCAGAGATGGAAAATAATAGAAAGATATGCACCAGAGGGAGACTTTTGGGGAAAAGAGAACAAGTTTATAAAATGCTACTTGTCTAAAACCAGTATGAACCACACCAAAATGTTATAAAGTTAAGAATGCTTATTCAAAAAAGGTATGTTCCAAACCTAAAACAACTCAAATTGTTTTCAGTCTTTAATTCTCATTTCCTTTACCTAAATTTCATCGCCTAGGCCTTGTTTTCTCGATTCATTAGAGACTGTTGGTTAGTTGGAGGTTGCCAAGGTGACCAAATACAATAAATTACAAAGTGAAAAATTTAACTAATTATACCTTTCTTTTCTCTTATAATGCTGTTTTACTTCATCAGATGAAATGCTTCGGGAAAAGATCAATTTAGCAATAGTAAGAGACCATAGAGTGCCATGTTCCATGGATCTAAAAAAGGAAGAAAAAATCCATTTTGAAACTGTACCTACAATTTCTAAAACCTGTTTCCCTACATTCCTGGAACAGAGTTGAATCTGTTGCCCTGTGAGGGTGCCACCTCACATAGGACTTCTGCCCCCAGGACTGGGAGGACCGGGCACACAACAGCCCTGAGCTTCAGGATGAAGCCTGAAGCCACAGGCGGCGGCCTCGGCTGACCGCGGCCAAGGGGCTGGGGCTGAGGCAGCTCAGGCGGCTGCCGGCTGCAGCGGGGCTGCCGAGAAAGACTTGTCCAGCCGGGCCCAGACCCTGGAAGCTCCTAAGAGAAAGCAGTTCCGCCCAGTTAGTTCACCTGCAGAACCTCTACCTGTGATCACCTTCACGGTGGCTGGTTCTCATACCCACTTCCTCGTCTAGGGAGAGGGTCTGTGGCTCTCACGGCAGGATGCAGCTGTGACAACGTGCAGGACACAGACTGCGTTTCACAGGAGTGGGAGAGCGGGTCACAGATGACGCGTCAAAACTGTGTCTGCGGGCTCTGTCCCTTTCATCATCTGCCCCTTGAACGTGTTTATAAGTTTAACAACACAAAGTCCAGGTATCCCCCCAGGAAAAAAATAAATAAATAAAGTACTTAGTATCCACAAAGTATTTATTAAGAATTTGGATTTACAGCAACCCTCTGAAAAAATGAGCATAGAGAGGGCTTATATTCTATATAAACAATGCCATAAAGTAGTAAAATAGTCATTTAAAAATGAAAATTGAAAGGTATTTTTACCTGTTAAATAGCAGGTGCAAAAGGCCAGCAGTATTACCAAGTCCATATAGGTTATCATATGTAATACTCATTTTTTCAAGCATTTCACAAAATCCAGTCAGGACAGTGGGCCGGTTGTCCACTTCTTCACACCACTGCAGGGAATAGAGCAGCTCTGCGGCTGAGAGGAGGGCGCATGTTAGCGAGGGCGCACGGTGACAGCCTCCTAGCCCCCTCCTGCCTCTGCCCCAGTCTCTGACGCGGCCGTGTCTGCTAGTCTCAAAGCATCTGTGAACTGACTTCCAAACCTGCTCTGAGACTTTCAAGATACTGAAAACTGAGAACATCTGTCTGACACAGAATACCACTCCTTCACCAACTCTTACTTGGTTCCTTGTCTGATTAGTTATGAATGGGACAGGGACCTTAACTGCCAGAGATGCGGGAAGACTCTTCCTACCATGTTTGCCACAGCGGTAAGAAGCTGCACACGGGATAAACCACTAAGGGATGCGAGGCCTGAGATGAGCCCTGAGGGGAGACGCTCCAGCCAGCGTGGTAGGGAACAGAGGGCGGCAGGGGACCCTGAACAGGGCGTGGGCCCCATGCAGACCGTCTGTCTTCCAATGAGCTTCACCGAGAGCCACCCGTGAGGACATGACTGCCTGCCTCTTAGGAATTTAAGGACCAAGTGTCTTTCATAAGCCTGGCATGTCACAGGCTTTTAACATACATTTAGTCACAAATCTCTTTTACAAATTCATGTATGGTTTTGGATTTTGAAGCCAGAAGACTGAGATCTTGTTTAAAACCTAATCCTACCCTTTACAAGCTAAATAATTCTAAGCAAGTCACAATGAGAAAAACAGTAATATCTAACTTGATAGGATTGATGAGAAGATTACACAACGTTGTCAGTTTGGAATTAGTAATACAATTAACAAAAGTACATCATTGCAGAAATGACACTACCGTCCAGGCTGGCTTTTGGACAGTCACTCTGGCAACCGCGTAGCCGGGGGCTCCTCGCCTCGCCCTGAACAGCACCTGCAGCTGGCCAACCACAGGCCCCACCTTCCTCGCAGGAACTGCCCCCGGCCCCGGGAATGGTCGCCGCTGAGGGCTTGCACACGAGGCCGACAGGGGAACTGAGCAAACCCTCGATTTCCAGTGCCATCTGCCCCGCTCGCATGCCACCTGTAGTTCTACACTATTTCAACCTCCACTTGCCAGGAAGACAGAGGTCCAGTGGCTCACACATTAACTAAAAATTCAGACTTCTTGATTACACACCAGACTCCCTGCACAGTGTGCTCATGGTTATGCGACACAGGACCCACTTACACTGATGTCATGCCAGTTTGAGTAAGTGATCTTATACCACATTCTGCTGTAACCTAACAAGATTATAGCAAGATTTCAGTATGTTTCCATCTGATTTGCAATTTAACATTCATCACTTAAGAAACCTCAAGTTTCTCATCACTAAAATAGTAAATAGGAGCAGCAGATTCTTGATTCTATAAAGAGTTAAACTGTGGTATAACCAAAAGTATTTCAAAATTCTTTCAAAATTCATATTCATATTACGTCTGGATGCTCAGGTATACTTACTTATGTTCTCAAGCTCATTATTTTCTAGGACTATCTCCTTCTTCAGGGCCACTAATATCATTTTGCTCAATAATGCCGAAGTACACAAATGACTAGGAAGTTTCTTTGTATCTTGTTCTTTAAAATCTGTTTTGAAACACTCATAATTCAAACTCAGTCTTCCTTCTAAAAGAGGTCTATGCAACCACTGTAGAAAGACAAATTATATACAATATCATTAGATATTCTATTTACCACCAACTATACAACTAAGACAGGGAACAAAAATAGTTACTAGGACATCTTCAAGTTGTTACTAAATTTTTAAAAATGAGCTCATTATCAATATAAAAATACAGTCACAGAAGCCTAAAGCTTGGTCTCTACCATAAGATATTCTCACATGCACATTCCTTGCAGACACCTGCGGACATCACCTTGCACCACAGCTACTGCTGGTGTCAATCGGGGTCTTGCAAACAGCAAACACACGATATATAAGCATTCAGAGGCATAAGGGCAAAGCGAGATACTTACTTCATTTACTTGTTTTTCTTCACCAGAAATAAATAAAAATATGTAAGCTTCCATTACATACAAACATAAGAGTGAAATACACACTCCTCAACCTCAAACATACCTGCACAGGGAGAGACTGTCTCATCATCCCCCACTCGCTGCTGCTTGGCATGACACTTGCAATGTAATCTCCCAGGAGGGAAGTGTCTTCACTCTCTCCAAGCTTATTGAGCAAATCATCCACAGTAGACAAGAGGCTGTGAAGACTAAAAATAACACAAAGAATGTGACTATTATAGTTACGCCATGAAAAACGTGAATGCCCTGGCACAAACTGAATGCCTTGTGGTAGATAACAGCTTCCCTGAACAAAAAGGCAAACAAAGTAACGATGAGTGGCTTTGCTATGTCGCCATCCACCCCAACCACACACACGGTCACTCTCAGGATTTAATCCCACATTTACAATTTGAAAAGAGAGTGCTTCTTCCACCTCAGCGTGAAGGGGGTCTGACCCATTCCTGATCAGATTATTTCTGAAATGCACTCCCACAGTCCATGAAAAGAGCACAGTGATCAGAAACAGACGAGACTCAACCCCAAAGCCTCTGGATGCATCTGCTCAGTTTTCACTTTTAAATATGGATTGAAGTGTGCGATGAGAAACGTATTTGCAATTCAAATACCTTAAAACAGTGGCTGTCAGACCCCAAAAGATAACCAAAACAGAACAATCGCTGTGTGAGCCGACCAGGAGAAATAATGGTTGTGAGCCACACCAGGTGAGACACAGGACAGCGTCTGCAGCCCGTCACTGTGAATCAGGAGTGAGGCAGGTCTGCCCTGACAGTTGTTCTTCAATTCACTGACTTTAAGGCAAATTCTTTTGGAAAAATTCTCTTAGGAGTCCTATCAATTTCTTATATAACAAGTCATTTTTCACAGGCACTCACATTAAAGATTTAAGGACAGTGAACAAGTATTAAGAAATGCTGTATAACTGGGCACAAAAATGGTTACCTTTGGATGTCCAAAGATGAAGCCTGGACCTGGTTCTTCAGCCACAGAGCAGACAAGTGCAGGAAGGCACTCTGGGGACCTCTGCGGCCAGTTTGATGAACCAATACATTCAAACCAGAGAGCCAAGTATTTTTCAGTTTACAGATAAGAAAGTCTAAAATCAAGATGTCAACAGTAATTTGTAATTCCACTGCAGTAATTATAATCATTACAAAATGTCTAAAAGAACTCATTGCCGGGCTCAGATTATTAAAGGTAACATTCAAAAAGAAGACAAAAATTACTATTAGTATTAAATCATCAAACAAACTAATTATGTCATAAGTATGCAATAATACAAGCTAGCTCATGCCACATAAAGTAAAAATGGTAAAATTAAAGTTGTCCTTTTGGAGATGCAAAAAATATTGGGTTGGTCAAAAAGTTCATTTGTTTTTTCCTTAAGATGGCTCTAGTAGTGCTTAGTTGTTTTTAACTTCATTCCAAACAATTTTGTTAGACTGTATTGCGACAGTTGTCCTACCAGTGTGCATTTAAAAAAAGACATCAAAACGGGTGAATATTTGTGCAGCCATTTTAATATTTATCATGGAAGAAGATATGCAGTATTTTTGGCATAGTATGCTTTATTATTTCAAGAAAGATAAAAACGCACCTGAAATGCAAAAAAATGATTAGTGCAGAGTATGGAGAAGGTGTTGTGACTGATCGAACGTGTCAAAAGTGGATTGTGAAGTTTCGTGCTGGAGGTTTCTCACTAGATGATGCTCCATGGTCAGGCAGACCAGTTGAAGTTGATAGCAATCAAATTAAGACATTAATTGAGAATCAACATTATACCACACAGGAGATAGCTGACCTACTCAAAATATCCAAATCAATAAAGTCACTGGTGAAAACAAAAAAATGTGTCTTCTTTTTTGGCCTTTTTAGCCAACCCAATAAGCATGCCTTTTCCAAATAGAAAAGCTAGTACTAAAGCAAGTGCTGGAGAGGAACGCTCTCCAACAACAGTATTTTTAAAAATATTTCTTTCGTAAGTAATTCTAAGTCAATACACAAGGCAAGAATATAGTCCTTAAAAAGGCAATCTCGATTTCATTTTGATGTAGACTGAGATTAAATGTTCTTAACTATTTAAAAGAAGGAAAAAGGTAAGATACGACGCCTTCCAAAACTATTCCTTTGATATCCAGTAAGAACTTCAGACATAATGTCTACATACATCTTTAACTTGGTTTTGTTAAAGTTGAAAGTGTTTTAAGATTTGAGTCCTTTACTCAAAATGGTTTCAACTTTCAAACACATTATATGATTCAATTAATAAAGCCTTGGCACTTACACTATGAAGGTCAGAGCCGGAGATTCCCAGCAAAACATTTGAGCAGTAGGCTATTACCTGGCAAATGTGTTTTTTCTTTGCTCTGAACACATAACTGAAAGAGAGTTAATAATAAATCTTCAGATGATGGCATAAGCAAGCATCCTTTTGCTGAGCTGAAATAGTCATAGACCACATCACAGACAAAACACACTGAAGAGTCATTATTTTCAGCTTCTGACAATTTCTTTGCTTTGGATAAAGTTTCATGAAGTTTAACAATAATTCTTTCAACATAAACTTCTCCAATCAAGTAATCTAGAGGAAAAAACCACAGACAAAAAATAAAAATGTTAACAGCATAATTTTCATTACCTTACAACTTGAGTCTTTGTGTTTATTAAAAAAAGGTGCTTGTATTAGACAAAAGAAAATCATATCAACAAATGAATCTGTTCTCACAAAAAGAGGCCTCATGTAAAAAATAGCAGTTTTGATTTAAACTTAAAAAGCTATGCTCTACAAAATTAGGGCAAAGAACTTTGCAAAATTCAAAACCCTTTATAATAAAAACCAAAATATTAAATGTCATCCATGTCATGCTACCAAGATAATAAACAGTTAGGGTACCTAAAATTTAAGGTATTTTAGTAAATTATGTCGTGTATTCTCAACAAGTAATATGCAAACTCAGCAGCATGAAATCCCCCCAAAAGTGATAGGGTTATTCCTCACTGAAAAACAAAAGTCATGTTTTTGCCTACCATTTTTAACATGTTGTGATAATACCAAGCTTAAAAGAGTCCATCTTTCTGAGAAGTTAGGTTCAGAAGTTACTGTGGATTCCAAGTCTTTGTTGCACAGATGATCTGCCAAGGTTACCAATTTCTCTCCGAGGATGTCTCCTTTCAGCCAAGAAATGACTAAAGCATGTTTCTCTGGACTAGAACATGCCTAAAACCATACAATTAAAGCAACAATGAGAAGAAAGACCACAATATCTATCTGCCTGGAGTCTTACTTCCTGATCCCTGAGCCTCCCTGAGCTCCTCCCGTGGCCCCCCTCCTCCCTCATCTCCTCCCCAGCGTTGAGGTCCCCGCAAAGCCTCGCTTACTAGACCCCTTGCTTTGCTCTTACATCTTCCCAACCACTTCCCCAAGTCCCATCCATTTTTCGAGAATTACTACAAATCCCACCTGCTTTTTGAGGTCTCCCCTCCATCCTCTCATCACTGATTTTCTCTGAATTTCTAAAGCACTTACTGGATTGTATTATTATTTAAATGTTTCATCTGCGTGTGTCTTGTGTCCAATGAGACTCTAAGTTCCTTGAGAGCAGAGACAGTCTAAAGCTTCCTTGACACCTGCTATCAACTGCAGATATTTTCGATAATGAATGGCTGTACTTTGAGGACAGATTTTTTAAAAATGTCCTACAGATATTCAATTTTTGTTCATTACTTTTATTAGAATTAAAGCACAATTAATAGATAATGGTAAATCACTTCAATATGAATAATGGTACTTATTCTTCCCACAAATTCTTTGAAATAGTTACTAGGGCCAAAAATGTGACAGCAACTAGTTTATTTTCATGGGGTGGAGAAGCAAGAAAAAAACTGTAAATCCAACCCCAAAAGCATGCTGATCCATGTTCCCAGAGCTTCTTTTGTTTTAAGGGTTGAGAAGAAAGGAATTTGCAATTTGGTTCATTTCAAAGCAATCTAGGAAAGAAAAAAAACAAAAACAACCCAAGTATGGACCAGGTGATGCCTGAAAAACTTTATCCTTTTACTTAAAAAATTGTAGGTAAACATAGTTTTTATTTTAGATCAAGTTTTACCATTATTCTGGCTTTATGACTTCGGACAAATCTCATGATCAACCTGGGCCTATTTCCTACTTTGAAAAATGAAGATTAACCTAGAAAATCTCTAAGATTCTCTTCTGCATATAAAATCCAGGTTTGTTTTTAAAGGTGGCTTTAGGGCTCTGCTCATAAAGCATGAGGTTGCATAAAGACAAGGAAAACCAGAGTTTAGATGGCTATAAAACTGGCTTTCCTAATACAGTTTATCAAAAAAAGACCCATCTATTTTATAGAATCCTACAAAATCCAGAAAATAATCCTCTGAATAAAATGTCTCAGATTGGCAAGACATGAGGGTCAGCTTCGCCACATTTTAGCTAGAGAAAGAACCCGAGCAGCTTTAGGGATGGGAGGCAGCCGCTCATGGGTGAGTGGGAAGCAGAGACTGCCCCGGGTAGAGGCCAGTCTCCCAAACACATGCATCCAAACCCCAGGGCAGGCACCTCTTTCAGCTGGAAATGGAAGGATCAATCTCTTATCAAACGTCTAACTCCCCTTACTCTGATTCTAGACTGGTCAGGCAGCTTCCGGTGAATGTGGTTTCTATGTAGCCTGCCTATAGGGAGAGAAGGTGCTGGGTAAACTACTGCAAAGATGTGTCTGATAAATTATATTTCTCATTGAAAAACAGTAATGTTGTATATTTCTTTCGTAAAAAAATAAACTGCTGGGGGAAATGGGGAGTTATTGTTTAATTGGTAGTTTCAGTTTTGCAAGATGAAAAAGCTCTGGAAACTGGTTGCACGGTAATGTGAGCACCCGAACACGACTGAACTACACACTCAGAAACCATTAAGATGGTAAATTTTAGGTTGTGTTTTATGCCATAATTTTAAAAGATAGAAAAAAACCTGTAGGTTAAAGAGTTATCTGTGTAACACTTAAAAATAATCCAAAAAAGGTAAAATAAAATTTTAAGTAGTCATAAAATTTCCGTTGTTGGAAATGTGTTGTTAATTATATTATTTACATCTTCATTAGGGAAGAATACTTAGGCTATTTTTTTTAACTTTCCAAATTGTTTTATGTTCCTTGCTTTCTTTCCATTATTCTCATCATAAACTTTCTTATTCAGTTAGGTCGCCATTAAAGGCTGGAAGATTTCATTTGCCTGCGTAGTATTCCAGAGCCAGACCAACCATTTCCTGATGTGTTCTAGTCAAAACTAGACCCACTGAATCCATTTCCATGGAAGAAAAAGTGACGAGGATAAGAGTACAAACCTGTAGCCTTCGTTAAAAAAATGAAATGTTTACGCTCTCCCTCTGGGGAGCACACCCGCGCCTTCTCTGTCCTTCCCCACCCCCAGCCCCACCCCCACCCCCACCCCCACCCCGCCAGACATGATGCCTTGGCCTCTCCCTCTCCTCAGCTCCGAGGGCCCTTCTCCTGCCTCTGTGACTGGTTTCCTGATGCGGGCCAGCTGGCTCACTTCTGCACCTGCGACTTTCTAAACGAACTTTTCCTTATAATTTGAAAAAATATATAAATAACAAAATAAAATGTTTAATCTTCCCCTTGTTACCTGCTAGGAAAGAAACAGTGGGTTTTCATAGCCTGTTCATTCTTCCTTGATATTCCTAACCTGCCAAACACTGCAGAAAAGCAAGCACCAAATGCCTTCCCAAATTATGAGAAGTGATCATAATGAGGAAGTCCTCTGGCACAGGTGTCTGACCACATACCAGTGCATCACTATGACTGTAGTTTTAAGTTTTCCACAACCATAAACACGAAAAGAAAAACAGAAGAAAAAGAATCCCTAAGATACCTTTTCGATGACCTGAAGAACTGAATTCCACTTCAGATCCACCTGAAAGAGGAGTCAGAAATAATCACTGGAAGGAAGAGTAAACATTTACAAGTAAATGAAGTAACCGGGTAACCATTACAAGAACAAAACGTTTTCAGCTAATCCAACTCCCCGCTTTGTTACTACGCTTTTGTCCTGATCACATACTCACTGAACACCTACCGTGAGGTCTCACACACCTCCCAAATCACAATCAGTATATTGCTTATCTTTAAAGTGACATTCGTAATCAAGACACAATCCAAATGTGCGCCCCCCCCCCCGCCGCCTCCCCCCAGGACTCCTTCTCCTTGTCTACGGTCACGATGCCAGAGTAAACCAGTACAGTCTGAAAAGAGATGTGACAGTAATACCTCAGTTAGATCATCCAAGACGTCTTTTCTTTCCTTATCGTTGTCACAGCAACGAAGGGCACTGTACAAAATGTCCACCAAGAAACCAGTGTCCTTCCTTTGGTCTTCATTTAGCCAACCGATTAGTTTCTGGTATAAAAACTGCACTGCGGGATGTTTTTGTACAAGTCTGGCTATTTCAGGAGGTTTAGATTTGACAATACTCTGCTTTTCATCACCTACTAGCATCTTAAATACTTGGGTTGAAGAGAAGGAACTGAGCAGAGTGGAAAGAAACCTTAGATGTTGCTCTGAGTTTTGTTCATTGACAAAGTTAATGCTCATCTCTGCGAGTCTGCAGACTAAGTCTTCCAAAGGTTTCGTCCGAAGTGGAGACAGGAGGTCTGAACGGTTATGGGAGAGAAGAGGCTCAGCCACCACTTCACAGCCCTCACTGTTCTCTCCTGAGAAGACACATTTTTCATTCTCTGTATTACTTTCAGGCATCTCATCAGCAAATCTAACCTTACCAACTTTTTTCCTACTTGACTTCAACGAGTTCTTCGGCTTTTGAAGGACCTGCAATAGGTTAGATACACCCAAAACAGACTTAACATCAGCTTCTGGCTCATTGATTTTCTCAAAACAGATCTCTGCTAGTCTTTCCCAGAAATTCAGTAGCACGTTCTCCAAGCTGTGAGCAGTTTTAACATCTTTTTCCAAATCTGCTTTGGCTTCCCAAGAACTTAAAGTTTCTGCTAAATAGTCAAATAGTTGCCCGTCCTGCAACCTTTGGTCTCTGAGAACTGCATCAATCACAGGAATCAACTAAAACAGAAAGGGAAATATAAAAGTTCAGTTTTCAGAAGAAATAAAATTTAAACAAGGTAGTTGTATAATACTATAAATTTTCATATTTAATACATGAAAAACAAGGATTTCCCCCCCAGAACTCTGAAAAGTTAACCTGAAAATTATTTTCCTATCATATAAAGAGCTTAATGATTTCACTGTATTCCCCTGAATTACTTCATTTTTATGATATACATGACCAAGATTATTGGTCATTAACAAATAATATACTTTTCTCTGCATTTCTAAAGTTAATCAAGTTTTCTGCTTTTTCCCCTAAGCCAATATGAAAGACACAGAGGACCCACAGCCTCCAGAACCCTTTTCTTGAATCACAAAGACAAGAGAAGCCGACTGTGTGAGACAGCGACAAGGGCTCGTAGGCGAGTTTCCTGCCACAAGGGCCATATTCCAGAGCCTGCTCTCACGGCAGCTTCTAAAGGCCGAGCCCAACTGTTCACAGAAAGACACAGTGCTTGAGTATTTCATAAGTAGTAAATACTTAAGTACGTGTGTTAGAACTTACCATATTTAAACTTACTGTAGTTTTCCGTGTATAATGCTTATTTTTCTGCCCAAACTTTTGAGGGAAAGATAAGGATGTGCATTCTACATGGGTGTAACAATTACATACCACGGGTGTAATCATGGGCATAATAATCCCGTGTTTAATGTGCACAAACGGGGGTGTGCATTGTACACAGCAAAGGACGGTAATGCAAAAGATCAAAAACCACGTCTTCTAAATTGTTATGCATTTCAACTTGGAAACAGTCAGGGTTTGGTCATCCAGAGACTAGTCCTCAGGTGTCACAGTATTACACTATTATATATACTAGCAACTATGAAATCCTTACAAGGAAGGCTAATTAATAACAATGGCAACAAGACACAATGAATTTGATTCTTTATAGTCAGTGTGGAAAAGCACTGGTGATTTTTACACTATAAATACCTGATCATTGACGAGCATGTCTTCAATCTCTTTCTCACCTAAGTTTTGCTGCATTATAAAACGTAAGCAATCAAAAAAAGCAGATATCACTGCCGAGCACTCTGAGAGGCTGGTTTTGATTCTCTCTGTTGAAAGCCTAAGAAATAATACATAACTGTGGCTTACTCTTTTATCAAAAAGAATGTAAGTAACTCAGAAACACCAAAATAAAGTCATGGAAAAGGCATCATACCAAAAGAAGAGGACTTTTTAAAATAAAATTCTTAAACTAAAAACTAAGAACAACAAAAGTACAGCTTGATAAGAATATGAACTTGAAGAACTGTGAAAAAAAGCTTATTTTTAAAAACTATCAACAGAAAATAACACATTTATTTTCTATTCATGAACCAATCCAGCTACAAATTTTAAAGATAGGACTTAACCAAATAAAAAGTAGTGTGAAAAAAATTTAAGAACTTAATGAAATTGGGTATCTTTTATTTATTAAGATCAGCAAACAGACTGAAATAACTTTTTTTTTGAAGCTGATCAGAATCATTAAAACAATGGAATTTTTATTTTGATGAAAAACTCCAGTTTACAATCATTTAGTAAATGAAGAGCAAACACTTCATTTTCCTATCCTGTAACTAAGAAAAAAAGTCATTAGTAAATAAATATCTGTGAACAGATTAAGGGTAAGGCAGGCTGGATAATAAACCACCTATGATGTTCACATTTCCTGCATGTGACTCACTCTAAAAAGGTGAAAATGGCGCTGGAGGTAACTGAACTGTTAAGATATGGGTATTGAATCTCTTTCTAATCATTCAAATGAGCCCAATGATACATACTCATTTTTTGCTCATCATGGGCAGCAAACTATACACATTTTACTGAAGGAATACTTTCATAGGAAGCACTTAAGTTACATTGTGCACCACACAACTATAAAAATGGCTTGAACAATTCCATTTAACCACCATTTATAAAGTGCAACTATGTAATATTCTGCCTTTTATCTGAGGTGTGATAAATACCAATCTATACTGAAAGTACCCCAGCTGCCAATTTCCACCACTTCTGAAAAGATCTAGATGTGTGAAAAAGGACTGTCCCCCATACAAAGAACCAGTTTCACAAACCCACCGGTAAACAAATACATTTATATAACTGGAACCTCAGGATGCTAGAGTTGTACTCATTTAAAAAACCATTCAGCTACCTTTGTTCTTTAAAAAAGGCTACACTGCAATATCCTAAACATCGTTATGTGCATCTCACGATGAAGAGAGTGGCCTTGCAGCGCAGGAGGAGGAGAGCGCAACGCCACTGTGAAGAGCAGCACGCTACGGTTTCGCGGACTATCAGCATCACAGCATCGGATTCCGTGCATCAGGATCGAGGTCACTGTTGCCCGAAGCGGGGTGGACAGGGACACTACCCAGCTCATCCACTTGTGGAGTTGGGTGCATGACTACCAGCTGGTCGTGGGGAATGTCTGCGGCAGCTGCTGCAAGGCTGGTGATAGATTTACTCTTTACCCACTGAAAGTCCACATGCCGGCTCTTTCCTTCTTCCTTCTCCCAGGACATTCGGACAAACGGTCTTTGGACGTAGTTGTAAATCACTTCTGGGCGGCCCCCAGGCCTTCTCTTCATTTTCTCTTTATAGGTAGGATAACCTTCTATTCCCAATCTAATCTTAAGACCTCTCTCTTTCAAAACTGATTTGGCCACATCTGTTTTCAATGTACTTGAAAAATCTATATAATTTTGTGCTATAAATAATTTGTGAATATTCTTCTCCCATCTGGGGTGGATCCTCTTCATCCCAATCAACCACATCACTGTCCGTAAGCACCACTCTGTGGCATTCTCGTTCCCCACTCTGGGCACTAGCTATCATGAGAGGCAGAATCATTTCTTCTAGATAAAATTCAAACTGTCTACGAGCACCACCACTTGATAACTCATGCATTAGGGCACTGAGATCTCTACATTTAATAGTACTATGTTCAAAAGAGATACAAAGATAGTCGCATGCTTCTCTCAGTTCAGGAATAGATATGCCATCAGGACAGCGGGTTATTCCTGTTTTACAATAATCCAGAATAAATAGCTCGACATACAGTGGAGCCAATTCCCTCTGCCACCTCATACTCTCCTTTTTCACCGGGACGTGTGAAGTTATATTCTCTGCCATATCCAAACGTCCTGCCCAACACTGTATTTGGCTGCGCAGTAAGAATGGATGGGTCCACAAAAAAATCTAGTGTTATCCACTATTAATGTCACGCGTTCTGACGTTCTTACATTCCAAGCTCCTTCTTTTGCATTTTCACACACAAACACCATCTCCCCAGATGTCTTACAGCTACCACCTGAACTTGACTGACTACTGTTTCTGCTGCTGTTCCCAGCACTGCTACTGGAACCATTTGGAGATGCTTTTTGAGGACGAGGACTGCTTGGATGAGAGGAACTGTGATCCTTTTCTCGTTCAACATGGTGTTGTCGTGTTGGAGAAGTAACATTTCTAATACAGCGAGTGAGCTGAGACTCCGTTCTTTCGTGAGAGGAATCTCGTGACCTGTCACTTGACCTTCGTCTGTCTCTTGATTTTTCGCGTCCCCGACCAGCACCACGTAGGCTCCTTCTGGCGTGGTCAACAACTCCTGCAGCAACACGTGAAGGAGTGCTGTAGTGCCCGCTGAGCGTCCACAGAGAGCCTAGGCAACAACCGGGGCCGGCGCCACCTCTGCTTCCTCCTCAGCTCGACCCCTCCAGAGGTGTCTCGGCTGACGGCCACTCTGGCGGCTCGGGCTACCAGAGCCGCCCCGGCAGGTTGCAGGCCGGGTCTTCTGAAATAACTTTTAATTGTGACTTTAAATTTCCCTAACTCTGTGGAATTTTTAGAAACTTTATAGATTCATTTTCTGCATTTACACATTTGTACTTATCAACATACAAAAAAAAAAAAATGGCTCAAATGAAAAATGGCCCATTGTCACCTAAGGGTTATACCATGTTTACCTCATTTTCTGCTATATACCAGCTGAAGCCTTGAAAGCACTCAAGAAAACATTCCAATTTAATTATCAGAAAACTTAAAAAGTGTTTAACAAACAGCAAAAACAGTTTTGGGGAAATTTAAATAAGAAAGAAAATTAAGTATACATCACTCTACCCATCTGTGAAAACACGGAAAATCTCTTTTGCTTTAAAGATCAACCACTGAAACTCCTTACCCGGCAGCCAGAGAGGCGAGGAAGTCTTTGAAGAAGCCCAGCTTTGGGTCTGTGACGGACGGAGGGAGTCTGCTGATGAAGGGCAGGAGGTGAGGGCACACGACAGTGGCCAGGCCCCGACCGCCTTCACGGACCACAGCTGACAGCTTGGGAAACACACTTTTTTTTGCATTTACATGAAGCCAACAGTCCTAACCAGAAAAAAGATTATAATAATACAGATCATAAGTATACTTTTCCCAATTAGGAGAGAAGACACATAGATCTCAAAAATAAAAACCAAGTAAGAGACTAACGTCTCTCACTGCCATTAGAAACTAAAACTCTGAAATTTCAAGACATTTATTACACATAGCAATCATGTATCCCACACGCTTCCAGGATAATATCCATCAGAAATAATTATTTAACTTATAATATTTGCATGAAAGCTGCTTTCTGAAAGGGACAGCTATATGGAACCTAAATACAAGATTCAGAGGCGCTTGCTCTCTGGGCCACAAAGGGACAAGTGACACTGGCTAAATGGAAAGTAGGTACAAACTCTTTGCCATTTTACCAGCAGTTTAAGATTTATACCAAGTTTTGGATTAAGTATTTTATTTCCAAGAAAGGATTTTTTCAGTTAAGTTTTAAACAGCATAACCTACTAGGCTTTCTCTAAGATAGCAATTTTCAACCAATATGTTAAAAAACATTTAAAACACGCACTACCTGACTGTTTTCCCTCAGATTGTCAATTTTAAAAATGACAACAGCCAGCACAACAATAGCCATCTAGTGTGAATGAAGCCAATAGTGTGAATACCTATTTTTTTGTTATATCAGCAAAAAAATACATTTTTTGGTGCGTGGCAAATTTTTTTTAAGCTTTTATTTATTTATTTTCAGAGAGAGGGGAAGGGAGGGAGAAAGAGAGGGAGACAAACACCAGTTGGTCCCCTCTCACATGCCCCCAACCAGGGACATGTCTCACCACCCAGGCCTGGGCCCCGACTGGGAACCAAACTGGCCACCTTTCAGTTCCCAGGCCGGCACTCAGTCCACTGAGCCGCACCAGCCAGGGCGCACACGGCACGTTCTCAGTGACTAGTCACGCGTGCCAGGAGATGAAAGCGGCTGCCAACTGCAGCTCGAGGGCAAGCGCTCCAGGACGCAGGGAGGGTCCCTCCCTCACCGACCTCGACAGTCGTCAGGGTGTACAGCACAGCCTCCCAGAGGGCGGGGCACACCACGGGGTCACTGTCGTCGATGCTGAGCAGCACAGAGGAGCTCACTCTCGATGCTTCACCTCTCATCAACTGTGGAATACGCTGGCACAAAGCAGAAACTAACTCGAAATAAGCAGCGCGGATCTAAGAGAAATAATGAAAGCAGAAACAAAAGGGGGAAAATAAATACATACATTCAATGAGAACAGCCTTGCACATGCTAACAATTTCAGTCAAGGTGCCAGGAATGGAGTATGATAATTCAGCTTTCAATCTGAAGTCCAAACAATTAAATACAAAAGTGGAAGTACAATAACATTCAGGCATGAGAGGCAAATCAGTCCCACCACGAAGATGTATTTGTAGAGTTTTAAACATAAACAATACACATAAAGCATAAACTACTACAATCAGGTGGGAAAAAAAGGAATCAAGAGAAATGTCTTAAAATAAGGAAGGCTAGGATACCTGAGGTACACTGTGCTTTCCATACTTCCAAAACTTATTCTGTGACAAAAGGGACTTAAATTTCTCTTCTAGAGACTTGAGGTCGTGATCAGGTATGAGGCAAAGCAATTTCTTTAAGGCCAACAAGGAACACGTTACAACCCGATGGAATTTAGCTTCTCTCTCTTCCTCTGGAACAGTTCTTATTGTGAAAGTAAATGAAATATGTATAAGGATTGAATATAAGCCCAACTACATATTTGGCACTTCTATTTTAAATATTTTGTCATTAAACAACTACCAGAGTTGCTTTATTTCTGTATCTATTCTTCCTGTGCCACCCCCGCCCCCTCAAAATACAATCACAGAACTTTAATCACATACTTTCCATGCACTACCAGGTGCAAGCGCACGGAGAGCCGTGGCCGAGGGCGGCAGCAGCGCGAGAGGAGCCTCGGGAACGGGAGTCACCGCACCGCAGACGGCCTCTCCCGGGGCCTCTTAACGGTCTCATTAGAACATAATAAAAGGAAGGGGGACGTTTCACTACTCTTTCAGTAGAGCTACTGACAGTTGTTCAACTGTTTTCAACCAGACCTTAAAATGGTCCCTGCTATGACCGTCAAAAGGTGAATGTGGGACAAATCTGAAAGCATCTCTTTGAAAAACAACCAAATATGTGGTTCCCAGATGATGCAACTTAAACAGCAGGACACCTTGCAAGGTGAAGCACCTAAAATGACACGTGGCATATAGCACCATATTAAGCTTTTCACCTCTACATATGGCATCCCTTTTAAAAATATCACATTAAAACTGTCACGTTATGACCCACGAGGGAAACAAACCCTCACGTGAGGTACAGAGACACAACTTACTGCGGGTCACTGAGTGAGTCGGGCGTCTCCTTGATCAGATGGTCCTGCAGCACCTGCCGAGGGAAAGCCCAGGCCTTCAGGCTCCTGCCAGTGGTGGCTGGGTAGAGCATAACCCTCTTCTTCCCTAAAAGTCTTTTACCCCTTCCCAACAAAAGAAGCTAAATTAAGTAGCAAAGCTAAAAGGTTTGAACTTTACCCATTTTTCTTTCCCCACCATCCCCCGAAGGTTGGCTGCTGCTGGGGTAAGGACAGGGCACTTCTCCAAACAAGTGCAGTTTCCATCAAGAGAAACTGCCCCCCCGCCCCACCGCCCCGGCTGGTGTGGCTCAGTTCATGGAGTGACGACCTGCAGACCGAAAGGTCAACAGTTCGGTTCTAGCTCAGGGCACATGCCTGGGTTGTGGACCAGGTCCCCGGCTGGAGGTATCTGAGAGACAACTAATGTTTCTCTCCCCACCCCCCCATCTCTCTAACATAAATAAAACCTTTAAAAACAATTAAAAAAAAAGGAATTGTCCCCTAAATACTCCTGGCCTCTGGCTTCTCCATTCCTCCTGCCCACAGTGGCGAAGTGGGGGAGAAATTGGGCTCTGCTGCCCTCTCCCCTCTCTTGAGCTCCTCCTTGCTAGCGGAGAAGAAAGCTGTGCTCTGCTCCGCCACTCCATCTGAAATGTAAGTCTGCCTCCTTCTGGGGTACAGTACTGGCCAGACACTATTGCAGTACCAGCTCTACCAGCAATAACAAGAGCTAATGTTTATTGAGCTTTTCCACATGCCAGATAATGCTTCCAGCACATTTCATACCTTACCTAAATTAATCCTCACGACTCACTGAAGTAGTTAATTCCCGCCATGACAGATGAGGACATGGAGGTACAGACACCTGCCCAAGGTCACACACCTAACTGATGGGAGGGAGAGGGGACTGAAATTCCATGGTGCTGCCCAGAGCCCATGCACTTACAGACAGCACAGAATGCTGTGCACAGAGAGTAAAACCGAGGACCCAAGTGGGGAACTAGAACACATGTGCCGTATAGTCTGTAAATCTGATATTTTGATCTTCATTTGCCTAACTCCTCTCTAACTAGCTGGTCTTATACTTGGGAAAGTTGAAACCCAGTATCTGCAGTGAACTGCAACATGGACAACTAAAGGGAAGATGACATGAAGGAAAAAATCCACATATTCAACGATCACTGACTCACCCATAACAAAGCCAGTAACAAAAAACCACACAAACAAAAACTACGAAGAGCCAGATCGGTTGTCTCAAAATCCATTTTCTAAAACTCTTAGTGTCTAAGCTCATGACACTTCACTTTCATAAGTTACCACTTGATAGTCAAATAAACCAATGACTCTTGACCTGTAGTTGGGTTACAGAACTTTGAGAAGATGGGTAATGGTACAAATTCTCTCCGCAGAAAGACAAGCTTGGCACACCTGAGAAGGGGAAGAGCGGGAGAACCGAGAACCGAGGAGGCACGGGGACGGCGTGGGAGAGTGGGAGAGGTGCGGGGGACAGCCCCGGAGGCCAGGGCCGTGAGGGAGACGGGGAACCACAGCAAGGCCGACTCACAGGGAAGAGGAAGGCAGGGAGGAAGGGACAGACTCAGGAGCTCCACAGACAGGAGTGCGTGCAAGCACATGCTCTGTAAATCTTGAGTTCACTCCTCAATTTTTTTCACATAATAGTAAGAAGGTTGGTCATCTGGTTTTTCCAGCCCACATCTTAGGAACAGTACAATGGAGGGAAGAAATGAGGAAAGCAGTACTAGATGCAGACAAACCAAAAGGCACAAAAGTTATAGCTGATACCAGTCTGGTAAAAGTGCTGGCCGAGAGCTGACGAAACTTTCGTATGTGTTAACGGGAGAACAGATTTGTATGGCCATTTGAAGGGTACTTTACCAATATCTATAAAAATTTTAAATGTTCTTATTCTTTGACCCAACGAATGGTGACTAAAAGTGCTGGTACTTATCACTCCCACAAAGTATGAAGAGATCTATTCAAAAAAAGTCCACTAAACTTTGTAATAAAAACATCAGGATAAAACTACAAATGTGTATTTTAAAAAGTTAACTAAACTGCTGTATGTCCATACAAAGGAACACCGGAGAGCCAGCAAAAAGAGTGAAGTAGAGCTGTAAACATGTATTAACATTAAAATATAGAGGAAAATATGTTTAGATTGAACTCTTAGATCTGTTTTAGACGATATATTATAAAGCATATATCTAAATTTTTTAGGTAATATGATAGAAAATTTAAATGACTTAGAAAGATGCAATACAACATGTTAATTATAGTAAAAATGTAACATGAGCCCTGGCTGGCGTGGATCTGCAGACTGAGCTGCAGCCTGTGGACTGAAGGGTTGTCGGTTCGGTTCCTGGTCGGGGCGCATTCCTGGACTGCAGGCCAGGTTCCCAGTTGGGGGCGCACGAGAGGCAACTTACTGATCGATGTATCTCTTGCACATTAGTGTTTCTCTCCCTCTCTTTAAAAATAAATTAATTAAATATTAAAAAAATAAATAAGATGTAACACGAACAATTGTATTAAACAATGTTCTAAAAAGACAACCTTCCGTTGCAAATATTTCACACACGAACTCCCTCATAATGCCAGGAAGAAGAGCTGTCACAGTAACATGCCTGTTGTCCCTTAAGTATCTAAGGAAAAACACAGAACAGTTCCCAGGACTCACACTTGCAATCTCTTCCTTGCAGAAGGCTACGGCCTCCGGCTGCTTGCTGGGGGGAAACGCGGCTGCGAAGGCGTCCTTTGCTGCCGATGCAGCGGGTGCATACGTGTCACACTGAGCCAGGAGCCAATAGCCCATCACACTTTTTAAATAAGGAGCCAAGTGTTTCTTAACTTTGAGGATAAGTTTTTCAAAAGCTTGCTGTGTGGCTTCTCGAACCCGGCGGTCATGGTCCTGTTGCAAGCATAATATGGTTTAAAATCGCTCTACTGGAACAAATACAAATATTTTGGAATATGCTATGATGACCTATTAATAAGACCTCAACTATGTACAGAGCTAAACGAAAATCAATAACTATGAGAAAAAATTGATTAATTTTTCCTTCTCCCCTTTTCCCAATGAGGTAAGAACTGTATTAAAGCTAGAGTTAAGGCTAGGCCTTAAACAATTAAACAACTGACTCTCATTCTTCTATAGCAAATATACAAAGTAATCAAACTGCCAAAATTTATTGAGATTGGGAAGCATCTGGGTAATTCTGACCTAGTTTTTGAAAACACAGGCTCCCTATACACTTGTACCCCCAGTGATCCAACCCGTATAACAAGAGTGACATAACATTTCCTTACCCTCACCAAAAATGTCACATAAATCTGACAGTCCCTATAGCATCCATCAAAAAAATATACAACAGGAATAAGCTAGTTAAGTCTTATACTTACAAGTGAAATTTTGCAAAAAATTCTTGGCCAGTACGGAAGAACTCCTTTTACACTTTCTGTGTCTCTCTCTGTACACATGGCTCCAAATTCTTGCATAGCCTAAAAGTAAATTATTAACATCATGAGGGGATCAACAGCCATAATATTGGCTGATTATATTTATTCTTCTCTGGAAGCTTTGTCTATTTTATGGAATGGGAGAATACACTGTTTCTGTTTGTGCCACATGGGACTAATTTAAACAGTCCCTTTACATGCTTGTACGGTAGATATCTTTCAGTTGTTTTTTAAAAAAGAAAATACACACAGCCCTTGCTGGTGTGGCTCAGTGGACTGAGCAGCAGCCTATGAACTGAAAGGTCACTGGTTCGATTCCCTCGCAGGGCACATGCCTGGGTTGTGGGCCAGGTCTCCAGTTGGGGGCGTGTGAAAAGCAACCAACTGATGTTTCTCTCACACATTGATGTTCCTCTCCCCTTCTTTCTCCCTCCCTTTCCCTCTCTCTGAAAATAAATTAAAAAAAAATTTTTTTAATAAATAAATAAGAAACATGCAAACAAAAAAATCTCATTTAAAATTATAGGGTCCGATTATATTCTCTAATGGGAGCAAAACTATACAGCCAGAAATCCAACGTGGCTCCAAATGTACAGAACAACACACTAATTTATAACCTAGAAGATAAGTACAAACTAAGTATAAGCTTATATCTCAGAAAACAGTACAATGGTAAAAGAAATTATTTGTGATGATTCATTTTCCTTTATGTAAAATATGCCAATGACATTTTAATAATACAACTATTTTTTATTAAGATAATTTATGAAAAAAATAAAACTTGCTTTTAATTTTGTTGTGACATCTTTCTTAGAAAGTTTCCGCAGCACCATTCGGAAATCAGAATCTACAAGACTGTCTATTTCTTCAGCTCCTTGAACAGCAGGAACATAGCCTAGGTCACTCTGGAATGTTCCAAAACCAATAAATCCAGGCACGGTTCCCTGTTCTTTGGCAAGAAGTTCTGCAGCTCGGCCACTGTTTGAAGGCTGATAAGGAAGTATAGAAAAAAATAAAATGTCAGAGTCCAGGAGGAGTTCCAAATTTACCTCTGAGTTCTTTAGAGTATAATTCCTTAATAATTCCCATGACAGAACAAGCTTTTTATTCGAGGTTTTTTTCTTAGCCTAAGATTTCATGAATTGCACTGTTCCCCAAAGATAAATGTTTCTATCAGCAAGAAGTTATCAATAATGATCCTAGGAGCTATTTCCTGGTTTCCTAAACACCAGAAAAATGTTTTTTTTTAATTGGGTACAATCCTTTAAGTGGCTCAAGATATCAAGTTAATCAGTCCTGACAGCATTTTAAAGACATAAAATATTTAAAATCAGAGAATGCATCATGTATAAGCCTAAGTACTGTTTAATAAAATGTTTTATTTCCAACTTCTGTATACATAGTATGTGTACTGCGTAATGATAATGATGTAAAATTAACTCAAATGCATTATATGCTCTCATTCATCAATTCATTCAACAAAGATTTATTCAGTAACCACCATGGAACAAGTTTCACCATAGCTGTTTCTAGACTAGGAATTCCTTGAGGACAGACACACTCACTGCCACACTCTGGAACCTCTTTGGGCTAAAATGGTTACAAATTACATTATTATGGACATAAAAATCCATATGATGGTTAGGATATAAGATACACTACTTTGTTTTGAACAATAATCAGTGGTCTGTCTGACTGATACACAATGTAGCAGTTTCCTAGTACTAAAAGTTAAGGGATTAGTTGTGACAGAGAAAGAAACTTTTGAACTGCTGAAAGAAATTGACATACTGTCATCTAAAAAAGAAAAAGAAAAAAGAAAGCAAGCCTCAGTTCAATGTCCAGGATGACATTACAATCCATCAAAACCTGTTTCTTATTTCTTTATAAGAATGTTCAAAAAGGGTTATCCAACTGTGTAATTCAATTTGCTCATACCTAGCAAAATTGTGTGTGGAAAACTGATTTGTCAAGGAATAATCTGGACTATATTCTAAACTGAAATGGGTGATCAAAAATGAAAATGATGGTTTGAATTACTTTTTCAAAACAAGAGCATTTAAGACTAATTGCAAAGAAAGGTTATTTTAAAACTTTATTAAAATGAACATTATTCAATGTCTTTCTCAATATTGATACATGAACAAAGAGTTACAAAGAAAGCTAGTGAACTACAATTCTGAAAACTAAATAAAATGACCACAGTACATTAGAATTTTATCTATAATCCCTTTTGTAAACTGCTTTATGAGGAAACAGAACAATGAACTAGTATAAAGGAGAAATAATTACTAAAAGCTAAAGGAGTCAAGACTGAATTCTGAACTAACCTGAGTTATCAGAGTTGGACAGTTATAAACAGGATCAAAAGAAAAGGTATTAGGCTTCAAGTTTCCAATTTAAAAGTAACAAATTACTTTTTTAATGTACTGGTTGTATCTTTTACTCAATGTCTACTTTGAGTTTAAAATACAGTCACTTGTTTCTTATTATTTACTCTACTGTAAGATGTCCTACCCACAGTTCAGAGAACCCTGGTTCTGTTTCTGGCGGTCACTGGCCTGGTGCTGCGCCTGCTTCGCTCTCCTGTGCGTGTCTCCCAAGGGGTTTGAGGCAGCACAGCTGCGCCTACAGTTTCAAGCCCAAACTCAGAACAGACCTTTCGCCTCGACCGTTTCCAGTCCGTCCTTCTGCCACTCTTCCCTCCGTTGTTCCAAAAGAGCTGCCCCAATTTATGGTCCAGTCCCAGGTTCAATTCCAGGGTCCCTGAATATGCTACGCCCTTTGCAATTTGATCTTGTCTCTCCCCCTGAAACCTCTTCTCCCTTTTCACTGTCTGACAAACTCATACTCACTTTTCAAAACACAGTTGTGTTTTCAACACTTGCCTCCCTCAGGTCAACCCCCCTTCTTTCCTGTTCTCCTGCTTCCTTTCTACTCAGACCTCTACCACCATTCTCTGACGTATCATAATCATCTGTATACTTATCTGTTTCTATCACCAAGAAACGGGGGCATGTGCCCATCACCCCTGAATCCAGGACAGTCAGGATTCAGGCTTCTGCTGAACCCACGACTGCCTTTCAAATCCCAGCTCTTCAACTTCCTGGTTACGTAAACTCAGGTAAATTAATTTTTTTAAAACTCTGTCCTATCATGTTTAAAATGAGGTAATTGTAGCTAAATCGTTATTTGGGTTGTTGTCAGGATTAAACATAAGTTTTTAAGCAGCGCAGTAAAAAGAATGCCAAAACCATTAGATGGAAGTGTGTGGGACAGAACAGGACATTCCCAGGCTCAAGCCACCACGGAACACGTTATTCCAATAGCCAGCGGAGAACGCTGCATTCCCCACGTGAGGAAACAAATACCACCCACGGGGGCCCCACGGGCACCGCGTGTCCCTGCGGCGATGCGCCGAGAAAGTCACCCACGAAGCATTCCTGTCAAAAACTGCTGACCCTGAATCTAACCATAAGGAACAATTAAACACATTTAAATTAAGCAAAACAGTGGCCTAGACTCTCCCCCATCACAAAAGTACGCGACGCGACGGGAGGGAGCTACACAGGTAACGGGAGTACGTGATCTCCGGCTGGGTCCCGGGTGTTTTTTTAACGCTCTCCCTAAAAATGAAGTTACAGAGAACAGGACCGAGATGACTGCAGAAATCTGAACACACGGCGCAGGACGAGGAGCCGACAGTATCACACCGAAGCTCCATTTTCGGCGCCTTGCAACTCTTCATGGTTATGGAGAAGGAGGCATCATTTTCAGAACACACATGATTTAGGAGGTGTCACAATTTCTGCAGGTGATTCTCATATGGCTCAACTAATGCATACACTCGGCGGAAGCACACGTGACCCAACAGCAACAGCGGGCGACCCCAGGTAGACTGGATGGGCTGTCGCTGTGATACTCTTTTCCCGGTACTGGGACCACCGCGAACACAAAACATTGAGGACGTTTGTTAAATAAAGGGGCCCAGGCGCCGCGAGGGGTCCGGGTGGCCGCAGAAAGGACGGAGGCGGCGGCGGGGCGGGCGCGGGGTGCAGCCCGGACGCGGGGCCCCGACGCGCCCCCGCGCCCGCCGCCTCCGGGCCCGAGGCCGCCGGCTCACCCCGGCAGGTGGCCTCCCCGCTGAAACCGCCGCTGGCGCGTCTGTTAGGGAGGAGGGCGTGCGAGGGGGCCGCACGGCGTGGGCGCCTCTGCTCGCCCAGTCCCGCCACCTGCTCGGACACCACCGGCCAGCGGGGACGCACTCGGGGAGGTCACGCCGCACACGCGCCCAGGCCGCCCCGCAGCCGCGCTGCGCGCGTCCCCGCTCGGCCCGGCCACCTCGCGCTCACCCTCAGGTTCCCCTTGGTCCGCTGCTTGTTCTTCCCGCCCATGGCCGCGGTCTTTCCGCACTCAGCCGCAGCCCCCGAGTTGAGGCAGCCGGACCACAACTTCCGGCCCTGTTGCCGGAAGTGGTTGCACGGAAGAACTTCCCCGGCCCTCCCCTTCCGCCACCCACCCAAGCCTGCCAGCAGCCGGGCTTCAGCTAGGGCGCCGTGACTCCCAGCCGGCCTCACGTCACAATGGGAGCCACGCCTCTCTGACTGACGTCATATCTGTCCAATGGGCGGCCGAGCGTGGGACCGCGGCGCCGAATCCCTCCTTCCTCCATCCCGGGGCTGAAGTTGGTTCCCGGCTCCGCGACGGCTGGCTGGCGGGTGCGGCGGAACGACGTGGCAGTGGCAGTGGGGAGACGCGGAAGGGTTAGACCTTTTAAAACGCAGCCATCAGCATCACCGGGGCGTTTGATGGAAACCCAGGCTGTCGGACCCGCTCGCCACTATTAAAAGATTCTGCGTCTGAAGCAAAGTACCGAGGCCTTATTAGAATTTGAGAAGTAGTGCTCTAGGCGATATTCCCCCTGAATCCACCCATTTCCATATTATAACTGTAACGTGCAGTTTTAGAAAAGAGGGTAACGTGGCAGTCCTGAATTTGAAACGTACGGATCTCGTAGGTCGTGATTTTGCTCCTGAGAATCACTAGAGACGAGCACGTGGTGCTGGTGATGGCCTCGCGTGTCCACACCCCTTCTCGTACTCAACGGCAGGATACTGAGCTCACCAAATTCTTTATTTGGCTGGCTCCTCGGCAGGTGCTGGGACGCTGAAAGACGGGGACAGAATAGGGACAGCCCCCTCTGTCAGCGTCGCCCTGGCCGCAGTCTCTGCCCCGGGAACTCCAACCGCATCAGGCAGCAGCGAGTTTCAGTCTCCCGCCCTTTAAACCATCGGACCGGCCTCACCGCCACCTCGGGGAGCCAGCGGCAGCAGGCTGCAGGCAGCACACCCTCCCCCCGCCCCCGCCCCGCCCCGCCAGGCGGCCTGGGTCCTAGCCGCCTGGCCTCTGCTCAGAGGTCCGCACCCCGACTCTGCAGGTCCCTCCGCTGAGCTCCGGGGCGCCGCTCCCTCATCACGGCAAGCACCGAGCCCCAGCCGCCAGGGCCTCCTGCAAAATACTCTGATCACCCCCTTCCCTTCCTGTCTTCTTCTCCTCCCCCCCTCCCCGCCCCTCAGGGACTGAAGATGTGGCTGAGGTGAGGACCTCCGTGACCTCTTCTGGCTGTTAAAATCCCTTATAGCCAATTCCCCACATTAGTGGGGTTTTTTCCTCCTTAAGTAGTGAAGATTGTTTTCCTGACTGGACCCCATGGGTTCAGATTGCCAGATTGTGCTTCAGTGGAAGCCTCCTGGTGCCCCTTGGCAGAATTTTGATGGGCTCAGTTTATGCTAAATTGTATAATCAGTGTGTGTGTGTGTGTGTGTGTGTGTGTGTCCTTACCTCTGGGCTGCCTTGCTGTTTTTATGGAAACTCACCAATGAAATACTCTGTTGGGTTTCCCTAATATATTGAAATACAGCTTTCTTTAAAAAAAAGAAAAAGAAAGCAAGCTGTGTAGCAGTGTTTTTATTAAATACTGAAAGTAAGTTTATTTTGGATGTAATTTGTCAAATTGATATGCTGAATACGAGATTGGCTTTCGGTTTTACTTCGACTCCCAATCAATCTGGACTTGTGGGATTAAGGTCGGAATTTTTAACTTTTGTTGGTATTTTTTTTTTTTACTTAAGAATATTACTGTGGCCCTGGCCTGTGTGGCTCAGTGAATTGAGTGCTGGCCTGAGAACCAAAGGGTCACCTATTTGATTCCCAGTCAGGGCATGTGCCTGGGTTACAAGCCAGGTCCCCAGCAGAGGGCGAGCTGGAGGCAACCACAGATGGATGTTTCCCTCCTACCTCCCTCCTCTCTCTAAAAATAAATAAAATCTTTGTAAAACAAGTTTTATAAATAAATAAAATATACAAAGGCTAAAAAATGTTTTAGCAGTTTAATCCTGCTAAAATACGTGCATCGCCTGACTCCTTCTGTGGCCTTTTGGGATGTCACCTCCCATGTGCTGTGGGGCCCATCCGAATCTGAAAGTGGCCAGGGGAGTGAGACACCAGAGTCAAGGGGCTGGCCCACCGGGCTGTGTGGTCACCACAGACATGGCAGACGGCGGGCGGGTGAGGGTGCACGCAGGAGGCAGGGAGGGAGTCTGAGGAGGAGCACAAGGTTCTCACCCAGCGTAGTTGGAGTGCCGTCCGTCCTATTCCGTCTTTAACACCTAACCCCGTTGCCTTGTTCTCCTTTATTCCTTGTGACTTTTACTGATGGGCACACAGGTCGCCTACAACTTTTTACTAAGATGAATGACTCATTGTGTCCCTCTAACCATCCCCCCCATCCCCACCACCAGTCCTCTAACCAAGTCTCACTTGTCAAGGAAACCCAACGCAGCAAATAAATACTTAGTAAGCACTTTGGAGCTAATTGTTAGAGGGCCTCCCAAACCAGGCTGTGTGTGTCTTTCACTGTAGGTCAATTTGCTGAAACTAAATTTAAAGAAAGCCATTGCCAGAATAAGAAAAATATTGTTAAAATCCAACTTGTCAAAAACAAATTCTCTAAATTACTGATTTGATTATTACTATTAAAAAGTGTGAGCTCAGCTCATGCCTCAGCCTTCTGTAAGGCTAGTCCAAGAGTGGAATGTAAGTATACAAAAATAGATAGGAGCGGCAAACTCCATTTGAGAAAAACTTCGTCCTGGCTGGTGTGGCTCAGTGGCCTGCAAACTGAAAGGTCACCGGTTTAATTCCCAGTCAGGGCACCTGCCTGGGTTGCAGGCCAGGTCTCCAGTTGGCGGGGGGGGGGGGGGGGGGGGGCATGAGAAGCAACTGATGTTTCTCACACATCAATGCTTCTCTCTCTCTTTCTCCCTCCCCCCTCTCTAAAAAATAAATAAAATCTTTAAAAAAACAGAAAAGGAAAACTTCACCTATTTGTGTATCAAATGGTTGGGGTAGATGTAAAACTAAAGCTTTGAAAAATCTATTTGGGAAAATAGCTTTCAAAGGCTAGTAAGAGGTACACAAATAGCCCTGGCCAGTGTGGTTCTGTTGGAGAGTGGTTCAGGACACATTTCGAGAGAAGTGCTGCGGGTTCAATTCCTGGGCAGGGCGCATGCCTACACTGCAGGTTCAGTCCCTGGTCAGGGCGGGTGTGAGAGGCAATGGATTGATGTTTCTCTCTCTCACACCCTTTCTCTCTGTAAGTGTGTTCTCAGTAAGCATTAAAAAAAATTTTTTAAGAGGCGCACACATATACATAAAATTGTTTTTATTTCACAACATGCTGCCTAGAGATAGGCAGGGGCTGGTGCAGCTGGACAACATGCAGTGGCATGTCAGCGGTTTTCCCAGCTCTTCCTGCCCTCGTGGTTGAAGGGGCTACTGCAGCGCCAGCTGTCGCCTGGGCGCTGCTGCAGGAAGAGGGGGCAGAGGTGCCCTCACTGTGTATCATGTCAATCAGGAAAGCAAAAGTCTTCCCAGGCGTCCCCTAGCCAAAGCCCCTTGAGCTGCCAGAGAGGCCGGGGAAGCTGATGGGGGCAGGCAAAGGGCAGGGAGTGGGAAATGGGTGGCCAGTTGGATCATCAACATCATCTAACTCAACTCAGATTAATTTCTTTTTCAAAATGGGTAGATATGTCAAGACATTTCTGTCAATAATTTTAAGATTATAATTTAAAACTCAGTTCTGTTTTCAATCAGGATGTTTAACAGACGCACTTCAGCTGTACTACTTTTCCTCTTTTTTTACCCCTAACATTCCAGAATGAGATTGAAGTAACCGTACTTAATATCTGAAGAAACAGTGGGTAAAAAGACAAGTGGCCAACAGTGACAAAATACTTTCAATTGCTTCTGTGCTCAGCTATTGTCCTTCCACACCAAAGAACATCTGGAAAACCTCCCCACATCCTTTGGCATTTAAAAATTGATACAGCTGACCAAAGTCCATGTGGTTTCCTCTGGTTCCATTAACACTGAACACTTTTTCTTCAAAAGCTGAAAATTTTCTTTGTCTTTGCATTTCACCATTTGTGCCATCAAAAGGAATGTCTTCTCGGTGGCGAATCAAAATTCTCTTCCAGTTTAATTTTCTGAGTCTGAAAAGAAATTTTCAAAGTAGAAAATTTGAAAGTATGTTGTTTATTCTAGGGCACTAAAAATATTATTTCCCTAGAAGTGAACAAAACTACTTTTATGTCAGGGATTTATTTTAATCAACTATGATTCTGGTCATAATCCCATCCCCAAATTCATTTATTGCCATTATCACTGATGTGGATATTGCTGAATCTCAAACTCCTAAAAGGGACTTCTCAGAAACACACTTAGGGCATCTGTGCAGAAATGAGATCAGAAATTCCCTTGTTTCACAGGGTTCACACAGATCAACACGAGGGAAGAATCGGACCCATGGAAATGGAGGGTCTTGACCAGCCATCTGTTTACAGATGTTTCCCAGGGGCACCATGTCAGGTGAGGGATGTGATACTGACCACACGTGGGTTCTATTTTATGCACTGACCTGAGACTGAACTCCCAGGAGATACAACTTCAGGGAGATTAGTTCTACATCTCCAGTTCTAGTTCAGTACTAAAATGACTTACACAGCATACAAAACTTATGAAAGCAAACCTGGACCAGAATTCTTCACAAGCACTTTGTGGGCCTTCCACACAAACAACACCTGGTTTCCCTGGCATGCTGAACCCAGACAGGGACAGCTCCTTTGCCCACTCCAGAATGTCCTTCCTTTTGCATTTGTTGTAGATGTGGTGGCTATAGATCCAGAGCCTTGTGAGAATGAGACGGACGGGCTGGACTGCACTTCTGGGAGCGGGAGGAGGGGCGGCGTCTCTGCTGACATAGTGAGCGGCGTGCTCCCTCACCCAGTCAGTGGCATTCAGTATGCAGACGTCTCCGAGGCAGTTCTTCTGCAGGTGTGCGGCCAGATCCGTGTTCAGCTGAGTCTGCTGGGACCTGCTTAACAACACTGATCTGGTAGAAAATATATGGGATAGAAAATGAAATCAATTTTCTTGGAACAGAAAACAAATATAAGAATTGCTTTTATTCCCTGATTAATTTTGAACTCTAAAGTTAGCCAGCTTTCTGTAACATACCTGACAGTAATTTCAGGCAGAACTGCAGGGTATTTAAAGGGAAGAATACAGGCCAGAGAAAACATCACCTGGTCAAAAGAGAAGAAAAATGCCCTAAGCGTTGCTTTAAGTCTTGACCTTTTTCAGTTCTCCCAAAAGCAAAACTGAATTACCATTGCTCCGGCAGATACGTCCAGGTTCACGTTGATTGTAAAGTACACTTTGGAAGATCGGCCCTCCATTGACCTATTTTCAAGGCAGTCTTTCAGCTCTGCCACAGCCAGCTGGTCGTTCACCACGAGCTCATTCTCACCGGGGAACATGCTGGCTAGCAGGTCTAGCTCAGAGAGCTGGGCTGCAGCCTGTTCAAGCTCAGCCATTTTCAGCTACTTGTAAGTTTCTAAAGGGGTAAAAATAAGGCAGGGAATTAACACATCCAATCTTGGAAGAACTCGAAAGATTAAAGGTGCATATTCAAAATAGATTTGATTTCTTCATAAAATGTGAAATTTAATCAGAGTATCTTTCCCATTATTCTACTTTGTAACGTGTTGTAATATGTATGTAATAGATGTAATACATTAAGGACCTAAAATATGGGACAATCCGGCAAGAATAGTGAAACTCTAATAATAACTAGGCACCAATTCCTAGGTATCTAGATAGTTGATCTGGCATCTCGAGCTATCAAAATAGGCAATTTCATAAAAGAAATCTAATTATGGAGTCAAAGGCCATATCAGTGACATAGCCAGGAAAGAGGAAACCTAAAATGAACAGAGTAAGAGAGTTAATTATATGGATGTTAAGTGTATTAGTTTTTAAAAAGCAGAAGACTGTGAAAAGAGAAAATAAAGACTGGTAATTATCCCACAGCTCAAGTAACCACTGTTACCGTTAGAAAAGTACAAGGTTAGGAAATCCAAGCAGTAGAGAGAAATTTAAAATTAAGATATAGTTCCTTCCCAGGTCAGGTAGCTCAAAAGATTGGAGCATTGTCCCAATACGCCAAGGCTGTAGGTTCCATCTCATTGTCAGGGCACATACAAGAATCAACCAATGATGTATCAATAAGTGGAACAACGAATCTCTTTCTCTTCCTTTCCCCCACCCCCCCAAAAAAAGCACTTGAAGAAATAATGGCTGAAAACTTTCCAACTGTGTCAAAAGGCATAAACAAACTCAAAAAGCTGAACATATCTCAAGCAGAATGAACCCAGATAAATCTATATCAAGATACATCACAGCCAAAGTTGTGAAAATTAAAAACAAAGAAAAAATATTGAAAGCAGCAAGAGAGAAATGAACCTTAGCTATGAGGAAAAACAATTCATTTAAGAGGGAATTTCTCATCAGAAACTATGAAGGCCAGAAGGAAGAGTCATAGTATTTTTCAAATGCTGAAAGTAAAGAAAGACTATTCTACAATACTATATCCCGTGAAAATATCCCTCAGGAATGAAGGGGAAATTAAAACATTCTAAGAGGAACGAAACAACTATTAACAGTTGGCTAAATGTGGGTAGAAGGAAGAAGGAAAGGACTTTAACTTTCCAATTCGGGTGCTTCAACATCATTTGAAGTTTCATGATTAGCTTGCAGTTCTAAATCCAGCAAGGAGAAAGAATGGTTACACTTCTGAAAAGAAAGAAAGCTCTCAATCCCATTTCTGTAAAAGAAAACATGGCTTACCTTCTCAGAGAGAATTTACCCTGTGCAATCAAACACCATCAGTTAGGTCAGTGGTACATTCGCGGGAGTCTTTCTCCTCTTCAGAAAAGGCTGACTAAGCTGCTACTATATGCAGAGCTTCACCCATCAGTCGTTCTGAGAGCTTTCTATTTTGTGTGAGGGCCAGGACATAAATCTAGTAAGACCTAGAACAATGAAGATAAAAAGACTTGGTGTTAAATAACCAGTCAACGTGTTCTCATGGGAATGCAGATGAGGGCACAATCAATGACAAGAGCCACCAGGAAAGATTTGGTGACAGTGGCAGGATCTCAGTGGAGCCCTGAAAGAAAGGCAAGACTTAGACAAGGGGAGGGGGAGGCACAGAGCAGGAGGGCAGAAAGGTCTGTGAGGCGGGAGGGCACCGAAGTAGCACAGGCCTGGGCCTGTCCCTTCCTCCCAAACCCGACTGCCAAGGCCTAATTCAGAGGCTCATGACTTGGATCATTGTCTCTTGTGCTCATTGCTTCCTGTTTGTCCCCTGAACCTATTCTGGCCTTTCTTTTCCCTCTGGACAGCTGATGTCCACAGCCTACAGCACCTAACTCTCCTGTCTTTCCTGTGGTTGGGTTCAGCCAATGCTCTGGCAGGAAGTGGGAGTATGGAATGAGAGAGAGTTCAGGGTACTACTTCACTGCTCTTCTCTGCGTTGGTGGGATTTGGACAAAGGTTGAGACTGGCTAAAGACCACATCTTCTCCAGGCAGCCCTTGTTCCGCATGTCCAGCAGATCTTTGGTGCCTAGGGGTGGGGGTGGTTCCCTTAAACTTGGCCACTGCTCTGTAAATACCCCCTTCATTAAAGTCTTCTCCAAGTTTCGTAGTTGAGTGTGTTTATTTTCTTCCAGACTTGAGTTCTCTTAACTTGTGCTCAACATTGTCATTACAGTGACTATGTGCAGTATCTAACAGATGTATACTGAGACAAGCAAGAGAGCACTAACTATGATAGAAAAAAGTTAAAGTAACTGGTGGATGGGCAACAGTGTTGCGATCTGAGGGGAGGGAGCTGGGAGGGCAAGCTAGCAGACAACCCCACAGATACACAGGGAAGTGAGTTCACCCAAGTTTGCCATCTGGCTGTTACTTTCACAGATTCAGAAGTAGGAATTGTCAACACCTTGAGGGTGGATCCACTACCCACTGGCTGCCTCAGATGATCTTTATGAAGCCCTCTAGGAACGTGTCTCTCTATTCAAGTCTTCTTTGTTTCATCCAATATGGTTGGATCATTTCTTTAGTATCAGAAAATGGTACTTGATCAACAATTTAGCTGGCTCACAGTAGGGTCCTTTTAAAGAACAAAAAACCTTTCACTGAAAAAAAGTGAATTACTCAAGGTGACAGATCATGAGCTGCCCTGAATCCTGTCAAAAACTCATCAAAGATTATGGGGACGACTCAGTGTGAGGGGGTATGGACTGCATTAGGGCGAACTGGGCGTGAGTCAGGAAGACATGACGTGCTCTCGCACATGCCAGGCTCCTGCACTCCTCGGGGTGTCATCAGTGCCAACACCATGTCATTCCCACTGAAGTCCAGGGTGCCAGTGCCACGCTGGGGGGGAAAATACACACAGCGTTTTCAGTAAGTTCTTAAAATGCAGACCACCACAAAGTTCAACAGGTTTCTGTAGGGTGACCATAGGCCATCCTATCGTCCTGACTGATCTAGTATTTGTCTTAGACAAAAAGACTGCATTTGGACAGTAAATTATATGGACACATTTTTTGTGCGTGTGGATTTATTGTTAGATCCCAATACATACCATGAATCTCTAAGATGAGGATTTTTTTTTTCTAAGATGAGGATTTAATACGCATAGCATCCCAGACCTACCTAGATCATTTTCCCCCCAGACCTAATGACATTAGCTGTTCTCTACACAGATCATGAATTCCTAGTTGTCATTTCATCACCTCAATTTAGGTAATTACCAAGGCTACCTACAGTCCTCACTGAGTCCTTGAAACACAATGTGTTCTTTACTAACTAGTTATTTCATATAATTTTAATGTCCCACTATTTTCACTTGGCATCCTAACTTAAGCATTTGCTCTGTTACTAAAAAATCTCCATAAATATTTACAATTCCTAGGCTTATTAGAATTCCACAAATATATTTTCTAGCCTGCTTTGGAGCTAAAGGCTCTAGGAAACAACTCATTGGGTGGTTATTAGAAGAAATGAATTCACTTTGGTCATAGTTTATATATTCCTGCCAGACAGCCAAAATGCCACTTACAACTGTAACCATAGGTAGCTGGCTTACTTTCTCTGTGTCTCAGTCTCCAAAATGGAACGACAGGGTTGCAGTGAGGACTGGCTGAGGCTATGTGGGAACTGCATGGAACAGTGTTTGGCAACAGGGTGAGTGCTCGAAAAGTGCTGCTATTACTGGTATTGGCCACTCATTCGACAAGGGTTTCTTAAGCACCTGTTGTGCCCAGCACTGTCCTTGGTGCTAAGACTGTAACACTGAACAAAAGTACAAGAATATCTCTGCTGTCATAGAGATTTCATCTAGTGGGAGGAGACCAGACAAATCCACGGGGAACCATTATGAAGACTGAAAAGGTATAACTGGGATAAAGAGCGAGTGGGGGGTGAAGGTAAGAGGATGCTGCACCAAGTGGCTACAGCAGTTCAGGGGGGAGATGGGTTCTAGCAGACAAGGCTGGAGAGAAAAAATGGGACCGTTTATGTGGGGACTCAGACACAGCCAGGAATCTTTTTTTATCCTGGCTTTTTATCCAGAAAATTAAAAAAAAAAATACTTATTTACTTTTTTAGAGAGGGAAAGGAAGAGAGGGAGAGAAACATCCACGTGTTTTTGCCTCTCACACGCTCCCCCCCCCAGTACTGGGGACTTGGCCCACAACCCAAGCATGTGCCCTGACTGGGAATCGAACCAGCAACCCACTGGTTCTCAGCCTGACACTCAATCCACTGAGCCACACCAGCCAGGGCAGAGCCAGGAAATTTTTTATCCTGGCTTATATGGAAGGCCACCTAAGGGGTTGGCTTAGTGAAGCAGCGGCCCACCCTAGCTGCTGTGGTGTTGACGACAGGGGGTTTGGGGATCCAGTGGCCCTGTGGAGCCAGGGGTGGCAGACTACAACCTTGGGCAGTGTACAGCAGGTGGGCAGGTCGTGCCACCAATCCCCATAGCCCAGGACAAGGGATGGACGGCTGCAGAGAGATTCACTTCCAGCCTGCGCCCTGCATGTGGTGACCTGGGCTTCCTGGCTGCACCAACAGTTCAGGTCTCCTCTGGCATCTGTGCAGCAACCACTGAGACTCCTTGGCCCGGCCATGTCCTTTCAGTCACAGTTTTTATTTTACCCCATCAGCATCGCCCAGCCACTGCCACTGCCTGGGATAAGTACAGCCAGCGCTATGCCTGGGACAAGGAATGGTCTATTAAAGCAACGTTCCCAAACTTGAACTTGTGGAGGAAACAAGCACGCACCTTAGTTTAGTGCAGACTGGGTTTCGCTGGGCAGTGGGGGTCCCAGATCTGTGTACACACAGCAGCAGGGCATTAAGGCTCGGTGAGTGTGGGTGATGGCCTCGTGACCTCCGAAAGGCCCCTCCACACACACAGACATTTATCCCAGAAAATAAAAAGGCAGTTTGCAGGTGACTACAATCCAAGAGTAGTTAGAAATGTTGTTCTTCACCATCTGAATATACGCAATGCACTTTTTTCTTTGTGTTACATACTCATTTTAGGAAATCTTCGATAAGATACTTTGTAAACACTGGTATTCATTGGTATCAGTTATGGTTGCTAACTTACACATTTTTTTTTCAAAAATAAGTTAAGTGTATAGATTTTCTTAGGTGCATCTTCTACTTGAAGTGTTTTGTAGGCATTTTTAAATTTCATTAAATAATCTAGTTTTTCTCCAACTTTTATAAAACATTTCAAGCATATAGCAAAGTTGAGAATTTTAGAGTGAAACAGTGGAGCAATCCTCAAGGGAAGGAGGAGAGTGACTCTTACGATATTTTGGGTTGTTGCAATGGAGGGGTGCTTCCAGCACCTAATGGGTAGGGCCCAGGGATGCTGCTCCACTTACTGCAATGCACAGGACATGCCCCTACAAAAAAAATTTGTTGGTCCAAAATGTGCACAGTGCTTAAGTCAAGAAACTGATCTAAACACTGTAACATTTTCGTTTACCTGCTTTCTCATACATCTAATCCATCTACCAACCCACCCATTCTGATGCATTTCAAAGTAAATTGCAGACATCAGTATACTTCTCCTTACATACTTCGGCATGTATAACATGAATATGTAAATTCTTCTTCTTTTGAGGTAAAAATGAAATGCACATCCTAAACGTATATACGCTGAGTTTTGACACCTGAGTACACCTGAGTAACTCAAACCCTATGTCAGACCCTGCCCAACCCCCGCGAGGCAGCCACTTGCTCTGGTTTTTTTCACCATAATTAAATTGGCCTATTCTAGAACTCCATAGGGAGGAATTATACAGTAGGTACTTTGGTGTGTGACTTGTATCAGACTATTTTACAAATTCATCCATGTTCTTGTATTAGTAGTTTCTTTTTATTGCTGAGTGGTATACCATCGCATGACTATACCGAAGTTTTTCCATTCTTTTGATGAAAACGCGGCTGTTTCATTTAAGGATGCTATAAACATTCTTGTACAAGCACTTCGTTAATAATGACTATTTCTTCAGTAAGTATAAAACACTATGTTCCAGACACTTCTGCGTGTTAGAGATTCAGCAACGAACAAGACAAAGATGTCCCAGCTCCTGAGGGCTTCACAAATGCCCGTTTGTTTGGATGGGATGGGGGTGAGGGCGGGACGTAAATATACAAGTAGGTGTGTAAGAAAAACACCAGATGGTGATAACTGCTGGGCAAAGAAGTACCACGGGGTGAGGCGAGTGAGCTGGGAGCGGTTTCCTAGGTCGCCCAGACGGTTTTCTCTGAGATGGTGACTTTCGCGGCGCACAGTTGCAGCGAGATGCCGTCCACGGAGCACGAGGGAACAGAATTCCGGGCGGCGGGAGCAGGTCGACGGAGGGCCACACCGCTGCTTCAGAAACAAAAGCCTGTGTGCCTAGTGAAAACAGCTGGGAACCCAGTGTCAGCAGCACCGGGCGGGAGGGCCAGTGCCCTCCGACTCAGCCATTCGACAGGCCTGGGGGCCACTTTCCTTCCGGGGCTGATAAGGATGACGTTTGTAGGTTGTGCTGTGAGTTCCTTTCCGTCCCTGGCCTGTGTTTCTGGGGACACCTGCAGTTTCCTGCTTCGTATTACCGCGTTTCGGTGTCAGACTGACCGGGTAAGGAGGCCTCCGATCCACCGCGCGCAGGGCGTGGCGCCAGAGGTCCTGCCGGAGCGGACGGACCGGCAGGGTGGGGGCAGCCAGTCCGCAGGCCCAAGGTCCTGCGCACTGGGCAGGGTTAGGGGCGGCTGAGATTTAAAGGTGCCCTCTCAGCTGGCCTGCCGACGCCGCGCGTGTGACCAAGCTGCCACCGAGGAGACTGCACGCCTCCGACCGCCCGAGGAACCCACCCTCCAGAGCAGGGAACCAACCCGCGACCCAGCCGGGAAACTCACTCACGTCTGGACTTCCGGCGCGAGCCGCGCGCAGGCGCAGGCGCAAGCGGCGTCAGCGCCGCTGGACGGTGGGCCGATGCCTCTTCCCAAGATGCCGCGCAGCGGAAGTTGCTGTTTTCTGGTGGCCACTCTAGCTTCCGCTCTGTCGCTTCTATTCGTCACCGGGAGGAAGACGGCGCTGGCTGCCCAGAGGCCCACGAGGAGGTGCAGTTATGGGTGCTGTCGCTGTGGGTGAGTTCGGTCCCGCTGACTCGCAGGCGGCGCCCGCGCGACCTCCTGCGCTCCGGGAGCACGAAGGTCCTGCCCGGTCTCGTTCTCCACTCCACGGCCTCTGCTTCAGGCGCGGTTCCCGGCCTCGGCCCGGTTCCGCGTCCTCATTGGCCTCACATCCTGTCAGTCCCAGGAGCTGGCCAATGAGCTGTCGGTGCTGGCGCCCCTCTCGACCAGGGGGACCCTGCGGGTCCTGCGGGGGGCGGCAGCGGGCAGGGAGGGGCCTGGTTTGCGGGACGTGCGGGGTTGGCCCCTAATCGGCTATGGCCCCAGAGGGGGAACAGGGCTGCGCCAAGGTGGGCGCAGCGCTTCCGTTGTTAACGCGGCCGCGCAGGCGTGGGCAGCCCGGGTCGGCAGACCGAGAAGCGGCTGGATGAACGCGAGAGCCGGCGCGACCGGCTCTCCTTTAAGTTCTGTGTGGATTGGCTGAGAAGCCCATCGTCACCTCAAGACTCGCCTGGAAAACTTAGTGTGACTCGTGGATGTTTTACCGCTGGCGGCACCACTGCACTCTCTGGTCAGGTCTCCTCAGATGCTCTTTATAGTTGTCAAAAACCTAGTGGTGCTCTTTCCACAGCATTAAAGTCGCCCCGCAGCAGTCGCTCTTCGCCTGTGAAGTTCCCCCGCGGAGTGCGGGCCGCCGCGGCCCTCAGCCCCGAGCTGCCTCCACGCCGCGCGCTTCCTCGTGCCTTTTTACCCTAGTCTTTCCGCGGGGACGCGGTTGCCTCGTTCTGGGGTGCACACCCTTGCACGTGGTGGTCGGCCTGTGCGTGAGGTACTATTCTCGGTCTGTGTCCCTGCAAGAAGCGTCTCTTGAGGACCTGCTAACACCTGCATTGCTGTAGGCAATTCAGAAGTGATGCGGAAAACCACCTTTCTCTCCTGGGGCTTTAGATTCCAGCAGAGAAACCGCGCAGGTCCAGGTTAAAGACGCCCCAGGGAGGCGCGGAGGCGCGGAGCTGGGGGCGAGGCTACCAGAGATCCGGCTGGAAACGGGAACGACAGACCTGCCCTCTGGTTCGTCTGTGACAGTCTGTGGGCTTTCATCGTCTGGTTTCTGAGCTTCTTCCTTTAGCGAAATGCTCCATTTAAAAGGCTGTTGCGGAAGCAAATGCGATGATCATGAAGGGGCTTCGAGGGATCAGAAGCACCATATAATTAAACTTTAGTGGCTCTTTTTGAGAAGTAATGAGAATCTGGCTGGCTGGAGCATTGGGGACAATTTATAGAGGACCACGAGGGCAAGACTCCGCAGTGTGGGCCGGAAAACTCTTCAGTGCTCTCCTCTGGAGAGTGGCGTGCTGGAAGTGCTCTCCTCAGGAGAGTGGCGTGCCGGAAGTGCTCTCCTCAGGAGAGTGGCGTGCCGGAAGTGCTCTCCTCAGGAGAGTGACTTGCTGGAAGTGGCCTCGTCAGAAGGTGCATCTGGTGCAGCACCGCCTAGAGGGAATTCGATGGGAGGCAAAAGCCTGGGCGCTATTGTTTCCCCACTAAACCTGCAATTCTAGATAAGAAATTATGTTACATGTTATCTTTAGGGTGAGAAAGAGAACATAAAATATACATTGTATTATCTGTACCTATATACTTTGTATTCTTTTGTTATTTACTTTGTAAACATGGGAGCTTGTTACATTTTAGATTATCTTTGGAAAGGTTAACAATTACTTGATGTGGCACTAATTTTCAGACATACCTTTCTGAATTACCTGTAAGTACATTAATCTGTTAAGGCCTAAAAGAAAAATGCGTGTAAGACTCTAAGACAGGTTAAGGTGACAACTCTGTAACAGAATTAGTTGGGAAATGTTTTCAAAACATACATTGGAGCCCTGGCCGGAAAGTTCAGCTGGTTGGAGGGTTGTCTCCATAGCCAAAGTTGCACGGTTGGAGCTCAGTCAGAGCACATATATCAACCGCTGAATCCATAAATAAGTAGAACAACAAATCGATGTTTTTCTCTCATCAAAACAAAACAAAAAACATGCTCACGTCTTTTTTACTTATGTCAGTGATTTTCAACTGGTGTCCCACAAGAATTTTTAAAATATACAGTACCTGTCTCTTTAGTCAGGAACACTGACTCATTTTCCCTCAGAGTGTCAAATAAAAAAAATGACAGCAGCCAACACAACAATAACCATTGGTGTGAATGAATGAAAACTATACCTGTTTTCATTTATGTCAGATTGGCAAAGAAAATGTATTCTTTGGTGCACTGCAGAATTTTAGTGATTAGTTTATGCGTGCTATGAGATGAAAAAGTTTGAAAGTTGCTCTTACCAGAATTTTAATAAGCACCACAGGGCAAATAATTATTATAGACACTTAAGTGATTTTGCTGTTAAGTTATTGTAATGTATGTTAAATACAATTTTCCAAAATCATTACATTATTTTAAAGTTAGGTGGACCTGTCTGTACTTTCAGCACATTTCATATTTGTTAATTTGTTTTAAGAATTATATTTTATTTAAGAGAAATTATAAATTCAATTTGCATAGACTGCAGAACTAAGAAGGGTAGCTTAGAAGGAAGGGATATCATCCCTGTGCCCCCAGCAGTCCACATATGTGTAGTGAGACGTTGAATTCCAAGCAGAGTCAAGTGTTGAGGCTTTTCAGGTTCTCTCCTGACCTTCACGTTTATTGAAAACCTCTTAAACTTACTAAGAATCAGTTTCCTAAGCTATGAAATAAGGGTAATACCATCTATTCTGTCTACGTCAGAGTTTTTATTAAAAATGTCATGATACATGTGGATGGTCTTTTTAAATTAAAATGTGTGATAGACATGTAAAATTTTATCTCTGGCTGAGTTCTATTACTGTCTCTTTGAGAAGTATAAACAAACTTTAAAAAATAAATCCAGCTAACTTTATCTTGTTTTCTAGATTGTTATTTTATGTCAGTAAGTAATCCATGAAGTTCCAACATGGGAAAGAAACGGACAAAGGGAAAAACTGTTCCAATTGATGATTCTTCTGAATCTTTAGGTATATTTCACCAATTGAACCCCTAAAGTGATGTTTATGTCCCTAAATGGACACATTTTAATGTATAAAAATGGGATCAAAGTGTACATTATTGTTCTGTAATTTGCATTTCAACCTAATGTTTATTTCTAGTACATGTCATTCAGCAGTCTTCAATGTTTTAATGGCACTGATGAAAAAGACCATGGATGTGTGCGTCTTTTGTGATTTATTTAGGGAACCTGTTGTTATAATCTCAGGGAAACTTTAACTTTTCGGTGTTACGAATGGAGCAATAGTAAACATTCTTGTAGCTAAGCCTCTGTGCACAGCCAGTTATCATCTTTGTTCAGCTTCTAGCAGGAGAATTGCCAAATCCAGTGGCATAAACATTTTCAAGGCTCTGTTGGTTCTGTTGCCAGGTTGCCTTCCAGAAATGTCTCACTGACTCACCACCCCCTGCAGCACACTGCAGGGCCCCTTTCCTTGAACCTTTACCAGTACTGATTAATATGATTTGTAAAAATCTTTGCTGGTTTGCTCATTGAAAATGTCATCTTCTTTTTCGTTCATGTCTCTTTGACTACTTACTGGGACTTAGTTTTTTGCATGATCTGGTTTACATGTATAGTCTCCTGGTGCAAGTTCCTTGGCCATAAAGCTGTGTGGGCCACTTGACTTGTTTCCAAGCCGCCTCGGTCTCTTAGATGACTGAAGGCCTTTCAAGTGACTCTCAAAGCCCTTTACTGACCTGGTCCCAACAGTGCTTTTAGACACAGGCTCAGCCGTTTGTGTCTGCACACGTGTGACAGCCATTCTGGGTAGACAGCATGCACTTCTACATTTTATACCCTATGCCTTTGCTCCTTGGGCATGTCCTTTCAGATTGTTTTTGATCCCTGAGGTTATAGTTCAAAATATGAGTTTTGAAGTAAAAAAGACTTGAGTCCAAATTCTGGCTTAGTCACTTAGTAGCTACATGACCTTGGGCACGAAATCTTAGTTTTCTCATCTGTTATAGAACAGTGACTTCTGCAAGGATAGTTGTGAGAATTGAATGAGATAATGTGAGCAAAACATTTAGCACGATCTCAGGCTCATAGTAAGTACTTAATATCAGAAATTTTAGTTGCAGTTCATATCTTCTGAGACTGAACAGATGGTGCAACATTTGTTGAGTGTACTGTCTATTGTGAAACTTTTGGGGACCTTTGCCCTCTCTTCTTGTGCAGCTGTGCTGTGTTTTGGAGATTCCTGTACATGTATTTATTTACCTATATGTGTATTTATTCACTGAGAGGCACTGAGGGTTGGGCCTGCCAGCTTAAGGAAAGACCTTCTCTACAAACATTTTAAAATAAAGAGAATAATAAATATGATACCAGGCCTTAGTTAAAGGAAGTAGTCGAATAAATTGAACTTTTGGTGGTGGTGGTTGTTATACCTCAGACTACAAAAAAAGAGAAATTTCAAATTTCTGTAAAATCTGTCACATAATCAACCCATTCAAATGTCTAATAATATTTAAATTATCAGATTATCTAACAATTTGTGTATAGAGTAAATTCATCTTTGAAGTTCAAATGAAGGGCAAGCTTTGAGATTCTCTGAAGAAAGCTGTGTTTCACCTCACGTCCTCCTGTATTGTCTGTTTTACTAGAGCCTGTGTGCAGACACGTTAGAAAAGGGTTGGAACAAGGTGGTTTGAGAAAGGCCTTAGTGAACGTGGAATGGAATATTTGCCAAGACTGTAAGACGGACAGTAAAGTAAAAGATAAATCTGAAGAAACAACGGAAGAAAGCCCTTCAGTTTGGCTGTGTCTGAAATGTGGCCATCAGGTATGCTTAGATTCTGATCAGTGTGGGATTTTCTACACTCTGCGAAAGTCTTTCAGAAGGTGTTGTCTAAGTACAGGGTGGATAAGCAGGGCGCCAGCTAGCCTGGGCCATGTGGCCTGGGGAACAGGTTCTGAGACTGAGATTGGTGAGAGATTTGGGCACTTTCCTGGGCTGTGTGCCCACTGTTTCACCAGGAAGGCTGTGAGGGAAGCAGGGTCAGGCCAAGGGAGGGCAGCACAGAGCTGTGGGGTGCAGCTGATCTGAGGACGAGCTCTGGCCTTGGTACCTGTGCACAGAACAGTCCTCGGGTGGCGCGGCCCCTGGTGGGGGGCTGGGGTGAGGAGGGGGGACCAACCTTAGCCATGGCAGCTCCCTTTCTTTGAGGATAATTCCTGGGGATGGACAGACTGAGCTGTGAACTGTCAGTCAGTCACATTCTTGGCAGCTTGGGGAAGGAGTCCCTTGGTCCTGGGGGGTGGCCAGCTGGGTGGCAGAACAGCTCACAGACATCAGAGGCCCTGGTGTGAGCGGCCAGGGACTCTCAGTCACCTCCCTGGTGGCAAGTTAGGTTCATGTTAGAGAATTGGGCTGCTAGCCAGTTCTGTCATGAAGCTTGAAAATGAGTCAGAGACGTTTTATTTTTTTTTAATTTTCTTTTAAATTGAAATTTTATTGAGATAATTATAGATCACTTGGAGTAGAAGAAATAATACAGAAATATCACTGTACACTTTGCAATTTCTCCCAGTGGTAACAGTTTACAAAACTATAATAGCACAATCAGTATATAGCATCGATACACTCCATCAGTCTTAATCAGATCTCCCGAGTTTTACTTTTCGTGGAGTGTATATGCAGCAGACACTGGTCCCTGCATCACGTGGGTCTCTCTGTGGCCCTTGTGTAGCCATCCCTCCCCTCAGCCCCGGGCAGCCACTTGTCTGCTCTCTATTTCTAAAATTTTGTCATTTAAGAAATGTCGGATATAAGGCACCATGGAGCAGTTCAGGCGTTTCCCTCACTTGCACACTCACCAAAGACTGATCACAGCGCCATGCTGGCAGCCTGCTCTTTCTTATTGCGGAGCGGCGCTGCCTGCTGGCGCCCTGCCGCTGCGTATGACTGTGCACCTGGGCGGGACGTCTGCGCTGACCCCGGTTTCTGGTAGTTTTGAGAAAAGCTGCTATGAACGTTTCTGTACAAGTTTTTATGTGAATTTAAGATTACATTTCTCTGGAAAAAATGTGCAATTGCTGAATCGTGCAATAATTAAATGTTTAGTTTTTAAAGAAGTGGCCAAACTTGTGTAGAGAGGCTGTGCCATTTTGCGTCCCTACCAACAGTGGGGGTGGCGCTCTCTCCATGACCCTGCAGCCGTGGGTGTTGTCACAGGCTTCCTGCCTCATTCGGTTTTTATTTTTCTGCCATTCTTATAGGTGAGCAGTGAAATCTCATGATAGACAGTTTTTTAAAACTTGTTAGCAAAGAGCATATTTACTTACCTGTATTTGAAAGGTTTTCGTTGAAACTCTTACATTCGTGTGGTGAGAATGACTATTTTGTAGATGATATTTCTTCATATACATTTTATGTTTTGCTCCCTTTCATCCCACTATGTTTTGCATTGTTAGCAAGTGATTCTCAGCTTGTTTTACGACAACTCATTTTGTTCTGTTTCGAATGCTCTCCAATGGTGTTATAATTCTCAAAATTAACATCAAATTTAACTCATTTTAGAATTAAATGTGGAGTGGGATAAATTAAATCGGTAGTGTTTGGTATCACAGTTAAAGGATTATAAGCCACTGACAGAGACTTCCCCTGCAGAGTATAGTGTACCTGCAATAGAAGCAGGACCACTTGCTGCCGTGCAGCGTGGGTCGCTTGGCCTGGTGCCAGCAAATACGCAGTCCACCCAGTCCTTTGCTGTGGGACTGCCTTATGTATTGGAAGCCAATAGCGGGGGAGAGCCAACATACTCAAAGTACCCAAGTCAGTATGTCATTGGTGAAAATGAAAACTGTGTCTTTTGTTTTATGGAAAAACCTAAACAGACATTTTGGCCAACCCAATGTGTATGTCATGGAAGAGGCTGAAGTTAGGAAATGCTATTTAGGAAGCCAACAAGGAGTCCGAACCAACTAGACCCAGGGAACGCCTGCGTCAGCACAGTTTGGTCAGGATGGGAGAGGGCAGGCTGGAGAGGAACAGGTCATTTAGTGTGCGGTTTTCTACATAACTAAGTTTTAACAATGTCTAGACTCTGGAGTCTAACATATTATTTTCGAAATTGTAAGAAAGGAAGAATTTTGTGAACTACTTCCACGTTCATCATAGGTTTTGAATTCTCTCCTCCCCTGGTGAATTTCCGTGGCCTTGAGATTTCTGACTGTGACTCTCTAGGGCTGTGGCCGGAACTCTCAGGAGCAGCACGCCTTGAAGCACTACATGACGCCGAGGTCCGACACTCACTGTCTGGTCCTCAGTCTGGACAGCTGGAGTGTGTGGTGAGTACGCCTCTGGGCCATGGCCTACAGGTCGTTTCAAGTGCCGGAGGGCAGAGGCATTAGAAATGTTTAAGGAACAAGAAAGTTAAAGCTTTCGTACTTGTTTAAATATCACTTTCAGAAGGCAAGAGAACGTACTGCTATGGGACGCTTTGGTTTAGTGTTGTAAAGACATGAAAGTGGCAGTGCACGGGGGGCTTTGAGAGCTTCACTCTTTGTCTTGCCTGTGATACTGGGAAGCGAATGGTAGATTGTTTTTACTGACACTTTAAAAATTGAGACATGAAGAACAAATTCCAGATATACTGAGAATATAGTAAAACTTTGACAATGAATTTGCATGAAAAGAAATGTTAGGCTGACTTGTGTATTTCCTATATTTTAACATCATTAAAACAAATTTTCACATCTTTTTTTAAGATTTTTATTTACTTTTCAGAGAGAGAGGGAGGGAGGGAGAGTGGGAGGAAGAAAGGTAGAGAAACATCAATTAATTGCCTCTTGCACACCTCCAACTGGAGACCTGGCCTGCAGCCCAGGCGTGTGCCCTGACTGGGAATCAAACTGGCGACCCTTTGGTTTGCAGGCCGGTGCTCACTCCACCGAACCATACTAGGTGGAAAACCATTTAAACAGCACTGTGCACAGAACATTATCTGTCAGTTATAAAATTTGTTGATTCTGATAATGTAGGTTTGTACTTTGAAATATGTATACAAAAAACTTTTGACTTTAATGTTATAAATAGCCATTTCAGTAAAGTGTTTATTTGGGCTTTTTTCACAGTATTTATATGTAGCTATAAGATGGATAGTCTTCAAGAAAACATACAAGTTTTCATTTTCTGTAGTGGAATCATTTGATGATTACACACTTTGGATTGCAGGGATGGTAATATTTCCCCCTTTCTGGTTGTCAGTTTGTCACTCTTCCTCTCTCTGGTCTTTTGGGGCACAGGTGTTACCTGTGTGATGATGAGGTCCAGTATTGCACGTCACACCGTTTGGGCCAGGTGGTTGATTATATTAGGAAACAAGCCTGCATTACACCACCAGAGTCAGGTAAAAAAAATCACTTGTTTCTTGATATATACTATAATGTTGATTTATATGTCTGTTGATGTTTAGGTTAATTTACTGTACTACCCAGCATTGCATAGAGCTGAATAACATTAATTATGGTTGGTTTTGAACGCATGGAACTATTTTTGGTTTAAGAATATAAAACCAAGAGTGTAGGTCATTCTAAGGTATTAGAATTAGAGGGGAATCTGATAAATAATCTGGTCAGACGTGATGAAGTCTGGGCCCAGCAGTGGGCAGTCATGCCCTGTGCCCGTGCCTGGCTCCGGGGCTGCAGGGAGCCCTGCTCCTGACCAAAGGTGCCTCCGTGTGGATGACGTAAAAGTGAAGTGCTTGTAATTCCTTCAAAAGACCAGACACTCTCAGCCGTTTTTCACACGTAATTAATTGGGCTGGTATACATTATTAGTTTTAAGCTTGTCTAGATTTTTATGATCACAGAAGAGTCTTTGGCAGAGCCATGATTGTTTATTCTTACCGTCAGGATTTTTTTTGGCCCATAGAATTCACTAAAAAATGTATTTAATGTCCACATTCTTTACTTGATATCTTTATGTTCCAATTTCACAAGGTAAGGTATGGTCATTTGTAAAACACTTTAGTGCATTTAAAAAAGGGTTTATGCGGAAAAGCCTGTTTTGTTTGGTTTTATTTGTCAGACTAATACTTAGGTCAATATTGAATATATTTCATTAATTGGAAAACATTTAAAATCAAACAGGTGGCAAATAATGATATTAGGTAAAATACACAAATTCCAGTACTCTGTCCCAAGTGTAACTTTGCATTTCGTGTGGCTGTATTACACATTTTGCTAAATCGTTTTCTCTTCTACTTTTCCTAAAGCAACAAAAAATAATGGTAACATTGAACTTGAAAATAAAAAATTAGAAAAGGAGAGTAAAAATGAACAAGAGAGAGAGAAAAAGGAAAACACAGCTAAAGAAACTCCCACGAATTTTACTTCCCAACTGACTGTGAAGGGGCTCAGTAATCTGGGAAATACATGTTTCTTCAATGCGGTTATGCAGGTACCAGCCTTACTTTTCCTTCTGTGAAAATCGTGTTTCCATATTTGTTACAAGATTGAGGTTTTCCCCCTAAGTAATTTATTTCTACATTTTCAAAGAAAACTCAAGGAAATTCTTACTCTGCATGGCAGTAAAACACTGTGCTGAGCACTGAGGTGCAGTAGGGTCCAAAAAGTGCAGCCCCTGCCCTCAGAGAACCCCCCCAGGGCGGGGGGCAGCACAGGCCAGCCCGGCTCGGGAGCAGCTGCCAGGCACCGCTGGGCGTGTGGTGGTGAGAGCGCGGGGTGGGGGCGGCGACCCGGTGCCCGAGCTGCAGTGCTGGGGGCCAGGGAGTGCCCACTGCCCTCTGCTCCCCAGACGGAGACAGCAGAGGCTGCAGCGCTGGCAACGACCTTCTGTTTTGATAGAATGGATTGCTTTTTCCTTAGACAACTTTCCTTTTCTTCCTGTATTCCAGAATTTGTCACAGACACCAGCGCTGAGAGAACTACTAAAAGAAGTAAAAATGTCTGGAACCATTGTAAAAATTGAACCACCTGACTTGACACTAACAGTATGTACTTTAAAATTCTCTTTATAATCAGTGATTTTCTTCTCCGAATATCAATGTTTTAAGTTATTTTAAAGCATTGATACTCATTTTCACCTTTTTTATTTGTTTGGCTTTAGACTACCAAGTTAAAGACAATCAGACTAAAAAATCAGGGGCCATTACATTTAAAAAATTTTTTAAGATTTTATTTATTTATTTTTAGAGAGAGGGGAAGGGAGGGAGAAAGAGAGGGAGAGAAACATAAACATGTGGTTGCCTCTTGCACACGCCCTGCTGGGGACCTGGCCTGCACCCCAGGCCTGTGCCCCGACTGGGAATCAAAGTGGGTCCCTTTGGTTTGCAGGCCGGCGCTCAATCCACTGAGCCACGCCAGCCAAGGCAGAAGTTATCAGGAGCCTTTACATTTATTTGCTGTGTCTTTTGCTGTGTTCTGCTGTGCTCTTGTGTTTGCCTGCCTTCTTGGGAATATTTTTGATATTTGTGAAGCCCTAGGCATACAAATGCGCAGCCAAATGAATTTTACCTATCCATTTTTGTATTTACATTTTGTTTTAGGTCTTTCATCTTAGGCAGTGTAAGTTCCTGATAATCTAAAACTAAAACAGTAGAACTGAAGTCTTTCAAATAACAGTATGACCAGAAACTGTGTGTCTTTTGATATGCATTTTGAACCTTTAAATGGACAGCTCTATCAGGAATATGGGCAGTATGGGCTGACTCGTCACAGTTTGCTAAGATAAATGATTCTAAAGTTGGAATGAGGAAAGCATTTTTTGTTCCCACATCCAGGAGCCCTTGGAAATCCACCTTGAGCCCCCAGGTCCCCTGACCGTAGCCATGAGCCAGTTCCTCACTGAGATGCAGGAGGCCAAGAAGGGTGTGGTCACGCCCAAGGAGCTGTTCTCCCAGGTCTGTAGAAAGTGAGTATCTGCGTCACTTGGGCTTTTAGAGCGGGGTCAGGTGGCAAGGAGCTTTGTGAAAAATTCACAGCATAGGAGCAGCCCAGTACATACATCAAAGTGCCATTTATTTCATTTGGATTAAAAAACATGTAGTTTATGTGAAAATGAAATCTGCCAAGCGTGTTGTTGGACTAAACAAATTTTGAGAAAGATTTGGAATATGATCCTATGACTTTGTAAAATGGGTTTCATATTTTTGTAGACTCATCATTGCTTTTTTCTTTTTGTCCTTTTTTTTCCGTAGAGCAGTGCGTTTTAAAGGCTATCAGCAGCAAGACAGCCAGGAGCTGCTCCGATATCTACTGGACGGCATGAGAGCAGAAGAACACCAAGTTAGCATATTCCGACCATGCATTTCATAACTTCACCTCATTGCCTTGCCTGTCATTTGATATCTTAAGGGTGTTAACTCAATGAAAGCTAGTTACTGAGGCCATTGGATTGAAGACATGTTTTCGACACCGGCCTTTTCGGCCACTATGTTTCAGTCATGAGAATGAATGAAGAGAATCAGAAATGACTTTCCTTTTTGTGATGCTGTGTCGCATGACACTTTCTGCATTATTGTTCCTTCGGGCTCTGTCGTACAGGCCTGTCCTCCAAGAGCTCAGCGAGCTAGAAAATGTCCCTCCCAGCACAGGTCCCAGTGGCGGTGCCCCTGCCCTGATTCCGAGAGTGACTCAGCGCAGCGGCCCTCAAATAATGAATAATGTCATTCCATCCCACGCCCTTTCCTTGTAACATTGATGAGACGCGTCAGGACTTAACTCTTCTATATATCAGTTAGCCAGTGGTAACATGGGTGTCATTATTTGTTATTTTGCTTAAAGTCACAGAACCTATTGATCACAGTAAATGAGGAATTACTGTATATTCATTCATTTTGTACAAGTCAGGGGAATATTTGTTGCATTTTGAAGTTTTTAATTTCCAGGATGGAAATGAATGTACTTGGGGATGCTAATATAATTAACAATAGTCATACTGTAGTGATAACAACTAATATTTATTTTGGCCATATTTTATGTCAAGCACTGTTCTTAGCATTTTATGCAAATGATCTGGCTGAGACCTCACAACCATTCTGCGAGGTAGACCCTGCAACCATTCTCTCTCCCCGTAGATTCGGGAGCAGAGATACAGGAAACTCCCGTGCCTGGTTCAGGGTCAGCCAGTGCTGACCGAGCTGGGCTGCTCCTGTGGGAGGCTGCCCCTTAGCTCCCGCTGGCTCGTCCCGCCTCCAGGACTCCCTGTGTTCCCGGCCTCTCGGGGTGGGGCATGTTCTGAGAGCTTCAGTTACTGTGGGTCACAGTCAGGAAGCGATGAGGCAGTGGCTTTATTCGTGGGTTCATGGTTTTAGAACTGTAATTCTGTTTAGATTCTTTAATTAATTTTGAAAATGCAATTTTAAAAATATTAATTTTTATTCAGTAAGTTTGGGGAGCTAAATTTTGATCACTTTCTTGACTTGATCACATATTTTCTAAAGAAAATAGTTATAAAGTTTTAAATTTAATAGTATGCATATATTCATTTCATTACTTTTAGAGAGTGAGTAAAGGAATTCTTAAAGCATTTGGTAATTCTACTGAAAAATTGGATGAAGAACTAAAAAACAAAGTTAAAGGTAATGTCTTACTTTTTGAACTAAACCACGGTAGTTGAACCCCACTGTACTGAGCAGTAGAGTGCTGGCACATGTGTTTTGCACCCACAGTTATTAACATATCACTTCTCTTTATTAGCATTGATTTAAAAAATTGGTTCAGTGCGCCCAAGGTGGATATTCAGAAAAGTTTAAAGAAAGTCGGGTGTATTCTTTTTGTGCAATATTATAGTGAAACTTACAAAGATACAGCGAAGATGACATCACAGTTTTATTCTTCGAAAGCTTAGACTTCTGACCGGCAGCGGTCAGTGAGTCGCACTCGTCCGGGTGCGTTGTTAGCGGCTGGTGTATTAATTGTGGGGCCCCTTCTGGCAGGTGGCCGTGTGGCCTGTAGAGGGCAGGCGTCACTCTGACCAGCAGGGCCTGCTGGGGTGATGGCGCTTCTGTCTCCTGTCTGGTGCCATGGCCACAGGGCTTTTGAGCCCGTGAAATGTGATCGGTGCCACTGAGGAGCTAAATTTTAATTTATTTTAATTAAATTGAATTAGTAGTAAAGGGGCAGCTCTTTACCTCTTCGGCACCTTTTGAGTCTTTCCTGCTGCCACCATCTGTCAGGAAATGTGTTTCCGTTGTATAAACTGGCATCTGTTACTTTAATAAAGCATATGAATTTCACGTACTTAGTAAAAGGGGTGACCAGGTAATAAAGTTATGTCACTTTATACTAAGTTTACCAAGATTATTTTTCAAACAAAGGGATATAAAAGAGAATTTTGTCTGAAGCATTTTTATGAACGTTTTTATTTGCTTATTTTGATTTTAAATGGAGTTAGTCTTAGAGTTCACCAAGCAAGTTGCATGTTGGAATGTTATAAGGGGGGACCCCCCCCAAAAAGGAGTTTATTTATAAACAATTGCGTATTTATTCTTACATGTTAAACTTAAGTCATCTTCAAAATACTCTCCATTTGATGCAATACTCCTATCAAGGCATTTTTTTTCCACTGATCAAAACAGTTTTTGAACTCATTGATTTTGATGCCTTTTAGTGCTTCTGCCATTTTTTGTTTCACCTCATCCACATGGGCAAAATGTTTTCCTTTGAGGGTTTTTTTCATCCGGGGAAACAAAAAAAGTCACTGGGGGCGAGATGGGTTGAACAGGGAGGGTGGGGCATGGGGGTCATGCCATTGTGGTCAAAACCTGCTGAGCACGCAGCACAGTGTGGGCAGGTGCGCCCATTAGCTGCCCATCATGAAACGGCACACACGTTGAAAGAGTCTTCAAAAATAATTTCACTGAAGCTGAACTCAGCCTCTCGCAACAACGCCAGCTGGTGCACTGACACATACGGGGTTAGCGGGGGAAGCCTCGACTACAAGGGGCCCGCCCTCCAGAAGGTAATTCCAGTTTTGGGGGTCCCCCTCGTAGAGCTGAACAGGAGCTCGAGCATCATCCTGCATCACTCCTCTGCTTGTTTTCCAAGTAGAGAAAGGGACAGACGGTCTCACTGCCCACTCGCTGGGTCTTAGATAGGAACTGTTTCTGAGCTTTTTCTTTCTTACCACATGTGACGAGACCAAGTAGGAAATTCTGTTAATGCTCCAAAGTGCAGTGTGTGCCACTGATTAGCAAAAAAAAATAAAATAAAATTGTGGTGATTATGAATAGAGAAAAACAAGTCTGAGATAGGAAGTTACAAATACAATTTTAGGGTTAGAGAGGTTAAGTTGAACTTACTCGATTAATTTTACAAGTATAGTTGATAAACTTTCTTTCCCCTTATCAGATTATGAAAAGAAAACATCAGTACCAAGTTTTGTGGACCGCATCTTTGGTGGTGAACTAACTAGCACGATCATGTGTGATGAATGCGGAACGGTAAGCGGGGGTCGTGCGGGGTAGATTCACTACATAGATACAGTTTATCATTTGTGGCTATCAAAACCAGAAAGGTCTAGTTCCATAAGATACTCTTGGTAGAACCACCAAAATGTGCATAGTTCTTTGCGGGAAAATGTGCATAATTTCTGATACTAGAAGAAATTAGTTAACATGTTGCTTTGTTTCCCTAACCCAGAGTTCTCAGTGCTGTATTTTCCATTTCGTTTTCTTTTGTCTTTATCTTAAAGCTGAGTCCCCCACCCCCGTGATCTTACTATATAATGTTTACAGAGAATCTTTTTCCTTCCTTTTACATTTTCTTTTTTGATTGGTTAAGGTCTCCTTGGTCCATGAGTCTTTCCTTGACTTGTCACTACCAGTTTTAGACGATCAGGTAAGATTCATTTTATTTAAATACATTTTCCTGTGTTAGGTTTTGTGGGGAAGCCTTGTTACCTTTTCCAAATTGGTACATCACCAATGGAGATGTACCTGTGGAGAATTCACCTGTGGAGAATTTTTCTAAGTGTATTTGAGGTAGAATAGGTAGAATTTTTAATAGTTAGACAAAGAATGGGATACTTTTTTTTTTTACAAAGAAAAAGAGACTGTTTAGAGTTCTTTGTAGATGACTATCTTGATTAGTTTATGTCTGTAACTTAGTGATTAAAGTCTTACCAAATCTACTTTATTTTCTCTTTGTCTGAAACTGTCACTTACATGCCAAGAATGGAGTGAATAAAAAGAAGTGCCTGTGTTGGGATGTGCAGGCCCTTGTGGCAGGGAGTGCCCTGGAGCGGACGCCGTTCCGCGGCGGCGCAGTGGGCGCCGGGCACAGCGTGTTGTTCTTGCCGTGGCACTTCCATGTGCAGTTAGCTCTTTCACTCTTTGCTTGTTTCTTAGTATGTGAAGGTTGCTTCTTAGTGTTTGAGATGAATGAATTTTGTCCTGGATATATTTTCAAACATTGTATAAATAAATTAGTATGTAATAGGAGTAGAAAAATATTTAGGTAACGTGAAATCTGTTCGCCAAGTAGTAGTTGTAAAATTTTATTTTTTGGCCCATATTTTCTCCATATTTTAAGAGTGGTAAGAAAAGCATAAGTGATAAAAATCTGAAAAAGACAATGGAGAATGACGAAAAAGAGAGCGATGAAGAAAAAGATAACGACAGTTACATAAAAGAAAGAAAAGAGAGAAATGACGTTCTGTCGGGAACAAGTAAGCACTTACAGAAGCAAGCCAAGAAGCAGGCCAAGAAGCAGGCCAAGAAGCAAGCCAAGGTGAGTCACCAGGCAGACGGCCCGGCCCTCCGCGGCCGCGTCTTGGCCTGCTGGTCTGCAGTCAGACCTGCCTGGGCCGGCAGGCCGCCCTCACACCCAGCGCCTCACTGCACGCCCGTCCCTGCAGCGCTCAGCGCTCTGTGCCGGGGGCCTCTTCCAGGGAAGAGACGGCTGGCTGTGCTTCGTCTCTTCACTACCGGTCAGGCCGGCCTTACAGATGCGTTTGGGCGGGTGGAGGCCGTCCCCGTGACCCCGCCCGAGCCCTGTCCTTCCGTGACACTGACAGCCACGCCGTGGATGCGCGTGTCCCCCAGAGATTGTTTTGGGAAACATGATCGAGTACAAGTATGTAGTCTTGTTTTTTTCCTCCTTTTACCAATTGTACACGTGGGCCTGGACATTGTTTTTGTTTGTTTCTGTTTAATTATATTCTTGGAGGTCTTTACATTTTAGGACACAGATCAGTTTTGTAACGCCCGTCTGTCCCGCAGCTCACCCACCTCCCTCCCTCTTGGTAGAGGTGGTTCGTATTCTTTTGCTCCAGCGGCCACGCTGCAGCGCTAACCCTGTGCAGTCAGGTGTCGCTTAGCAGCATCATACAGTGTTGGAAAGGACAGTTGGGCTGCTTGGTTGTGCGCATGTCCCAGAGTGCACTGCACGCCCCTGGGCCATCCATGCAGCAGGTCACTGTACTGAGCCCTGTAGGCCATCGCAACACAAGTGCGTGCAGGTGTCTGTAACCTTGAGTGGGTGCCATGGAAGCACAGGGGGACGGTGTCACCTGCACCAGGCACGGACGGGGCGGGGCCGGCAGGACTGGAAGTTGCTCTGGGTGAGTTGGGGTGAGCATAGGCAGACTAGGCTCAAGTGTGGACTTTAGAAATGCTGTGAGCACACGTAGGCTCTACTGAATTTATAAAAGTGTAGTTTCTCTCTATAATAATAACCTAACTTTAGCCTACTGTAACTTTTTACTTGATACACTTTAAAAATTTTTTAAACTTTTTGAGTCCTGTAATAACAGTTAGCTTAAAATCACATTGTAAGCTATACAAAAATATTTCATTTTTTCATATTCTTATTCTATAAGCTTTTTGTCTTTTTTAAATTGATTTTAGAGAGAAAGGAAGGAAGAGAGAGAAAAAGGTCGTTTTGTTCTTGTTTCACTTATTGACGTGTTCTTTGGTTGCCTGTATGTGCCCTGACTGGAGATCGAACCTGCAGTGCACCTTGACGTGTTGGGAAGATACTCTGAGCCATCTGGCCAGGGCCTATAAGCTTTTTTCTGTTTTTAAAAACTTATTTTGTTAAAAACTAAGACACAAGCACGCACAGGCAGGACTACCCAGGGTCAGGTGTCTCCCACTTCCGCGCGCAGTCCCCCGGAAGGTCTTCAGGGGCAGCAGCATGCACGGAGCCGTCCCCTCCTGTAGAGCGGGCCTCCTTCGGGAGCACCTCCTGGTGGGCTTGCCCGAGGCTCCTCCTGAGGGGTGTCACCCGACTTAGAAACATGTCCATGGTGGGCGGCTTGGTTTGCTGCTTTTTCTCATCGTAGATTTGCTTCTAAGCAGATAGTGCACCGTGATGTTAATGAAAGCCTTTTGGTGTTGGGGTCCCTGTTTTCAAACTTTCTAAGGAGCCTGTTGAATTCTGCAAAAGCTTCTGCTAAGCTCTTCACGGTGAATTTTCTTGAGGATTCTTGATTTTCCTCTGCAGTCCCCGTTTTCCTTGCCTCCCCTTCAGCTTTGCATCCCTGTGCCAGTTCGGACACCTGCTCGTTAGCCGGCCCCCCGGGGCCGCGCCTGGGCGCTCCGGGTTGCTCCCCGTCTCCACAGCAGCCTGGCGCTTCCACGGACTTCGCACCACAGCCTCACTGTGTGTCCCCCTTGTTTTATGGGACCACCATCATGTCGGTGGCCAGTTGTTACTGAAACGTCATTTTGAGCACGTAGGTCGTCTGTAGGGTACATTTTGAGAAGAGGGATTGCATTTGCAGATTTGATAAATATTACCCTATTGCCCTCCACAAAGGTTGTACCAATTTATATTCCTAGAAGCAATATGTGTGACTTTAGGATAAGGAGCTGTTTCTCCTTATCCTTGACAGCACTGTGTGATCAGACTTCTGGATTTCTGCCATTGTGAGAGTTGGAAAATATTAGTAAAGTTTTTTTCCATTTATTTTAATATGTGAAGTTAATCATATGTTTATGTTTAAGAGTCATTCGTGCCCTGCCTGGTACGGCTCAGTGGGCTGGGCATCGTCCCGCAAACCGAAAAGGTCACCAATTCAGTTCCCATTCAGGGCACAGGCCTGGGTTGCAGACCAGGCTCCCCGTGGAGGGCACAGAAGACACAACCCATCACTGTTTCTCTCTCTCTCTTTGGCCTCCCTTCCATGCTAAGAATAAATTTTTAAAATCTCTTTAAAAAAGTTATTTGTGTTTCCTTTTCTTTCAAGTATCAGCTTATCCTGTTTCTCCATTTTTAAAATTGAACTTATCGGCAAATTTTTTAAATTGAATATTGGTTAGTAAAATGACACAGGTTTCAGGGGTATAGTTTCTCTTTCACGTGGAACCATTTTCAGCCGAAGCTCTGAGAGCACCTTTATGCCCTGGGCGCCGCTGCTCAGCTTCTGCTGTTCCCATCAGCTGTTCAGCCACCGCCCTGGGGTGAGGCCTGCTTCTCAACAGAGGCAGGAGTCTTGATGAAATGCCTTTTTTCCTCTACACTTGGGAACAGGCCGCAAGTGGCAAAGAAGGTGACTGCAGGGGAAAGTCCTTTGTTGTCCTCTGTGCACGTGGCATTCTTGGTTCTTCCCTGACCTGGGGCCACTTGTTCCCCAGACGGTGTTCCTCCCGCTGTCTGAAGCAGCCCTGTTCAAGGCAGTACAGGTTCTGTCTCCTTGGTGAACTTGGACCCGGGTCACGTGTGGCATTGGAGCCACAGCAGGGTGCTGTCTAGGTCCTTCTCTTAGGACAGACACCATGTCTTGTACTTTTTCATTTGCCCCAGTGTGACAATTTTCTGATGATTGGGGATGGTTTATTCCTAATTCCAATTAAAGAAACTTTTCTCCATAATTTATTTTATTCCTGATAGTAAAGGAACTTTTAGGATCAATTCTAGGAACAAACTCTTCATTATTAACTTATTTTTATTAATAAGCAAGAGAACTTGATGTGGTACATATACACTCATTTCTATTTTTTCTTTAAATATTTAATTTTGTTATTTTTAGAGAGAGGAGATGGGAAGGAGAAAGGGAGAGAAACATCAGTGTGTGGCTGCTTCTTGTGTACCCCCTCCTGGAGACTTGGCCCGCACCCCAGGCCTGTGCCCTGCCTGGGACTCGAACTGGCAGGCACCTGGTTCACAGGCCGGCCCTCAGTCCACTGAGCCACACCACCAGGACTGTTTCTTTAAAAAATCTTTTATGCTTTTTACACAGAACCAGCGAAGGCAACAAAAAATTCAAGGAAAACTTTTTCATTTAAGTGATATCTGTACCATTGACCATCCTGAAGATAATGAATGTGACGTTGAAATGTCAGTTCAGGTGGAAACGGATATTAGATCCGATGACGTCTCACAAGAGGACTTTATCAATAAAGAATATTGTGTTAATCAGAAAGACTTGAATGGCCAAGAAAAGATGGTAGAAAGTGTAACTGACAATCAGAAACGCACAGAAGAAGTGGATATGGATAATGATCTGGAGGTTCTGTCACCTCCCGCCGAACACCCCGGGAATTTAAACGGTGCCTGCGTGGGGGAGGGGAGCCCCGGGGAAGAGGACATTGTGAGGGGTTTCAGGGGCCTGCACCTGGGGGCCGCTCTTCACCCTGACGACGTACATCTAGAGGTTCTGAGTGGCGGCCCTGCCCGCGGGACCAGGGTGTGTGAGGCCGTGAACCAAGACCCAGCGACCGCGTTCTGCGCCCTCGCCAGCAGGCAGGCCGTGGGCGCCGACGAGGGCTCCGTCCAGCACTGCCTGCTCCAGTTCACGCGCAACGAGGACCTCCGCGGCGCCAACAAGCTGCTGTGTGAGGCGTGCACCCGGAGGCAGCACCACGGGGCCCCAGAGGCCGATCCGGAAGGTACTGGGCCCCTCACGGAAAGTCCACTTAGTGTTGGGGCCCTGCTCTGCGTGGCGATGGTAGGCAGCGCCGTCTGAGCTGGGTCGGCACGTGCACGGCGTCCTCCGCGGGCACGGCCCCCGGGGGTGGACGAGCTGCCCTGCGCGCGCACGAGCACGCAGCGTGCGGCCGCCGCAGCAGGCGCGGGGGGCGGGGGGGGCTGCGGGGCTCCTGCGGCTCCTCGGCAGCCCGCAGAGGCCCCCCGCCCGCGCCCAGGAAGGCGCCCTTGAACAAAGGGGCGCGCCCAGCGGGAGGCCCCGGCCCAGGCGCTCCTGCGGTCCCCCCCCAGCACGGAGCGGGAGGAGCTGGGGGCGCCCGCGGCGGCCCGCTGAGTGTCCTAAAGTCCAGCGTCTGTGTGTTTACACGCCAGTGCGGAGAGCGGACTGTTGATATCGTGGCAGTTGTGCTTAGAGCAGGTCACAGTGGTCTGCTGCCTCTGAGCTAAAACGGTTTTTATAGATGCATATTTGAAAATGATTTTTGTGGTAGAAAACACTAACTTTGAACCCTAATGAATTAACTGTTACCTCCAAAAATAAGTTCATTCTTTTCTTCAGCAGGCTGCGGTCATACTTCATTATTATATTTTGAATTCCTTCAGTAAAAATTTATGGAAGTGTTTAGCTTATATATAAATCCTTACAAAATATTTGGCTTCTAGGTCCACAACGCATAAAATATTTACCTGGTCCTTTTCAAAGTATACTTATCCTGGTTTTCAATGTTTGAAATGATTTTATAGCCAAGTGAATGCTTTAGAGTTCTAAACTGAGTTTCACATTGCTATAATTTTTTTCTTTAGGTGAAAAGAAACATGTTTACACCAATGCCAAAAAGCAGATGCTCATTTCTCTTGCTCCTCCTGTTCTCACCCTTCATTTAAAAAGATTTCAGCAGGTACCTCTCATTTGTTACCTAAAATTTGTTTTAAACATGTAACACCTGCTTTATTTGTTAATGTCTCAAGATACACTATTTCTCTGGTTTTCTGTTATTTCTCAGTTCTAACTTAAAAATAGTAGGAAAGTAAAATACATTCCTGTTGGTAAGATAAGCATTCTGATAAAGACACCTGTTGAGGTGGAGGAGAAATTTAGGCACAATCCTTCCTCGGTTTTTCTATAACTCCTGTTGCTCTTTTTAGTAATATTAGCATCTTACTCTAACCTTAATTTTAGGTTAAAAAAAAACAACCCAGTTTACTAGTCACATGCCACATTTAGAAGATGGAGTGGTATTTTTCTGTTTTGTGTAACTGACTTAATAAACAGACTTTGGATTTTACCTTTGGTGACCCGGTCTCTTCTGGAAGACTTTTGCTATAAGCGGTACAGGCTTCACTGTCACTTCCAAATTCCCGAAGTGCCTCTGGAATGTCCCCTCGTGTGGGAGCTATGGGCTTGGCAAAGGGGTTAGGTCTCTGGGGACAAGACCCTCGGCGTGGGCATGGTGAGTGCTTCCGCAGAGAGTGTCTGGCTGTGGCTTAGCTTTAAGCATCAAACTATCAGGTGTGACCTGGCTTTTCTGGACAGCCAAGGCAGAAACATTGAGAATTTTCTTGCAGGAGCAGCTTTCTTAGTGTGCATGTGTGTGGGGCACTTAGCAAGATCAGCGGCTTGAAATCAGTTGCTGGTTGGGGGAGACTAAGAAGACTGAACTAGGGCTGGACATTGTGCTCTCGGGCACTGGAGTGGGGCTCCTTTACTTAGCGTGCACTGCGTTTGCAGGAAAAACCCTAATCCATTACCCCTCCTTTTCAGGCTGGTTTTAACCTACGCAAAATTAACAAACACATAAGATTTCCGGAAATCTTAGATTTGGCTCCTTTTTGTACTGCTAAATGTAAGGTAGGTACAAGTGGTCTTTTTGGGAACATCCTTTTGAAAGGAAATCATATCTTAACAAGTACTGCAACAGCAACTTGCATAAGGGTGAAGTTGGTAAGAATTACTGGGTAGTGGTCTTTGATTTCTGTTCCTTTATAATTTCAAGATCAGTGATGCATTGTTTTGAACATTAGGTTTGTCATTTCACTTTTTTTTTTTGAACCCCCATTATTGTGGCAGACGTTGTCCCCAGAGCCAAGCAGATAGAGTAACGGACAGTGTCCATCTAACGCGGCTGATCGGGTCAGTCCGTGCGCACTGAGCAGGAGTGGTACCGGGGAGGCCCTGGGGCGCGGGCTCGCCTCGGCCCGCTCTGGGGGAGGAGGGCTGGTGCGGAGAGGAGCCATGGGAAGTGGGGTGAGGGGTGCAAGCAGTTCTGGAGCTCCCAGTACGATGTCTGCAGAGGGAGGGAAGACCAAGCTCGAGAACTGGGCGAGGAACGAGGTTTTGCAGGCACCTGGCTTTGTGAGGTGTTCGGTGGGGAGCCATGGAAGCAGGTCACAGCGGATCTGTGTGTCGACTAGAGGCAGGGGAACTAGTTGGGAGGCTGCTGAAAGTCAGCCCGTGGATGAACCCAGACAGTGGGCGGTTGGTCCGTGGGTGCTGAAGGTGACCCAGGAAGAGGGGTCGAGCGTGATGGCTGGGCCTGGTTGTGACTGGACATGTGGGCAAAGGGTATGTCGTAAACTGGGGAGGGAAGTGTAGGAAGCGGGGAGGGTGGAGAAAGGATAAGGAGTTCAGCTTGGGATACGTCGACTTTCAGGCATTCTTCAGCTGTTTGTGTGGCTGTGTTTGGAAAGTGTTTGGGTGGACAGGTCCGAGGCCCAGGGCAGTGAGGCTGGGGCTGCATGCGAGGGTTTGGGCATCAGTGCGCAGGGAGCCAAAGCAGGAGAGTCTGGGGTGTCACTGGTCTCCAGGCTGAGGATCTGGAAAATCAGACTATGTCAGCAATAACATGTTGAACATCTTACTTCATCTGTGACATTTGAAATGATAGAAATCCCCCTTCCTCCCCAATCTAAAGTTTTCCGAGAAATGTATTCAGACCTTACAGTTAGAGTGAATTGTAATCAGTATGTTTATAGGCTATTGACATTTTTGCTGGTCAACAATTTCTGGTGGCATTCGTTTTTTGAACACAAGGTCAAAAAGAATCCATCTTTTGCCTAAAATGTCAATGCTCTGTGTTCGGGTTCCAAGGAAAAGGCCAAGAGTTCTGTGTCAGAGTATCAGAGAAAAAGGCTAGACAATAGTTACGTATTAGACAGCGTAGTCATCGTTAGTTTTTCAAGAAGCGCTAGTAATTTCTGTGGGTTGAGACGTGAATGAGATAAAGCAGGGAGATATGTCAGAGCAGCAGCCCCTGACCTTTTTGGTACCAGAGAACAGTTTCGTGGAATTTTTCCCCGGGGGTCGGGGAGGGGAGGTGGGAGTCGGGAGACAGGAGGTGGAGCTCAGGCAGTTAACGGGAGGGAAGCTTCACTTGCTCGTCTGCCACCACCTGCTGTGCTGCCCAGGTTCCCAACAGGCCACAGACCACCTGTTAGAACTGTCCTTGAAAAGGAAAAATGGCAGATCTGAGAATTTTCTTAAGTCTGAGAGACTAAAGTAGGTTTGGGGTCCAGGAGGAAAATCTAGAAGGGGAAGACCCGGGAGGAGGCAGGAAGGGGCAGGTGACACCCAGTTGGAGCGTCATCTCAGAACAGGGAGAGCGGGCGCCCTGCTGTGGGTCAGGTGGTGCCTTTGTTCCCGGCAGTGGGAGGTGAGGTCGGCTGTGAGGCAAGGGGCTGGGGGACAGGTTCTGCGGTAACGCCAGCGCTGCTGCCACATTACCTTTTCAATCTTGAAGATAGACTTGACCTGGGAACGAGGCCCAAGGGACCAGGAGAAAACGAGGCTGGAGGTCCTGCGGGGTGGGAGGGGCCGGGAGGGTTGGAAGAACAAGGGTTGTGAGCTGAGCCTGGGTGTCCAGTAAGAATCTGGGACAGTTCCGAGCGATGAGGCTGAAACGGACAGCAGTGAGTGCGCCAAGGGTCACTGAAGGACCCTGGGGTCCCTGAGGAGGGCGACCCGATTTGGGGTAAAGCACAGCAGCACTGAGGGGCAGAGGGCCAGCGGGGACGAGGCCTGTCCACACCCACTCAGCCGTGACGAGCGCTGCAGAGGAATGGGCCCCTCACTCCACACAGGGGCTGAGCGCCCGTCACGGAACCCCGGGTAGGTTCTCAAGTGTCACCCAAGTGCTGTCCTCCTGCTGGAGGCGGCTTAACTCCCATTCCGGGCAGAAACCAGGATGCGCGTGGTTGAGGTCTTGACATTATCTGACCCTGACACTCCTGAAGGCTCTCAGGAAGTTTCTAGGCAAGGACGGGTCCCAGCAGGTGGCCTCTGGGAAGTAACGAGAGGGACCCGACAAGGTAGGCAGGGGCTCCGGTCCAGACTCTCGGGGTCTCGGCGTGGGGTCAGGCTCTGTGTAGGTAAAGCTGCCTTGCCCTTGTTTTCTGTGTAAACAGAACTAGAACTAATGTTTGAATCCTGTCTCTCAAGAATGTTGCCGAAGAAAGTACCAGGGTGCTGTACTCCCTGTACGGAGTCGTGGAGCACAGCGGCACCATGCGGTCTGGGCACTACACCGCCTACGTCAAGGCGAGAATGGCCAACGCTCGTCTGTCTCATCTTGTTCTCCATGGGGACATCCCACAAGGTGAGGCCTGCAAAGTTCTGGCTTGAGCTTGTAAGTGGCAAACCAATGATAAACTTGAATTTCTCTATTTACACCTCATTTTCCATTTCCTTGACAGATTCTGAAATGGAATCAACCAAAGGGCAGTGGTTTCACATCAGCGACACCCATGTACAAGCTGTGTCTACAGCTAAAGTGCTGAACTCACAGGCGTACCTCCTGTTTTACGAGAGAATACTCTGAGTTTCAGCAAGTGCTTTCTCTGGAAACACGTTTATGGCTTTTATAACAGCTGTAAGAATAATAAACAAGTAAAGACTAAATCATGTCCACTTACAATTAAGTCCATGCCAGAAGAAATCATGTGCGTTGAGATACTGAAGGGAAAGTGCCTGCAGGTTGACTGTGGTTTTGTACCCTCAGTGGCTTTTAATTCCTGCTTCCAGGTCCTGGAAGGACTCTGGGTCACGTCCTCTGGCTCACGGGTCTGGTGGTGGGTTACACTGCATCAATAAACTGACTTACCCCCAAACCTTGTTTTGTTACTAAGGATATTTGAAGTTACGCTGCCTGGCCCTACCAGGTAGCGTTGGAATAGCTGATGAAACGTCACCACGCGTGTGTTCACTTTACAAGCACAGGTATTGGATGTCAGCAGTGGTAGGCAACTGGCAGAAAACGCGTGTCTGCAATTCTGATGCTACCACATGCGCAGCTGTGCTCAGGCTGACTGCAGCGCTGTGTGTGATGAGCTGGCCCGAGGCCACCCTTGTAGCACGAAGTGACAGGGCACCAGGGCCTCTTACCGCCAGCCTGCCAGGAAGAGCCCACGGCTGTCCCCCCAGGAGCTCCTTCGACCAGGCAGCCAGCGCTTCGGAGCTGATGCACCCCCGAGAGCTGCAAGGACACCAAGCCTGTGGATTCCCCGTAGGTCTATCAGGGCTGCTTCGACAAACAGTGAACCCAGTCAGCCCCAGTTCCTGACATACCCAAAACGATGTGAAATTTCAAAGTATTATCCAGCACATACAGTATCACGTGTCCATAAATGTTAACTTTCCTGATCCTAAAGATCTGCTTTGGGATCCTGACTTGCTTGCATTTGCACATGCCAGGAGACGCCGTTTCAGTTGTGTTGCCAGCATCTTTGTACTCATTGCTAGTGAAACAGGTTACTTCTCTGCTTAGATTTCCCAAGCTGTGGGGAAACACACACACTGAAAAATGTAACCTAGGAGGCAACAGACTTCCAGGAAAGAGCAGACAGAAAATGTGCTATAGTCTGGGGGGGAGGGTCACCTGCTGTGTCACAACCTCTCAGCCCTGCCTCCCCCTTGGAAATCAGCGTCCACGACCTCCCCAGGAGCACAACCGCATGCCCCTGAAATTTACGCGGGAGAACAGGCCCCTAATTACTGCGGCGACCTGCCTGACGGCCCCCAGGTAGTGTCAGGAACAAGGCTGAGTCAGGTCACTGAGACCCCAGGACACTGGTCACCAGACAGTGAGGCTTTGATAACAACGTGTTTACTGTATCACGCAGCCGAGGAGACAATTTACGGACAGGAAAGCACCCGCCAACTCTGGGAGCTCTACGCCACCCGGGTGAGAGCCGCCCGCTCAGTCGTTCTGATCGTCGTCCCAGTCTTTCTTCCCACTGGGAGGCTTGGGCCCCCCAGCTGGTTTTGCCATGATGATCTGCGAAGCAAAAGGGGACGAGAACACACTTAGAAACACAACTTTTAACCTTCAGAAGGATGGAAAGGAACATTTTCCTATTACCCTGATTCAAGATCAAGCACCACCTACAAGTAAATCCTATGTTTCAGTGTCACACGCAGTAGCAGGTCTGTCAGCACGTGGCAGCCTGAGTTCCCTGCTTTTCTGGACACTCACAGGGACAGCACACACATGTGCTGCTGCAGGGCACCTGTTCCCTCCACATGTGCGTGTCAGTAAGGCAAGAGCTGAGAGGACATGCACACCTGGCCCCTGGTTTGCTATTTATACACAAGGGTTGTCTTGCCAACCATCTTTATCCCAACTTCCTTGTGGGCTAGGAACTTCAGGTCCATCTGCCAGTTTTGCCACTATAATCTACAGTGGTCGACTCGGAAACACCAAGTCCAGCACCGCAGGTCGCTAGGACCTGTCCCGAGAATCGTGCGAGTGGCTGAAGTGTGTGTCCATAAAGAAATACCCAGCAGAAGCCGCCTGTTTATCTACAATGTGCTAACCGGAGTTTCACAAGTATAACCATCTAGCAGTTTTAAAGGATTCATATTTGAAATCCTTTAAACTTTGGGCTCCAATAACTTTGGGAGAAGCCAAATTAAATTAGTTGGGCTTCCTCAAAGTAGAAATCTCAAACGCATACATTTTGAATCTCAAAACTGGAAACAGGATTCTGAGAGAGGGTCTGCAATTCGGCTTCTCTTTAAAGCGCACAAGCTGTAAAAGCCTTCACTGCCGGCACCCACGGCAGAGTCCACACCCCTTTCAGAAGCTTCCACTAAGAAATCCAAACCTTCAATTTCTGAAATAGTTTTATTAACTGAGAGTTATGTTCAGCCTCAATTAAAGGCAGCACGTTTTTCAGAACCTAAGTGTAGCCTGATTGTCTGAAGAGACAGAGCAGCCGCCGCCCCGGGCAGTGCGGCCCCTGCAGGGCTCCCCCACCCCCTGCCCCCCGCTAGTCGCGGGGCCTGCGCCCCAGAGGCTCTGACTCGGGGAGTCTGGGTTGGGCCCAAGGATTTGTATTTTTACCAAGCTTTCCCTGATATTGACGCTGCCGATGGGTGGACCATAATTTGACAACTAGTGACGTGAGTATTGACAAAGATCAATCCAGCCCTTCTACCTTATCCAGTGCTTACAATGTGATTTCCAAGTCCTGTCCCAGCACAGGTGCTACACAGAATCAGGTACACTTTTGTTACCGTAACACAAGCTGGTCCGCATAACAGTCGGGTGGGCTGCTGGGCACCTGTTTCCCCAAGAGCAGCCCAGGGGGCGAGAACAACGAATAACCAAAGCCCCAGCTTCCCGTCCACACGGGGACCCAGCAGTGCCTTGGACAATGGACACTCACGAAGGATCTGGGCTAAAAGGAACTTCCACTATTAGAATCTCTGCCACCATTTCCTTTCCTCCTTTTTTGGTCCTTACTTTTAAAACAAGCATAATGGAATCCATTATGTTTATTTAAAAACCAGAAAATACCCATTCTTCCACTGAAAACTGTTCAATACACCACTATAAAAGCACCCTATTAATAAGTTTAGTACACAACTACCCAGTTTCACTTTGGGTCATGTTACAGTAGGAAAAAAGTGTTTCCTTCTACTGAGATTAAATCTGTATTCCCATACCACCAAACTTATATGGCCTAATTTACACCTCACCTGCTAATCCTAAGATTTAGCATGATTTTCACTGTTTTCCCAGGACTTAAAATTTCTATATACTTACAAATACTTCATTGCTTAATAATCATTTCTAGAGTTTTGCAGAAAAATGAGTTTCAGTTTATTACTAAACACCTTGAAAAATTACGAATTCTAGCCTGTCTCTGAGCCCAGAACAGTCTTAACCATGTTTCCTCTTTGCCTTAATTTTTTAAAAACGCACAGAAAAGTGGATTTTTAATACCTTCAAACCTTTAGCAGTGCCTCTAGACATCATCTGTCACCCGGGTCCTGCCGCCTCCAGGGCTAACGGGCCAGCGACAGGCTCCCTTCCTCCCGGACCCCTCACCACTGCCCACAAGGGACCCTTGGGCCGCAAGGGGTCTGAACAGCAGGGTCTTCACTCAGACTCCAGGTCAAACACACACAAGCTGCCAAGGGCCCTGCAGCCCCTGTTGGGGGGGGGGGGGCCCTCCTTTGAGTCGAATGAGAACTCTGTTCTGTCCGGTCTGTGAACACACCACGGGGCCGCAGGACAGCGGGTATTTCCGAAGAGCAAGACCTCCCCTGCCACGCACCTGATCCACCCTGAGGACGGTGACGGCGGCGTTCGTAGCCAGTTTGATGGCCCAGTATTTCCCCAGGTAAGTGTCTAGGACCCCGGCCTCCAGCATGTCCTTCACAGCAGGAACTTCAGCCTGTCAACACAGCCATTTTCCTTCTTTCACTTTAAGTTCTTTTATGTAAAAATGTTTGTACTAGAAAAGGAGGCAAAAGTACTACCCTATATACCCTACAAAACAAAAACTTATTAGAAAAACAGGAAGAACACTATCCCCACTCATTTTACATTTATTATCTCTATTTTTAGGTTCTGCAATCAGAAAACCAATTTAAGTTCAGTGTTTGTTCCCCCAAATACCTCAATGTCCAAGCCAACGTTTTTATTTCCTTCCTGATGTACTGCATAGAGCTTGGAGATGACCTCGTTGGCCTTAACCCCCGAGTTCTCTGCCAGGGCCCGGGGAATCGCTTCCAAGGCCTCTGCAAACTTCTTGATGGCGTACTGCTCAAGTCCCGGACACGCCTAAAGCAAATGCAAGTTCATTACCCTCCTTGACTCAAGCGGCGAGAAGAAAACGAAGTTACAGTGAGAAAGTGGTACCTCTCCATATGACGTGATCTGTTTGGCTAACTCGATTTCTGTGGCTCCACCTCCAGGCACAAGACGCTTGTCCTGTAACGTGTGGTGAGAGAAGGTCACTAAGGAGCAGCTTCCCGTGGCCTAACCTCTGACGCCAGTCCCCCACCACCGTTTCTTAGTCAAATGCTAAGTACAAACTGTAAACAAATGCGGGAATCTGCGCGCAAGGACCAAAGCAAATAGAACCTTACCTGCTTTTCCAGATGTAGCACTAAAAACAATGCTTATAATTGAGAACAACCATAAGTACCCCTTCAACACAGTTTAAAAAATCTTAAGTAAAAAAGGTGCTTTGCTTTACATGAGTGACCCATTTTGAAGTTCTAGACTGCCCAGGAGTCTGGGAACTGGGCTGCTGAGGCCTTGCAAGCCACTAAATCCAGGTTCCTCTACTACTGACCCTCGTGAGAACCTTGAAAGTATTCACACCATCGTCTACCGCCCTCTCCACGTCGTCCATGAGGTTGTCTGTGGAGCCGCGAAGCACTATGGTAGAAATGGCACCATCTTCCTTCTCTGTTGATGGACACACGGTATCAGTGAAGAAAACGAACTCCCCGCGCGCACCACCCCTCGCCAGCACGACCTACCATGCTTGAAGACCACCACCTGCGTGTCTCCAACTTCTGAGAGGTACACGCTGTCACAGTGTCCCATTTCTTCAACAACGGGAGGAGTCTGCAAGAAAGCAGCTGTTGTAATAAAAGCCACAACCAGGTTCAACCCCCTGGGAACGCCGTCCGCGGTGCTTACCAGCCGAGGCAGCGCCGTAGCGCCAACCGTCTTACACAGCCTCCTGAGATCCCACTTCGAGTTCAGCCTTAAAAACACGAAACAGAAACAAAAATCTTAATAGCAGCTTTAATTCTATCAGAGAGGATAAAATGCAGAGACTGAACGGGAGACTGTACAGTGGTCCCCAAGTCACAACTTCTGACCTAAAGGTTCGAGCTCAGAAAAGGTCCAGACAGCACCGCGCAGCCCAGACGCAGGCGTTCACAGCATCTTCCCGAACCAGGAGCCCAAGTCCCCCGGAGCCACCAAGGGCTGGTAGCTGCGGAACGGGAGGGGAGCCCTGGCGCGAGGGCTCTCTCGCTGTACTCTGGGCAGACACGTCACGCGAGGAGGGGAACAGGGAGGGCCCGCACGTCCGCTCAGGTGCGAGGAGGGGCGGGAGTGGGTCGGGAAGCTGCCTGGTGGTCCTGCGGACGTGCGTGCTCCTGACCTGCAAGTGTGCCCCCGACTCCCGTGCACTGGCAGCGGGCCTGCGCCCCTCCCTCCCTCCAAGTGGCAGCGCCTGCTGATTGCTCCTGCAGCTCTGAGCTGAAAAGAACGTTTTCTCAGAGGTGCTTCCTGCCTGCCGAGATCGCGCAGGTCCTTCTGCTCTTGGGTCCACCACGTCACGCTTCCCCGCCCCCCTCACGTCCTCAAGGTGCGCTCAGCTTGTTTCGTGTCGCACACAGCCGCGCCCAGCTCCGGCAGGTAGAGCAGAGGGCTCTCACCTCACCAGCATGATGTTGTACTTGTTTGCATAGTGAAGGGCCATGTCCGCCACCTTGCCGCCCGTGACGATGACGTTCGCACCGGTGTCAGCGATGGCCCTGACCTGGGCGTCCATGAGGCTCTCTTCTCCCTTACTGAAGTCCATCAGCTCTGCGGCCGTCTTTATCAGCACGGTTCCCTAGCAAACAAGGAAGCCCTCTCTTTAAAACCACTTTGCTTTGGTGTTCAAAGGCACAGAATAGCATATTACTGAGGACATAAAGATTTGGGAGAAACTCGGCAGACAGACAGAACTGTATCATGAAGCAGAATACAAAGCCGTTACAGGAACAATGGAAACTCGGTTTGCTCCCGGACCATCCCGCTCCCAGAACTGACGCATTCTGTCTTTGACAGGCACCTGGTTGGAGACAGACCTCACTTTGAGGTACGCTGGCTGGTGTCCTGGAATGTGACTTTTGACAACTGTCAAGTAATGTACCAAAACAACGATGTTGTAGTTCTCGAACTTTTCCTAAAATGTGGACTGAAAAACCAATACCCCACCATAAGCCTAACTTTTGAAACTATCAACTACTCAGATTTCAAGAATTCTAGGGGCAAAGTCAATAGCAACCTATAAACTTCACACTTCATACGACATGCATTTTTTTTTAAACCAAACTTATCAATTTCAAATTATATGAGCATACTTTTGTTTTAGGATGCTACAGAACCTTGACAATGTTTTGTAAATTTAACAATTGGCACACACGCACTGGAACTCTCTTTAGTGAGCACTTTGCTTGCTGAATGAATGAGTTCCATTAGAAGTCAGGGGCTGTACACCACAGCATAAACTACACTGCCACCACGTGAAGATTCGACATTCAGACTTGAATTACACAGTCAAAGGATATAAACCTGGTTTTAAAACCCAGATGGGACCCGCAGCGTCCGCTCACCCTCCCAGCGGTGCCTGCGAGCCTCGCCCGACGCCGAGGGCCGGGTGCCCACATACCTTCGTCTCTGTGATGGTGCCGTCAAAAGGACAGGAGTACACTGCTATTTTTGCATCTTTGACCGATGTCACATCGCCTTCCGTTTCCTTCTTAAAAACCATGCCATGCAAGACTGAAGAGGAGCAGATGCCGGAGCCCTGAGGAGTGACGGCAAACCCACCCATGAGCTCGGGGTACCACCACCCGGACCACGGTGTGGATTCTGCCATTTCCCGAAACCCCCGTCTACGCGCAGCAGCACACGTTTGTCTTGGGCAGTGCCCTCCCGGGGAGAGCGGGGTGGTGCAGGGAAGAACCCACTTTGGGAACAAGCCGCTGACATGGGGGAGGGGAGAGGGACTTCCGCATCGTAGGAGGAACCGAAGGCTGAGAACGCCCCCCGCCCCCGAGCCACCCACCCACCCACCCCTCATCCACGCAGTGTGGGGTGCTCAGGGACGAGGCACCGCTGTCAGGACTGGACAGACTCGGGCATGAGGCCTAGGTTCAGTTCTCACGAGCTTACGGTTGAACAGGGAGGGCGCCAGACGGAGCGACTCAGAAAACACAGCGTGCAGACACACCTTTACACGCGGACGCACAGAACGAGCACACGTATGTATGTCGGCAACACCCAGCGACGCGGACAGTCACACGCGGATATGCAAAAACCACTACAGTTTCAGGTTTTACTCTATCAAGCAGTCGTTTTTATCAAGAACACACTCTTATTTTAATACTAACATTAAAGTGAATTCTATTACCGCAGAGCAGGACAGCCCCATCGCATTCATTGACGGCCTTCCGTGCCTACTGAGCACGTGTGAAGAAAGCAAAAGTACCGTGTCTATGCACTACTCTCCCTTCAAACTGTCACGGGAAAACGGTCACTTTACATGGAGATGCCAACTCTCTTTTGAATATAACCATGACATCCTAACAAAATCAAAGTGTTACATAAATGATGCTTCAAAAGGCAGGAAGTGTCCAAACCTAGAGTCAGATTTAGGTGTGATTAACACAGAATTTATCCTCCCAAAACAAATTACCTATCCAGATAACATTAATGCATTTTTTAAACTTACCAGAATCTTACAAACTCTGATATTATCAACGTTGAAGTGGCCAGAATCAGGAAAAATTGATACTGTTAAGAAAATAAGACACATCAAGAGATATAAATGGGACAACAGAGGAAACATCTTAGCCATGTTAGGACATCTTATTTTGGACTTTTACATTCACTGTTCACTCACCACACGCCTGAGCAATGAGCTTGGCCAGAAAGACTTCGTTACCATATTGTTTACTCATTATGGACGTGTGAAGTAGAGACGCGACCTCATCAACATCTCGGAGATTTTTTGCAGAACAGCAAACCAAACTGGGAAGAATCTCATGGGCTTTCCTGCAGGCTATTTCATAACCTTCAATGACCTTAAATGTGAAGTGCAAAAACGTTTCTTAGTAAGACTCAATTCTGACAATCCAAAGAATATGGGTATTTATTTTCAAGGTAAAACAGCAAAGCTTCATCGAGAGTAACATTCATGGCAGAACCTACCAGTTAAGAGTAAAGGCTTGGACAACAGGCCAAACTTGAATCCGAGCTGCCACTTACCAGCTACAAGATCTCGAGGGAGATTTTTCTAACTTAGGCCTCATTTTCCTCATTTAAACTAAAATGGCATTGATTCTCATAGGCCTCACCGACAGGGTGTCCAGCAAGGATAAGACAGCGCGTGTCCCGCAGGTGCGCCAGGTGAGGCTCTGCACTCACTGCTGCTACGAGGGTGGGTCTTATTTGCAGCAGGTGGGCAGGTGTGTGTGCACAGGTACACACAGAGACAAAAATTAGGTGGGAGGACCCTCTACAACGACCACCTGCCTCTGAGACCGACAGGCCGACCCGCAGGAGCTCCTCGGCAGCCTCCAGCAGCGCGCCCGCAAACACCAGCACGAAGTTTGTGCCGTCGCCAACCTCCTGCTCTTGCATGTGTGAGGCCATCACGATCATTTTGGCGGCAGGGTGCTGCACCTGGGGGAGGGGTGTGGGTTTAAACACCAAGTTCAAGCGCTTGCTCTCGCCAGCCATGTGAAAACATCCACCCCCATTTCTTCTGTCAGCAGGCCCCACTCTCCCAGTGGGCCAGGGACCCCCCAGTCACACGGCAGCACAGGACGGCGTGGCCGCACGGGACAACCAAGTCCCCGGGGCCCACGGGCACACAGGGCCACTGCGAAGGGAAATGACCTCCAAGTGCGTACGTTGCCACATGCGGCCACCCGGCATGGACATCTCCACGTGTCCGGTTCAGACCATTATGATATGTTCACTAAATTAAAGTGATCCCACCACTAAATCTGCACATTTAAAAAAAAAAGCTTCATGAGAACTCTGACAGCTACCAGTTAGGTTGGTCACGGGTGTGTTTCTACAAATATTCTTACTCTGCGCCTGTCAACTGTGGTCCAATAAAATATTTATTTCTTCCAAAACAGTAGATCAAGATTTTAAATTTTTCCCCTTGGAAGTTCGATGCTTTTCAGAGACAAACAAGGGGTAACGAACCACTGCCAGCGAGGAAACGAAAAACCCGGCACTACAGCGGCACTGGGAGACAGCACAGCGCACGCGACACCCCGGTGACAGGCCCCCGCGTGTCCTACTCAAGTCAGAAGTGCGAACACATCTCGAGTTCTACGAAGAAGGACTACATCATGGTGCTTTAAGGTCACACAGCCCTCACGGGCAAGCAGTGACATGCGGGACGGTCCCCGTAACCTGCAGACTGTTTCTGCTACAGACTGCGACACCAGAACTACGCAGTTTTACTGTCACAAAGCAAACCAGTGGTGTGATTTTTCTTAAAGCCACTGTTTTGAGTATCAGCTGTCCCTGCCATTTCAGTGTCACACAACACAGAACCAGACAACCCATTCTATCTGGTGCCATTATTAGCAAATACGCGGAATCACAATCAATCCCCCTGTAAGCCGCTAACTTAGGAGACAGAATTTTCTGAGTGTCTAAAATGTTAAATTAATTTTTGATTTCACCAAAACATCTGACTTTTGTTTGAAAAGAAGGACTTACTTCCAGCTCTCTTAAAATGGTCGCTGCATCATTTGTCACAAACAGCTTCTCCAGGTGGTTGATAACCATTTTGTTCATTCCTCGAAAATAAGTTACAAAAACAAATCCATTATTACTCAAATCCTCCTCCAAATACCCAGGAAAATCTAGTGAAGAAACATGAGCGTCTGGGCATTTCTTCAATGACCGTGGGAGAGCCTGTCACAGAGGCGCCCTCGTCCATGTCCCTGGACAGCACAGCACGCTACGTCTCCCCAGTTTACTCAGGGTAATGCTGATCTTGTCTCCTTTTTCATTGAGAAGTATAAATTATACTAAAATATACAAACTAATCTACTTAAAAGTAAATTTGGTTTTTGCTTATTCCATAAACCTGTGTTAATTAAATTCAGTTCACACAGAAGATAAGAGAGACTCTCCCCCCCTTATACCAGTGTTACTTTGCGTGAAGTGCTGGCCATTTGTAACGGTGAACATCAGCTACTATCTCAATGGTGAATGACCCACGATTTTTCTATCCTCTTGATACAGTAAGAGTAATATTTCAATTCCTGTTTTTCTGAAGATTATCCGACATGTTCATTAGAAACGGGAACCCCCGGCTGGTGCTGCTGCACTAGGACATAAGTTGGGACGCCACCCTGTGCGTAGCAAAGGCTAAAGCCTCTAAAAGCGTCCAGGGGAGCAGCACACCCAGCCCCGGCTGTGCCTCTTGGGCGCAGGGATCTGGAAGTTACCGTTCGGTCCGTACGCAGTGCGCGTGGTCTGTGCTAGCTCCTTGCAGGCCTGTATGTTCCTGTACACGGCCTCTTCCAGTCCTGAGAAATGCTGTGAACGCAGACTTTGTGTTAGGCTGGACAACAGAGTGGGGACTGTCCTCCTCTGTGAGCAATGGGGTCACGATGACAGCGCCGACCTCGGTACCGACGCCGGGACGTCCCGAGAACCAGGCTAGACTCACGTGTAGCATGGCGCCCGGTGTCCATCAATGACCCACACATCTGCTCACTAGTGGAGCAAACAAAACACAGGATTCTTAAGGACCCCGGACACCCGCTCCCTCAAACCAGAGGCCCGTCCTGTTTTCGGTGCAGTGGGGAGGGAAGGGAGGAGTGACCCAAGGAGGCGGGGCACGCACGCTACTTCAGATGAAGATGCCTTTCTGGCCACAGGCGAAACGCGGGTGGACGGCTTTTTTCGCGTGCTGGAGCCTGAGCTTTGCAAGGCCAAGGCCAGCAGCTGCGTGTCACTGGAGTCCCTCGCATGCACCTGCCCCAACGCTCGGGGTGGGGGGGGGGGGCACGTCCACTCCAGGGCACGCGGCCCACAGTTCCTGAACCGCGCCCAGAGCTGGACTGTTTAATTCTGGACCCTAGACTCAGGACTTACCGTGGCCTCGCACATTTCATGGGCCGTGTTCACGCCAACAACATGTGTCTAGCGCTGCCCTGCCCAGCACAACAGCCACCGTGGCTGCCTCAGCCTCATGCAACTATAATGCCAAGTGCGTCCCTGGGTGCAGGGCCACAGTCCTCATGCCCAGCAGCTGCGTGTGCAGGGACGCTGCAGTGGACAGGGTGCCTGTCACCACCGAGCCTCAGACGGCACTGTCCCCGGGTCTCAGGTGCAATAACCACCCCAACTCCTGCTTCCCGCCCCTCCCCACTGGCTCTGGCAGGACCGGCACCTCGAACACCAGCCAGACCCCTTGAGACCCTCTTCGGCGACAGGCCCGCCCCTCCTCGGCAAGCTCATGGCCACACCCCCATCCTCAGGCTCTGCGCCCTCTGGCCCCTCGGCCTGGACACTTCCATCCCGACCTCGGCAGCCCCTCCCACCGCTGGGCACCACTCAGCTTCCTGCCCGCATCCTACTCCTCATTCTCCACCATCCCGCTCTTGGTTTCCTTTACTGTCTTTCTCGTCTGATTGCCTATTATTTCTGCCTTAGAATGAACACTACGAAGTTTTCAGCCTGACATCATTTTCGGCAAAGCTGCTCCACCTGCATTTACATCAAACCGAGACAGTTACTCAGTTACAATCGCGCTGTCCCAAAGGTGCGTCCTGCCGACAAGACGCCAGCTCCCTGACGCCGAACCTCGCCAACCTCTAGGAAGCCTGGGGACGAAAATCGGACACCACGGCTCAACAGCCAACGGACACATTCATCAGCAGCGCACGAAAATACTTCTAAAATGATGCGCTTGAAGCAACATTCCAGGTCCGGCCATCCAACTTTTATTCAGGCCGGGATGTCAGGTACCCTGCGAGTCACACCTCAAAAGTGCCACCGTCAAGCCCCCACCCCCCGCGGCCAGAGACAACGAGATGCCGAAGGGCCGCGTTCCGCACAAGGCCGGTCACTGGCGGGGGCAGGACCCACGTGGGCAGCCGCGGTGCCGCCTCGGCCGGGGGACTCCACCGGCCCGGCCCTCCCCCGTCGGGCCCTGGGCCCTGAGCGGGAGGCATCCGGAGACGTCACGCCGCTCCGCTGGCTCCCGCGGGCCGCGAGTCCGGGGTCGCGGTGGGACAGGAATCGCCGCGTCCGCCCGCCGCCCCGGGGCACCTCCCCTTCTGGAACCTTCTCTCCGCCCGACCCCGGCATGGGGGAGCACGCCGGCCCGCTCGCAGGCCCACGCCCCCGCTCCTGCACCACTCCCCCGGCCCGCATCTCTCACCTTCGCTCCCTCCTTGAGCATCTGCGCGAAGCCCGGGGCCTTGGGGACGTGAAGCGCCATGGCTGCACCGGGAAAGCCGTTCACGCGCGGTTCGCCGGACCCCAGAAGGAGCGTGCGCCGCACAGCCTCCTGGGAACGCAGCGTGCGCGGCCTCACGCTCCTCCTTTCTCTCTAGCTAGACCCGCCCCTCCCCTGCCGCTGGCCTGAAGCCTCGCGAGATAGAGCAGTTCTCGCGGCCGGAACCACACAGACTTGCGCCGCTTTACTCGAGGGGTGGGGCCGATCGCAGAGCGCGCCTCGGTCCTCTGCGCTGCGCACGCGCAGGCGGCGAGACCGTTGGGCTCCCTCCCCACAGCCGCGGCTGTGGAGATGCGGGCGTGACGCGTCGCGTTGTTGCCGTTTCTGAGCTGGAAGCCTCGCCTGCCTCCTGAGAGTAATTTGCACGTGATGCTCCAGGCCCACAGGGCCAGGTAGGGCCCCCTTTCCTCGCAGGTGCCGAGCCGGTCGCCGGGGCTCTCGGGCCCGGGCGCGGGAGGAGCCGGGCCCGTGCGGGTCGCGACGCAGCGAGGGTCCCACTGCGCGGCGCCTCGCCGGACAGGTTGCAGCCTCGGGAGCCGACGACGCTCCCTCCTTGCGGTGGAAGCGGAGACCGCCGTGGGGACCGGTCCAGCACCCCGGTCGCACCGCGCGCGTCTCGCCCGGTCCGGACGCCTTTCCCTGGCTCTCCCTGGAGATGAGCCACCTGGTTGGTGCCTGTGGCTTCACCCCGGACACGGGCTGCGTTAAAGGAGACGGGGTGGCAGCAGAGCGCCCTGGAGAGCCGCGCCCCGCCGGGAATGCGGGAAACGCGAAGCGGGGCGTTCTCCGACGGGCAGGTGCCAACTCCTTCTTTCCTTCACCTTGGGACAGGTTTTCTGTTCCTGGAGGAATAACCACGTCTCATGTCTGTTGTCCGTTACAACGTTTTTTAGTTTTTTCCTATTAAAGAAATACTTAATTATTAAGATAAAAAAATGCTTTTTTTTTTGCCACATCAAATCAAATGGTCCGTGGACACCTGCTGGGAAGCCTCACGGAGGCCGGGACGCCCGAGCCTGCAGACCGCGACCCGCCTGTTTCCAAGGCAACCGCAGGCCTGGCCGCCGCACCTGTGCCCGGGAGGCGGCGCCGCGACGAGCGTGAGCCAAGCAGATGGAACGTGAAGGGCATTTTATATCTGCCTTCGAGTAAGACAGATATAAAAAGACGCGTACAAAAACGTAAAACCATGCCACCTTCCCATTTTTTATTTGTTTTGACAGTTTTTAATTAAAAATACGTTAACATGTGATGGGCTAATTACTGTATTTTTTAAGTTAAATGTTTTAAAAAACCAGTTTCACCTTGTAATATAGATAATATTGTTAGCTGTAACCCACATCAAAGCTCTTTGAGAACCTCAGTAATGTTTAAGAGTAAAGGGGTCCTGAGCCCAAGGAGTTAGGGAACCCCTGCAATCGATCAGTCCCAAACAATAGAACACACGATTTTTCTTACCGATAACTCAAATGTAAATAAAAACATCAGACTCAAAGGGAGTGTTACTTACAGCCAACACAAACTAAAACTAAAAGGGGTTAAAATGACACTTGATGAAATTTAACCTTAAAAGGACTAAGGAATCAAACCTTCATAAGGACTGTGGAAAATTAAACGTGAGTTAACAGTTAATGAATCAAATTGCCATGAAAAGTTTGTAATAAAAATTGTTCTTACATTAATCTTAATAAGTAGGAAATAGAAAGAAGTGGAAATCATTTCCCTCTGCTCTGGGGGCAGCCAGCGATGCCAGGGGCAGGCTCTTGCACTGGACGAGGTTATTCAGAGGGCGCAGTGAATAAGGATTTCAGAAAAGTAAGAAATGGTACCATTCTCCTCTGTCCAGAGACTTTCCCTGAGTACGGCCCCCAGCTGAATGTCCCTGAGGTCCATACCCTCATACTTCCCACTAACGTGTGTCACGAGTCTATGTTTGTAACAGTCTTCCCTGTCAGGCAGCCGGCCAGCCAGGTGCGGAGCAGCCCGGCACCGAGGAACAGACAAGTCACACACAGTCACTATGCTGTCCGCTCAGCCTTCATTGAATGCAGTTTCACTCAAAGTAGAACATCAACGTACATTAGTATCCTACTCACATTCTAACAATCTAAGAGAATTTATAACACACACACAGAGCAATCAATGGGGGATAACGAACCCGAGTCCCAGAGTCTCAGTCTGCGGGTCCGGGAGGCAGCACGGTGGGCGAGGGAGTCATCAGCATCTTGCAAGGAGGGATCTCTGGAGCCAGGGGGGCAGCAGGACAGAGCCTCCAGTGGCTGATGCCGAGGGAGATCAGCATGGTGTAGAGCAGCAGTCTGGTGTGTGGAGCTCATCTGTCTCAGCAGTGGTCTGGAGCCTGCCTAGTTATACCTTCAAAGTGGGGTACTCCACCCTTTTGGGTCTTTACAATAAATGTCTTGGCATCCCTGATGCCAAGTAGAGGATTTCCCCAGGAACCTATGTATGAGTGGTCCCGCTCTAGAAACACAGGTGGTCTGATCACAATGCTTATCAGCCATTGTCATCCTCACTTGTCCTATTCTTAATGTTTTGGTTATTTTTATTAAAATTATTTCCACTAGGATTTTCGTTAGGGTCAGTCATTAGTCTCAGGAGAATAAAATTAAGGAAGGATCTCTTTATGTGGTGGTTGGCTAGAACAATTACATTTCTCTTTGCTATTCGATTTAGCTGTTTCTCTTCTGTAACACATTCACTGTTCTGACTCTCTGCCCAGTTGCACCACTGAGGCGAAGTCACACCAGGAATCCAGATGGAGAAGGAGGGTAATGGTAGGAAAATCCTTTGTAGAAGGTTGTTTCACCCCTACATCATCCTATGGGGACTTTTGACAATTTAGGAAAGTGTACTCTAACAACAATTAGAAATTAACTTTATGAGATGAAATAAAAAATGTATTTAGAAATAAGAGATACAAATGAATATGTATAGAAAAATGTCATGGTACACAGTTACTCATCTCAAGATGACTCTCAAACTTTGCCAAGAAGTTACAAAGGAAATAAAAAAAGTTACCAAGGAAAATGCCTGTCTCCAGATGATGCACTTTCTTCTCATTGGCGATGTGGAAAGACTGAGGCCCTCAGTGGGGCCTTTTGAACGGAGAATTGTAAGACAATGCTACTTGTTCCCAAAAGCTTTATGTCTGATTCCTCGCACAGCCCAGATGAGAACAGTCAGACCGAATGATAGTGCAAGTGACAGATAAGAGCCAGACAGAAGGGCTGGACCCGCTTAAGGAAGAACCAGAGAAGCATAATTGGGGCTCTTTAGTGAAGCCATCACCTGTATCGGTGAGTTGCCGATAAGGTGATCCTTGGCTATGAATAATTGATTTTTGCATCTTCTTAGGTGGTCATGGAACATGTCAAATTTAAATTCTATAAAAAAATTATTTAATTTTTTTGACCTCTGGTCAATGTAGCAGCATAGGCAGATATGGCTTGCCTCTTTGCACAGCTACATCAAAATTACAACTAAAATATAGAACAGCTATCTCTCAGAACCATCAGAAATCGAGTTGAATGGAAATCTGGCAACTATGGAATTGAAGAAACCACATCCATCAGACTGGTAGGAGGGGTGCAGGTGCAGAACAGCCTGGTCCCACACCTATGTCTAATAGATAAAAATGTGGGAGAGATGTCTTGGGAGCAAATAGCCCCAGCCCCATACCAGGCCCGCGGCCCAAGGTTCCAGTGCCAGGAAGGTAAGTCCCCACACCTTTTGACTGAAAAAACCCGCAGGAATTGAGTGGGTGGAAGGAACTTCCAGAGCCCCAAGCAGTTCCTCTTAAAGGACCCACAAACAGACTTACTCAGGCTCACTCCGAGCTTCAGGACCAGGGTAGTGGCTTAAAAGGCCCCAGTGGTATACAGGGAGAAACTCAAGTGTCTGGCATCAAGGCAAGCAGAGGCCATTGTCCCTTTTCCAAACCTTCCCCCCAACAGTCATGGAGCCGGCAAGCTGGTGCCATATCTGACACACCATCAAATTGGCTAACTGTTTGACCTACGTAGGAGATGCCCAGAGGCTCTGCCACACTCATCTGATGGACGCATCCAAGATGCTTTTCCATATGAACGCCTGGCTTTGGCTCATGATGCACAACTTCCTAAATCCTCTCAAACAAGCAGCAGCTGGCTTCAGTGAGCCCCAGGCCTGGCACTAGCAGCAGCCAGCCTAGACTCACAGCTTGGCTTCACCTGGGAAATCTCTAAGCCCAGCACAAATGGCAGCCATCTCAGATGGCTTTAGAGCTCAGGCACAACACAGTTTGGGCTGACCTTGCTCCCACTGCCCTAGAAACCCCAGGGCCAGTGCACCCAGCGGGCCGCTACAGACCATGTCAGAGCACCACCACCCTGCCCCTGCACAGCTGATCCTCCACAGAGGGCAGAAGGTGGTGGTCAGTGGTCACAGCCAGTCCTTGCAGCTGACTGGCCTGGAAAAATCCCTCCCATTGATCTGCCAACAGCAACCAAAGCTCGACTACAGGAAGAGGGAGTACTCAGTCCACATGAAGGGCGCACCTCGAGTACCCAGCTTGGGTGATAGGGAAGGCTGTGCCACCGGACCCTATAGGACACCTACTACATTAGGCCACACTACCAAGACACGGGTCAAAGCAGCTCTACCTAATATACAGAAACACTCATGGAGGCTGCCAAAACGAGGAGACAAACATGGCCCAAAAGGAAGAACAGATCAAAACTCCAGAAAAAGAGCTAAACACAATGGAGATAAGCAACTTATCAGATGCAGAGTTCAAAACACTGGCTGCAAGGATGCTCAAGGAACTTAGCGAGGACCTCAGCAGCATAAAAAAGATCCAGTCAGAAACAGGATACACTAATTGAAATAAAGAACAATTTACAGGGAAACAACAGTAGAATGGATTGAGCTGAGAATGAAATCAATGATTTGGAACATAAGGAAACAAAAAACAATCAAACAACAGGAAGAAAAAAGAATCCAAAAGAAAGAGGATAGTATAAACAGCCTCTGGAACAACTTCAAGAGGTCCAACATTCACATCATAGGGGTTGCAGAAGAGAAAGAGCAAGAA